AGTCCAGCGCCTTCATGTCGTTGGAGGGCCAGGCAGCTACCCAAGGACATCACATGCATATGTATGGGTGCCAGGGACCAAAGGTGGGGTTTGTGGGGGTCACCTTGCCACACAGAACTCAGAGCCCACGTTTCTCACCGATCTTTTCTCTCTCAAGTAGGGTTGAGCCCGAGTGCAGCATACGGCTCCCACTGCCCTCTCACAAACTGACCTTCTTCCATTCCTTGAGACAGAGAAGTGGATGGGCCGGAGAGCAGAGCCAAGGAGTCTGTGGAGCGAGTGAAGACTGGCACCTGGAGCCACACATGGGTGGTGGGTGCGCAGGTCCTGACCCTTGAGACAGAGCAGTGGGCCAGATGAGCCTATGGTTGGACCTCCTAGTCTCCCGATTTTCCCACCAATAAATGCCAGTCAGCCATGCGGGGGTCTCTGTTGTGCTGAGGCAGACGTCTATTAGTGGGTACAGATGACAGTGCGTGTCCTTTTCCTCGTGACTGGTCAGCCTCACGAGCCATCTCACAATTACTTGGGGTCAGGCTCCCCCAGCCACTCAGGGGGGCCTCAGAGGCAAGCAGGTTGAGGGTGGGGCCATGTCCCTGTGGAGGTGGACTTCTCCCTGGGGGCCCTGAGCATTTCTCAGTGTAGTAGTTGGGTGCGACGTCCACCTGAAGTAGAAGTGGACAGTACTGACCGCTGTCATTCATAGTTGTCTATTTTGAAATTGATTTTGTCCAATGGACGGATAAATTGGGACTCAGCAGTTAGCATCCAGATTTCCCTCAGGCTATAGAGTTGCTGAACAATCTTCCCCAGAAGTGTCTGGGCAGCTGGGTAAAGTGGCGGTTTTAGAGAATCTGGGGCGGCAGTGACAGCGAGTTTATGCGATGCTTCCCCTCAAGGTGCCACAGCCTGTTAGTTTTGACGTGCATTGGGCCATGAATGGGCTACGCTCTTAACACAGAGAGTGAATATGAACAACACTAGGAAACTAGGAGTAATTCCAGGTAAACTAGAACTTTTCCAGGTAAGACAAATGAAGACCAATTTGAAGCATTACAGATTTGGTTTAGTTCAAGTTTGGATAATAATTTTTAAATCGCTAATTAGATTTAACTACTTTATCTGAAACAGTTGTGGTAGTGTCCTCTGGTTTGGTTTGGCATTTATACATGCTCCGTGAGTCTTTTTATTTTTTATTTTATTTTATTGAAGTATAGTTGATTTACAATGTCATGTTAGTTTCAGGTGTACAGCCCAGTGATTCAGATATATATATATATATATATATATTATATATACATTCTTTTTCAGATTCTTTTCCCCTAAAAGTTATTATAAAATATTGAGTATAGTTCCCTGTGCTATACGGTAGATAACTTTGTTGGTTATCTGTTTTATATAAAGTAGTGTGTATATGTTAATCCCAAGCTCCTAATTTGTCCCTCCCTCCTTTCCCCTTTGGTAGCCATAAGTTTGTGTTCTATGTCCGTGGGTCTATTTCTGTTTTGTAAATAAGTTCATTTGTACTATTTTTCAGATTCCACATGTAAGTGATATCATATATTTGTCTTTCTATGTCTGACTTACTTCACTTTATATGATCATCTCTAGGTCCATCCACGTTGCTGCCAGTGGCATTATTGCATTCTTTTTTATGACTGAGTAATATTCCATTGTGTATATGTACACTACCTCTTCTTTATTCATTCCTCTGTTGTTGGACATTAAGATGGCTTCTGTGCCTTGGCTGTTATAAATAGTGCTTCAGTGAACATTGGGTATACATGCTCTGTGAGTCTTAACTGTATGCTTCAGTTTTAGGAGGTAGACAAAGAGGGACAGGTACTCTTTCAGAAAGCTGAGCTTAGTTCCTGGTGTGCTGACTGGCGGAGGCAGACCCTTGTTAGCTTCAGTGGCTCCTGCTCAGGGAAGTTTGCCTGGTGCTCCCAGGGTATGATGCCAGGCAGAGAGGGCTCCGGGGGCTTTGCAGGTGGGAGGGGTGGCATGCACCTGGTTGTGGCCAAGACAGATGCGAGGCCAGTGGGGAATTGGTGTAGTGGCCCTGGGGCACTCACGAGAGGGAGCCATGGACAGCTTGGGCTCTGCTGTGCTGAGGTGAGTCACTAGGCTGACCAGAGGCTGAGGCTGGTAGTGGTCCAGCAGTGATGGAGGGGCTGGGCAGGGAGATGCTGGACCAGAGTGAAGGGGTCCTCTGCAGAGGTGTGGCTGCTATGGGTGGGGTAGGCCTTGACTGGACACAGGGAAGCAAGGAGGGGCAGCCCTGGGATGACCACTGTGCCCTGAACTGTGCCCCAGAGGGGCATGGGCCACTGGCTGACATGGGATGTGTGGGTGAGATGGGCTTTGTTTCAGACGTTGTGGAATTTGAGGGGCCTTTGCATATCCCGTGTGGGGTGTTGTACTGCCATTGGGTTGAAGACATGAGAACTTGGCAAGAGAGTGGCTCCATGTTTAGAGTCCTCAGCCTGCACAGAGGAGGAATAAGGCCAGCTCCAGGCGTGAGTGACCTTGGTGTCCACAGCGTGGGTGCCCGGCCAGAACTTTGAGTGCAGGTGCCCTTGCGGTGCTGCTAACATTGAGGAAACATGTTCTTGAGGTCCTCAGTCCTGGTTGAGATGCATATAACTGATAACACAATGTCTGAGATTTTTATTTTGGAGTACATTTATTTTGTGTAATTTCAAGTAAATTTATGTGAACATTTACAAATCTTATTAAAAGTAATCATCATATGTATACAAAATAAATGGTACAGAATCAAATCTATTTTTTGTTGCTCTCTATGGAGAATCAAAAGTCTTTAGATGCAAAAGGCAGAGGGGACATTTGTATATAATATTCATAGTTCTGCCATTGTTTCTTTTGATTCTTTGCCTAAGACTGTTTCTAGGTACATTTCTTTGGAAGATAATTTCTGATGATAGTTGCATGTGCAAATAATTGGTGCTTCATTTTTCTTAAATCCGTACCTTGAGTGTCTTTTCTCAGACTGCAGATTACAGCAGAGAGAGAAGATAGAGAAGAGAGAATTGAGGTGCCCAGACCCAGGGGAGATCCCAGTCCAGATGTGCCTGAGAGGGTGGGGCTGCTGCAGGGAGGGCTGGGCCCCTCTGGCTGTGCCTTTGGTCACTTGGTGCATTTTGTGACCCTGTCCGTCTCACCGCTGGCTCTCTGGCTCTTTCTTTGTTCGCTTTGTTCAGTGGTTGATCTCCCCTGCTGTCTTATGCATAGACCTTCACACGCTCACACCAGTTCATGCACGTGAGAATCGTGCATGATTTGTCTGGGCACCACCTGCCCCACATGGGACGCTGCCATGTTCCAGTTCTACCCTGGACATCTCTCGCTGTGTCTGCAACATGTGGCCTGAGGGGTGGTGCTGCTGAGACAGGGAGACTCTGGCCGTGTGCACAGATAGAAGAATGTGCTCCCACCCCTGGCCTCCCGGGGGGCGTGGGCTCTGTACCTGTCCGTCCACTGTTGTGCTCGGTGGCCCAGTGTTGGATGGTGATCCACGGAAGCGGTTCTGCCCTGGTGCCCGGGAGCTGGCATGTGCGGCCACGCCATCTTCTCAGAACAGATACTCATTTTCACTTTATTTTTATTTATTTATTTTTTATTTTTGTGGTATGCGGGCCACTCACTGTTGTGGCCTCTCCCGTTGCGGAGCACAGGCTCTGGACGCGCAGGCTCAGCGGCCATGGCTCATGGGCCCAGTCGCTCCGCAACATGTGGGATCTTCCCGGACCGGGGCACGAACCCGTGTCCCCTGCATCGGCAGGCGGACTCTCAACCACTGCGCCACCAGGGAAGCCTTCATTTTCACTTTTAATACTTCTCTAAACACTGTGGGAGCTGTTTAGTGTGCTTTATGGCAGCATCGTTGTCTGTTTTGAATCAGTATATTGAACTGATGTTCAGTCTTCAGCATGTTCTTTCAGAGAATTTCATTGAGTGTGATTTAAAAAAATTAATACTCTACCTTTGAATTGTTAGTTAAAAATTTTCTGAGGGTTATTTCTATTACATTTTACTATTATAATCCTTTTAAGAGGTTTTAAACAATTGTTCATTTATAAAATTAATTCAGTACCTTTATACTTTTAAAACCCTATGCATGAGTGTTTTGTATTTTCTTTTTAAGTACATGTCTCTAATAAGCAAACCTTTCCCAAATACTTGAAATACATGAATCTGATAAATTTAATAGGTAAATACAGTACAATTTCAGCTCCCTTAAACATTACAGTGCTTTTACCATGTGTCTTAAATTCTCTCATCTCTTTATAAAATCAAAAATTACATGTGCACTATTAAAAACTCAGTGAGACATTTTAAAATGGAACCAGAAGGACAATCTGTATGTACTTCAAATTACTTTAAATATCACAGGTGTTTTAGGTAAGTAAATGTATCTGGGTTATCCCTGGAGTTAGCACAGAATGACCATGGGCTTTGCTTTGTCACCCTAGTTCTTAGCCCTAAAGCTCGGTGAGGTCACAGATGCCCTCTGAGCAGAGCTAGGACACCTGTGTAACGGGGTCTCCTACCTCCGAGCTTGCTCACCAGCTGGTAACTGCTTTGCGGCTGAACTAGAAGCCCGTCTATCGTTCGTGGTCCCCTTGACAGCAGGACTCCAGGGTCCGGTGTCCTCTGGATCAGATACTCTTTCCTCATCAGAAGGTGTCCCAGGTGGTGCTGCTCACCCTCGTCTTGCTCCCGTGAAATGCCAGCCCTTTCCCTTGCTGCTGGTGGCCTCTGTGTCCCTTTGTGTCTCCTTGGGCCCAGCAGCGTCCCTTTGGTGGGCCCCGCAGGCATGTCCGTGCCGTTCTCTAGGAGTTTTGGGGCAACTTTTGAGAAATGTTTTCACCTGCCTCTCTGGGGCTGAGGTGCCAGCAGGGTTGTGGTACAGTAGGTGCGGCGTCTTTGGAGCTGAGTGCTGCTTTGGCTGCATCATGGTCTCTGTCTCCCATGTGCAGTTGTCACCGTGATCCTGAAGGCGCTGACATACGAGGAGAAGCGGGGCGCCTGCAGCGTGGGCTCCAACGTCAGGGACGCCGCCTGCTATGTGTGCTGGGCCTTCGCACGGGCCTACGAGCCTCAGGAACTGAAGCCCTTCGTGGCCGCAATCTCAAGGTAAAGCCTGTTAAATGATTTTCCAATCACTGTGGAGGAGTGACAGCATTGGCTCGCCTGCTTCACTGTCTGCACCTGTGCAGTGAAAACCAGCTCAGCCTCACAAGGCTGGAAAAATACATTTCCCCTGGTTTCCTGGACAGAGCAGTGAGGGCAGCAGGCTGTGCCACCCGCGTGGGCCTGAGCCCTACTTTTAGGATCCTGTGTTTGTGCCCTGGAAAATTCAAAACAGATGTGTCCTCAGTATAGTGATGTTGTGAGTTAATTTTTTCCCTGTCTCCTGTTGGACTGGAGTCCCTTTGACGTGAAAAGGGAGGTCAGGTCTCTGCTTCTGGTTGTTGATTAAGAAGTTGGAGGAGGTGGCTAAGCATGGCGGCAGCCTCTGGGTTAGTCATGGTTGTAACACTGATCCGATGGCTTTTCCTAGGAGATGGATTGCAACATTGTTCTCAGGTCCTGGAGGCCGCCTGCCACGAAGGAGGTGCCGTGAAAAGAGCAGGAGACCCCCCAGGTCTCAAAGCATCCGCACGGCAACTCTGTCCTGACATCATCCTCCTCCGGTCCACGCATCGGGTCCCTCCCACCTTCTGAGCGCCAGCTGGGCCTGGGGGAAAGCCGTGAGGGCATGGGCCACTCTAGGGTCTGGAGAGGGTCCTCAGACCTGTTTACTGCTCCGGATGCGTGGCCAGGCTGTATTTCTCAGTCTTTACCCTCACGCGAAGGAGGAGCCTACAGAGCAGCTTGAGGATTCTGACCCCTGCTTAGGGAGACGCACTGCTTCCCAGGAGGTTGTAAAGGTGTCTGACCCCTTCCGGTCCTGTCCATCCTTGGGAGGGGACAGGTGGGGTGGGAGGGCAGTAGGCTTGTGGAGGTACCGTGGCCTGAGGCCTGGCTGCGGAGACCAGGCTGCCTGTGCCTTTGTCCCTTGTTCCTGCCCTCGGGCGTGCGTTCCCCACTCTCTCATTGCTCTGCAAACGGGAGATCGTTTGCTGTTTAATGCAGCTTCAGGGAAGGCGCTGCCTACTGCTTTCTTGTTCTGCTCCTCCGCTTTTTGGAAGTTGCTTCTGTAACTAGAGAATGAAGCAAAGAAGTGTGTTTTGCTCATTGTTTACATCGGCAGTCACAGGATGATGAACCCTTAGTTGGGTGCTGTCTCATTCAGTGTCACGGCTTCCCACTCCTCCAAGGACGCTTGCCTGGAGCTAAGCCAGACCTGGCTCTGCAAATGCCACGCTGCCTCTGCCAGAAGCAGATGTGGGGGAATCTGGCTCCAAATGTTCATTCCCATTTCAGAGTTAAACCATCCCGACAAGGCTTCTTTTTTCAGTTTAACCTTTGTGGCTGAGAGCTTGGAAGGTTTCAGGAACTTGGGCCCCTGCTTTCTCCAGGGACTCTCTTTGGTTCAGCCCAATGGGAGAAGCATTGCCAAGGGCTGAAGGGTCAGTAGAGGCATTGGGCCCAGAGGTGGGCAGCCCCCACTCACCACGTCCTCTGCTTCGGGGAGAAGCTTCTCATTGCCCCGTAGGTGAGAACGTCAGAGTCACAAGACCTCGTCACCAACTTGGAGAGAAATAGGGTCCTGAGTCCTGCTGTCCCTGCTGGCATACGTGGACCAGAGAGCAGGGTTCTGTGCTGGCCCTGGGCTTGGGAAGGGAGCCTCTTTCACCCAAAAGCAGATGCCATTGCAATGCTAATCTCAGCAGTGGTTTTATAATGCAGAGTACCAGCCGGTGAGCAGAAGTGCTGGTAAGTGTTAAGCCTGGCCCTTGCTCACATGGCGTGACTGTCAATGTGGATTCCTGGTGTGGGCGGCCCTTCACATACTCCTGTCCAATTTTCCTGGAGGCTGAAGGGGCACCGGCACATCTTACTTCAGGGTGATGCCCTGTTATTCAGAAAAGGAAAGACCCCCTTTGGTGAGAGGGTTACTTCCTGGAGCTGGCGCCTGTTGGGAGAGGGCTTTGAAGAGACCAGCGACCCCGCTGGGTGGAGGCCTGTGCAGCCCACCTGTTGGACGAGGGTGATGCAGGTCTGCTTGCAGCTGAGGGGTAGGCTGAGCCCTACTGTGGGGCCCCCGAGGGAACTGGAATGTGAGGGGGACAGAGTGCAGGTGGGTGGTTAGGACACCGAGCTTTCTGAGCTGGGACTCATTTTAAATAGGGACAGATCACAGCTGCGTGTACTGGTGGCAGCGTCCGTCCGCAGAAACTCATGTGGTTCACCTGGGGCCTTTGATCTCCGTGGAGGCTGAATTTCCCTGACGTCTTGGATACACCCAAGCAATCACTGATGAGTTTACATACGCTGAAACCACCAGCTTGCAGGGGAGCCCAGAGACTCCTGCTTCACAGCCCTCTTAATTTACCCTGGAGTTAGTGCCTCATGGAGTTTCTGCTCAGAAAGGCCCCTCTTGTCCCCTTCCCCTGTGCCCATCCCAGGACTGGATCAGCAAGTGCCCGTTGGAGCCATGCCCGGCAGCTTTCTCAGTCCAGTTTGGCAGGTTCCGAGGGAGCCTGTGCTCCAGCCTTTCCTGGTCCATCTAGACAGCAGGCCCGGGGGGTGGAGCAGGCAGGCGGGCGGGCTGAAGGGTGAGTCACAGTGCCAGGTGAGTCTGCAGGACGCTGCGGGCGCTCGCTTCCCTGCCCCAGGAGTATCGGTTGGGGTGTGTCCTTTGAGATCAGCCTCCCTTGGTTTGTAATAAGTGACCACATTTTAATTGTCAGCTTTTAAGCCTGTTCATCCTGGCACATGATAAAATCGTGATATCTTTATACTTTCACAAACTCATCAGTAGATCCTGCAAAAGTAGACAGTTGAGATCAAACTGTAATTCTGTAAATGAACTAGAAACATCTGATGAAAAGAATCAGGTGGTGGTAATAATGGGCAGGGCTGGGCTCAGCCCGTACAGAGGAAGAGGTCAGAGTGTGGCCGGCCACCAGCTCAGTGAGCCGTGCAGGGAAGGAACGCTCACCTTCCTAAAGGAACTGCTCTGGCCTGCTCCCCTTCCTAAAGGAACCTGAGGAACTGTTTTCCCCCCTCACCTGTGAATATGTGCTTACCCTCTCTGTTTTGTAAATACCGAAAAGGAAGTTTTTAGGTCATTTTAATCATGGTTTGAATTAGTGTTGGTCGATTTTGAAAACCTGTATTTCCTAAGCGTTATATTCAGACACAATAAGAGATGGAATAATTATTTTGTGGATAAGTACATAGGACTTCCTGAAAAGCCAAGTGTAATTTAGGGAGAAAGAAACACATAAAATTAAAATGGTAGAGGATGGTTGTGCATTATCTAGAAAGTACCATCTCACCAGTAATCAAAAGCTAATTTGCAAGAAAAGGAAAAAAGATCCCTGTTGCCAGCATGTGTGTTGGTTGTCACCTTCTAGCGATTTCCTCACCTGAAACTCTTTTGTAAGCCGAGCTCCTGTTGACATCAACCCTGCAGGGCCCCTCCCGCACCAGGGGCAGTGCCCGACTCAGCCTCGCGGAGCGAGCTGGGCGAGCAGGGCAGCGTGGGCAGTGCCTGGGGATTGGCTCCCAGATCTCTTCCTCGAGGGCAAGATTGTCCTGAAAAATCAGGAAATGGCAAGCATTGCTCAAAGCTACGTCTTGTTCCCACTCAGCGTTTCTTGATGACGGACTCCAGGGGGAAGGTAACCTTCCTGTTTTTCGAGAAAAATTAAGTGGCAATTGTTGACCAGAGTGTTCCCCCCCGTCCACCTGGTAGGTCTCCCCTCAGACTCCATTTTAGCTCTGCTGCGAATGAAAAGCACTTTAAAGACGTCTTGTGTTTCGCCGTTGTGTCAGCTGGTATGAGCTTTGATTCTTCTGATTTAGAGAAAGCCACACGTGCGTCTTGTAATTTTTTTTTTTTGTTTGTTTGTTTTGCGGTACGCGGGCCTCTCACTGCTGTGGCCTCTCCCGTTGCGGAGCACAGGCTCCGTACGCGCAGGCTCAGCGGCCATGGCTCACGGGCCCAGCCGCTCCGCGGCATGCGGGATCCTCCCGGACTGGGGCACGAACCCGTGTCCCCTGCATCGGCAGGCGGACTCTCAACCACTGCGCCACCAGGGAAGCCCACGTCTTGTAATTTATTCCAAAACCAATGTGACTTGAAACCTTTAGACAACACGGATGGGTAAGAAATTATTAGTCTGATATTTAAAACGTTTTTGACTTTGAAATGACAAGATTACTGTTAATTAAGGTAAAAAGTATATTTTGTATTTTATTGCTACAAAATATTACACAAACTAACAACAATTGAGTTCGGGGTGAGATCTGCTTTTTGCTGTACCTGCTAAAACCAGGTGCCTGGAGCTCGGAGCAGGTCCAGGCACGCAGCTCCCCTGACTCGGACAAGAAAGAAAGTCCCTTTCTGTTTGACACAGACCATCTTTCTGTGTTGGGAAATCCTGGGTGAAGTATTACTTGAACTCTCCCAGCGAAAGCAAACAGGTGAAGATACCTGAGAGTGTTCCAGCCCCAGTGGCTGTGGTCGGTATGGTCCTTGCTGGCTACAGTCTGGCCCCTGCACCTCTCACTGAAATTCTAAGTGAAAGCACATGACTCATGCTCAGCCCCATCCTGCTGAGGAAAACTTCACAGCACATGGGACATGGGGGCCCTGGGGGGAGCTCTCATGTTGATATTTAAACAATATTGTCATACCTACTTTTATTTGAAACATGCTAGTATTTCTAGATAAGCCAGTTTTGTTCTGAAAGTGTGAAATTAGAGTAATTTTCAAAATTGAGTCCAAATCAGAACAGTATTTAAAACTTGTTGCATTCGTAGATATATACACAGTGGATTTGTTGAATTAACTTGAGTCTATATTTGACTAAGAGCTGTGCTTTTTAAGTGGTTTTGTTATATTTGTCCTACTGTGTTCTGTGAAGTTTGGTAAAATATGGATAAAGCAGCCAGTATTTGAAGCCATTTACTTGTGAATGCAGAAACAACCTGATGGAGGCGGTTGGGCCTGTCTCTAGTGCCCCAGGGTCAGGTTCTCAGGCTGTAGCCAACGCAAGCCCTTCAGAAGCTGGCCTTCGGACGAGCCTCACCCTGCGTGTCTGAGTCGGTGGCCTGGCCCTGTGGCCCTTGTGAGCTCGGGGTCTGCTCCTGTGACCACAGGCAGGGTGTGTTCACTGTGACGGGACAGGAGGCTTGCGCCCAGAGGCAGACCACTGCGTGCCATTCAGGGGGGTTTCTGCCGGGCTCCCACGACACACAGTCTCTCCAGGAATCATTGCTGTGTGGCAAGTGGCCGCAGGGACCGAGCCAAGTGGGCTGGACCTTGCCACGGGGGCGCGGGAGGCCCACAGACCCACCTCAGGCCGAACACAGAGAGGGGTCTACAGGAGAACGTAAGCGGCGTCACCTGTGGTGGGGACGCCCTAGCTTGGCCTGGGCCCCGTCACTGCCAGGTAACTATGGGGGAGCGTGTGCTAGAAGAGTGAAGGAGGTAGAGCCCCTTCCCTGCAGCTGCCGACTGAGGTTCAGGGGAGGGGCTGGAAGGAGGTAGCACACACGACAAAGCTGGGAAGGACCCTTCGGCACAGGAGTTCATTAATGTTTTGGCTCAGTCACAGCGTAAGCGGACAGACTTGAAGCCATGCTGTCTCCGTTTGGCCCCACAGAGCAGGCCCCGCAGGCTGACCTGCACGGCGCGGCGGTGGCACAGAGTGGAACTTGGACTTGGCTCAGTGGTCTCGGCTGCACCAAGGAGCTAGGTTGAAGTTGGGCCCAGCCTGCCCCAGGCAGGGCCAGAGTGTCCACAGCTGGGAGGCCTGGTAGTCAGAGCGGTTCGATGCATAACTTAGTAGTGACCTTACAGGGGTTATGGTGGCCTGTAGGGTTAGGATGGCAGGTGATTTTAAGTTTATTCTCTACGTTTTTTTCCATTCTCTCCTCATTAATCAGTGTTCCATAATTTAAAAATTGTAATTAGGATAAATAGATTGACAGGAAGTTTCAAGAATTCAGTGTAAAATGTGGACTTTTGGTACAGAGGCATTATAGATATGTCAACATTTTTCTGGTGTCAGATGTTAAAGTAAAGCAGAAATTCTTGGTTAGTATCTTTTCCTAGAATACATATGATCTTATGGAGTTTTTCAAAAGGCTCTTATTGGGACTTCCCTGGTGGCACAGTGGTTAAGACTCTGTGCTCCCAACGCAGGGGGCCTGGGTTTGATCCCTGATTGGGGAGCTAGATTCCATACGCATGCTGCAACTAAGAGTTCGCATGCCATGCAACCTGACAACTAAGGAGCCCGCCTGCCACAGCTAAGACCCAGCACAACCAAATAAATAAATATTAATAAAAAATAAAAGTAAAAAAGGCTCTAAACTAATATGCAAATATAATACTTAACTTTCCATCAATGATGAGAATACATTTAGAATAAAACACCAAACATGTTTTTGTTAAGAACAGTAGTGTGTATACATTAATCCCAAACTCCTGATTTATCCCTCCCCGCCTTTCCCCTTTGGTAACCATAAGTTTGTTTTATATGTCTGTGGGTCTATTTCTCTTTTGTATGTAAGTTCACTAGTGTAATTTTTTTTAGATTACACATATAAGCAATATCATATATTTGTTTTTAGCTTACTTTGTATGGTAATCTCTAGGTCCATCCATGTTGCTGCAAATGGCATTATACACACTACTATATATAAAATAAACAGCAAGAACCTACTGTATAGCACAGAGAACTATACTCAATATTTTTTAATAACCTGTAAGGGAAGAGAATCTGGAAAAGAATAGAGACACACACACACACACACACACACACACACATATACATATGTATAACTGAATCACTTTACTGTACACCTGAAAGTAACACAACATTATAAATCAACTATATACTTCAATTAAAAAAAAAGAACAGTAGTTGTGTGATTTTTGTTTATTGAAAGATCACAGTATTAAATGTCTTGATCAGTTTAATGATTTCTAAGATTTTGTTAACAAAAAAATTATGATGTTGAAATGGAATCGATTAATCTGGTGATGAATTTCCTTTAGTGTTAAGCCCAGTATTTTTAAAAAATCTCATTTTGGCTGTAGTTTATAATATAATAAAGAGTTGAGAGAGGAATGGGGAATAACTTTCTGTTAATAGAGTTTTGCTGAAATTAATTTCAGCTTCAACTAGTAAAAGGACCCCAAATACTAACACTGGATCTTGAAAAATCTTCAGATATTTAGTGGCTTTTCAAAAAAACTTTAAATTTTGAACTAACTTCAGGCTTAAAGAAGAATTGCAAAAATAATAGACGTTCCCATAAAAGCCCTTCACCAGCTTCCCTGAATATCGACCTCTTACAAAGGGGACCGAGGAATGAGTGTTGTGTGGGGCCAGTGGTTAAACCGCAGCTGCTCTTTGGTGATGTGCCTGCCATCTTGGTGTCGCATTTGGGGTGCGTCCCAAACTCACTGTGCCAGTTGAGGTCTGTAAAGTGACTGTTTTTTTAAAAATAAATAATAAACATTTTGGGGGTACTTTGAGACTCTGTAACTATCCAGTTTTCACACCCAGCACCCATCGGGTACTGCGCTAGGCTAGCGATGGTGGTTCTTTCGTAGGAAAACATGTCTCCTCTGCCTTTTGCTCCTTTGTTTACTTATGTCAGTGTGGACCATGGATTATCTTCTAGCACCGTTGGTTATTTTGTTGCTCAGATTGCTCTGCCTTTGGCTGTTGGGAGCAATTTCAGGTTGGTTTCTGTGCCCTGTGTTCCCTGCCCCCTTGCGCCTTTGTTTTTAATGGTTTCTCAATTTCTAGCATGACAGGATGCCCCAGGCTTTTCTTTTTCCCTCAACCCAGCCCTGGAGTCAACCACCTCCAGGAGTCTGTGTTCCTCATAGTGGAGAGTAGTATTTAGAATCCAGGACCTGGATTCCACTCCCATTCCCACAGTGTTATCCTTTGCACCTCCGGCCTGGCCAACTGCGTGGACACCTGCGATTCCAGCCCAGCGCCGGGTCCCCTGGCCTCCTGTGATCAGTGCTGCTTCATCCTGGCTCCCTCCTCTGCGGCATCCACATGCAGTTGTTTCAGAACTGCTAACCCTCCCCTGTGAGAAACACACCCGCCCCGGAGGAGAGAGTTCCCGTGTCTCCTCCCCGTCCATCGAGTGTAGTGTCTTTGTGTAACGCAGGCACATTTACTCTGCTGTTGCAGGACCCCACTTCCTATAGTTTCTTTTTAATTTGCATTCAGGAAAATTCAGTCTTTGTCGTGAACAGTTCTGTGGGTTTTGACAGATTTGTAGGGTTGGGTTCTACAACTTCAGTACCAAACAGAATGGCTGTCGGGTGGGAGGGCAGCACCCCTTTCAGGTGATCTCTGTGTGTCTGAATAACCCTTTTTCAAACATTTCCTCTGTGGGCTGATAGGAGATGCAAATTTACAAGTCACACTTAGACACAGCACTTTGTCCCCACTTTGTTTTCTGTTGTTACCAAAGCCGACTGGGCACTTAAGTACCTTCCGGTTTGTCCCCGATGGTTGAGGGTGATCACGTAGTGAAGGGAGGTTTCAGTGAAGCTGGTGGACAGTGTGAGCCTGGGGGCTTCCTTCTTGGGGAGCTCGGTCGTGGTTTGGCTTGTGGGGGTAGGACCATCAGAGCTGCTTTCTGTGCTTGCCTACAGTTTCTGGGGAGATGTAGGACTCATCGCTCCTGCTGGCCTCCTGGGCCCCGCTGGCTGCCCACGCGTTTCTCTGTTTGTACCTGGCATCCTGCCCCGACCCTGCCGTCCTCGTCCTGCCCCGTGAGGCCTGTACACGAGACCACCCTCCCTGTGACTTCTGCTGGCTCTCATGAAGTTGGGGTTGGCCACCCTCGCTGCCCCATGAGCGTCTCTTTAGCCAAGGCCCCCGAGCCACAGACGGGCTTGTGGGCATGTGGAGGAGGGAGACTATGGGGTCAGCGTCCCAGGCGTCTGTGCAGATTCCCTTTCATTAATCGCCTTCCCTTTTTCTCACAGCGCACTGGTGATCGCTGCCGTGTTTGACCGAGATGTAAACTGCAGGAGAGCAGCCTCGGTAAGTTTTCCTGTTCTGTTCCTTTTCTTGAGGGTGTGGGTGGCTCTGATCTGTGACCGGCTCCCCGGAGAGGCTGTGGTCATGGGCTTGTGAAGCAGGAGGGACGCCCAGGGGATGGGGGCCCATGGAGGGTGGCTCCCACTCCCTCTGGGTCCCAGCCGGGGAGTGGGCTATAGCCCGTGGAGGGTGGGTCAGGATGGGTTGCCCCCGTCCAGGTGGGGATGGAGAGGGGGCCTGGAGGGTCCACAGCTCAGGAGTGGGCAAGTGTGCACAGTGGGTGCTGCTGTCTGTTTGACGAGTGAGTGTCTGGCCAGGGATCAGCATTGCAGCCTCGCTTTTTGGTTGGTGGGGTGACACGGAAGCGCAGCCTCCGTCCTCAGAGGCAGGGGCTCCATCAGGTCACAGAGCCCCCTGCTCCCTTGCAGCTGCTGATGGCCTGCCTGCTCTCTGTTCCCTGAATTACATGGGGTCCTTGAAACTTTCTGGTTTCAAGAAAAGTTTCCCAGGAAAGCTCAGGACCTCATCTGTGTCCTGCGGTTTCTCTTCTTTTGTCTTGAGCATCAGTAGGAAGCCCGGTGATTCTTTGAGAAGTCTTCACGTTTGTGCCCTGATATTTACCCTCAGGCAGTAATTGTAAGACTCATTGAAATACAGTAAGAATCGTTTGTTAAATCTGTCCTTAAAAATTACCTTTTGGGGAATTCCCTGGCGGTCCAGTGGTTAGGACTCCGTGCTTCCACTGCAGGGGGCCTGGGGTTCCATCCCTGGTCAGGGACATAAGATCCCACAAGCAGCACAGTGTGGCCTAAAAAATATATATATATATTTATATTTTCTTTTATATTTTCTTTTCTGTTTATTGGAACCTAAGAGCTAATTTTGAGAAGCAATAATAAAATCAAAGCACTGATACTTTTTACCCTAGGGAAGAGGTGAAATAAAACGACAGAAATAATTTTTTTTCAAGTTAAAATCCTTTAAAATCAGCAGAAATTCTTTGCATTAAACACCACCTAAGTGACCCCTGCTTACCTAGTGGTGCAAGGCTAAGGCAGTGAAAGGTGCTTTTGTTCGAAGCTCATTTGAAAATGTCAGGATCAAGTCCCTAATTATTGGGGATGAAATTTCTCTCACTGCAAAGCTGCTTCCTCGTGAAGACGTGTTTCGTCCTTTTTGGCTCCTGTTTGTGCTCGTTTTGTGCTGTCCTTGGGAGCCCGCCCAGCAAGCTCGGGCCTCTTTCCCCAGCGCCCAGGAGGTGGGAGCTCAGTGCGGGTGGTAAGCTGTCTTCTCTCTCCGTCCTGTGCCCTGGGGGCACCACCTCTCCGGGTTGTCAGGTGCCAGGAGGCTCTCACCACCACCAGCAGCCCTGGGAGGATGGCCTTCCCGTCATACTTGGGTGTCTCGGAGAGTGACAGACTGGAGGCCCACCCGGTTAATCACGGTGAATATATTTATGAATTTGTGAAAAGATGTCCCATTAAGTGGTTGTTCAGTGCTAGTTGTTGTACATGTTAGAAAGTGCCCAGCAGGCCCCCAAATGTGTCTCCCCAGCGGCCACTGGCTTCTGGCGGCAGGTTCAGGAGGAGGGAATGGGGCCAGGGAGCCACACTTCTCTTGACCTTAGATGTCCTTGAAGCCTGGGTGTAGCTACGAGTCCCAGTCTTTTTCTTTGGACGCCAAATTGGATGTTTAGTACTAAACCCCGTATTAGTTTTTGATGTGATATATGTGGACTCACACGGTGTGACCTTTGGGACTGCCTTTCCTGCAGCACGATTCCCAGGGTCCTCCGAGGCTGTGGCAGTACTGGCAGCCCCTCCTTCCTGCCCTTCCCTGGCCGAGTCACGTCCCCTGGCCAGCTGTGCCACAGCTGCCTGAATTGTTCATGTATTGTAGGGTCTCTGGGTTGTTTCTGGTTTGGGACCATTAAGAATTAAGCTGCTGTAAACATTCATGGACAGGTTTTTGTGTGAACACAATTTCTCTTTCTCTGGGATAAATGCCAAGAATACAATTTTGGGGTCATATGGTAGTTGCATGGTTAGTTCTGTAAGAAAGGGCCCTGCTGTTTTCCAGAGGGGCTGCACCATTGTACCTTCCCTCCATCATTCTGTCAGTGATCAGTTTTTCTATGGCCTCACCAGCATTTGGTGTTGTCATTGTTTTTGCGTTAGTTACTCTGATTAGGTGTGTGATGGTAGCTCATTGTGGCTTTAACTTGCATTTCTCTGATGGCGATGCTAGTGATGTTGAGCACGTTTTCATGTGATATTTACCACCTGTATCCTCTTTGGTGACGTGTCTGTTTAAGTTGTTGGGGAGGGGAAATTCCTCCCCCCACACCAGTCCTTCTTGGTGGATTTTGGCTGGTCTAGTAATTAAATTGACACGAGACAGATTAACAGGAGAGAAAGAAACAAGGTAATTCGTATACACGGAGGTCTCATAAAAATGGGACCCACAAAGTGACCAAAGCAGGCTGTTTCTATATCATTTTCAGACAAAGAAACAGTTATTTGTGAAGATTTAACAAAGAGGCTCATGAAGAAGTGACAAGGTTTATTTCCCTAACTGGTGATGAGGACGCTTTCTCTCCCCCTGGAATGGGGAGGGTACCTTCACATGGGAGATTTATTCCTGCTTTCACAGTCAGAGTGTTTTTAATATCATTTTTCTTCTACTGGCCGTTTCTCAAGTAACTTTAATTCAAAATATCAATATGTGGCTTGGGTGGCCTGCCCTGAGCCCCAGCAAAGTCTTCTGCCCCTTTTCTCACGGGGTTGTTTGTTTTTATTGTTGAGTTCAGGAGTCTTTTCTTTCTTGGGTGAGTGGTTTGTAGGTTCTTCCTTCCAGTCTGGGGGTTGTCTGCTCATCCTCTTCACAAGGTCTTTCACGAGAACAAGAGTTTTTTTAATTTTGATGAGATCCAACCTACCAGTTTTTTCTTTTATGGGTCATGTTTCTGGTGTCAAGTCTGAGAATTCGTTACTTAGCTCTCGATCCTAAAGATTTTCTCTGTTCTGTCCCATCAATCTGTGTCTGTCTTTTTGTCTGGGTTACCATGGCTCTCTAGTAACCCTAATACTGGGTAGAGCCATTCCTCCCATTTCTTTTTTTTCAACATTGTGTCACCATCTTAGGACTTGTGCTTTTTCATGTACATCTCGTATTATTTTTTACCTTTTAAATGATGTCACCAGAATAGTAAATGTGTTCCTAAATATTGCATGTTACGTAAATTGGCATTGTATCTTTTTTCCATTGCCTTTTGGTTGGTTTCATTTTTGCTTTAAAATTTTCTTTAATGAATTTATTGCAAAAGGTGCAAAATGGTACATAGCAAAAGTCGAGTCTCCCTGCTCCCAGTGTGAAAGCTGCATGAGGGCCCTTGGGGCAGTGCCAGTCCAGCTGTGCCTCCCCAGGGCCACCAAGTGCGAGGTCTTGGAGACGACCAAGTTTCTGGTTTTCTCTGTTTCCTGCCAGAGGTGTCGGGTGCACATTTAAACATCACGTGGGGGTCTTTGTGTTCCGTTGTCTTGATTCCTTGTGCACAACTGCATGTGCTCCTCCCAGCGCCCGCAGGGGATGATGAAGTTGTAGCTGAAATGAAAGCCCTAGAGGTTACGACCTCATTTCCAGGAAGCTCCTGCCCCAGGCATTGGGGCTGCGTCTACAGGCAGGGTCACCCCTCCCAGGTGCTCCCTGAAGCCACCAGCCACCCGCCCTCTGCCCTCTGACCTGTCTCTCTGGTGGACGGCGCGTGGCGATGAGGTTGCATTGTGCGCAGCTGCACGCCTTGGGCGTTTACTAGCTGGTGGCAAGAAGGTCCACCTAAGGATGCCTCATTCTAAGGTAATGTTTTGACCTTGTGAATAGCCCAGCTCTGGGCCTGTGAGCAGGACGTGGAGCATGTCCGTGGCAGGTCCTGGGGAAGGCAGCATGGGGAGACCCGGCACTCAGGGTCACTGTCCTGTGAGCTGTCCTCACACATCCCCAGGAAAATGATTTGTGTTTTGGGCTTTTAGTTAACCAAACAGATATGACTCTATTCTTTTTTTTTTCTTTTCTTTTTTTTTGCGGTATGCGGGCCTCTCACTGCCGTGGCCTCTCCCGTTGTGCAGCACAGGCTCCGGACGCACAGGCCCAGTGGCCATGGCTCACAGGCCCAGCCACTCCGCGGCATGTGGGATCTTCCCGGACCGGGGCACGAACCCGTGTCCCCTGCATCGTCAGGCGGACTCTCAACCACTGCGCCACCAGGGAAGCCCATGACTCTATTCTTATTTTTGTATCTAAGACCTTGAATTAGGCTTTGGTGTGAAGCTCAGCATTGGGCCGCTAAGCTGATTTTATAAAATTCTTAAATCATGGTTTTAAAGCACACCAGGATGTAAAATCAGAAAGATAAACCACCCTTGAGGCTCTGAGTGGCCAGCACTGAGGATCTTTATTTAAAAAACAGTCATGGCTCATTGGTCCTGCACTGGATTTGCTGTGCGTCCATCACTCATGTCCAGCGAGTGCACACCTAACTCACCGCTGTGTTTGTGCTTCTCTTCCTAGGCTGCTTTCCAGGAGAACGTGGGAAGACAGGTATGGCTATTTTCAAAAATCTTCATTCCTAAAACTTCCTGTAGATGTAGAAGTAGAAATAGTAAAGCTACAAACGTGGGTAAAGAATTCACCTAGAATAAGCTAGTACTTCACACTGTGACTTCTGGTCGCAGATTCACTCATAATGTGACTCAGGTGAGTGTTGACACAAGTTTTAAACAATTAGTTGTTGTTTTACAGGAAACTTGAATGTGTAAGTAATTTTCACACACGTCAGAAATCAGTGCCTTGTGCATTGCCGGGGGCCTTCTGATGTCAGCAGTTGCCCGTGGGCGCTGGAGGGGTGTGGGCAGAGGAGCCTGGCAGGGCAGGGGCAGAGACGTGACCCCTGCCTGTCCCACGTGTGGAAGGAGCCAGCTTCTGCCTGCCAGCCGCCCCATGGCCCCTCCTGACTTGACATCGTGCCCCCGGCCCTGAACCTCTTATTGCGGTCAGCCTGGGCTGGGAGGTGTGGCCTTTATCCCCAAGTCATTCATACTGTGTTTGACGATGACCACCCTGGGACACGTGGCCAGTCTGGCAGCAAATTAGCCATCTCAAGGGTCAGTTTCCCATGGCCAAGGGAGCCCAGGAGAGAGATCTGGGCTGGAGGTGAGTGCATTGTGGGCCTGGGGATCAGCAGGTGATACTGGGGACAAGCGGTGACGGGCCTTGAGGGGCAGAGGTCAGGCTGCAGGACCAAGGGGAGCCCACGCAGAGTGGCTGCTCAGCAGGTGGGAGGACGGGAGAGGTGGGCGTGCACAAGAGGGAAGGCTTGGACAAACACGGGATTCCAAGACTCCTGCCTGGACGTCTGCGAGAAAGCGTGCATGCAGGGACTGTCCCCTTGGATGCCCTCGAGTCTGTCAGGGTTCCCACAGCGGGGCTGGCCTTGCTGTTGAACCGGGGCCTGCGTTCCCAGTGCTGGGTCCACTCGCCCTTCCTGGGCCGCCAAAGGCCAGGGAGAGGGGGTGATGCTGCAGCTGTGGCTTCCACAGAGGTGTCGTTTGGGGCACGGTGGGAAGTTCTCCCGGAAGTGTGGGCTGCTGGGTGAGGCGCTCCGTCCACATGGCCTGGGTGTTGGCGAGGGGTCCCGCAGCACTCAGGGTGGAGCAGAGAGAGGAGCCAGCGGGGCTTCAGGCTGGACCAGGTCTGTGGAGGGCGGCCGATGTGCTGACCTTCCATCAAAGGCGACAGAGCAGCCAAGGGGCGGAGAGGAGGGAGGCTTAGCTGGAGGTTCTGCAGCCTGTGCTGTGAGCTGTGAGCGTGTGTGTGGGAGGGGCCGGGGCCTTGAGATGAGGTGTCCAGTTCTGAATGCAACGTTAAGGCTAAACTGATGCCAAGATGGGTCCAAACGAAGTCTCGGATTCCACAGTCATTGCCAAAGACAGAGGGAACCAAATCACTCATCTTGAACTTGAATTCGTGCTACCTTGAAATTGTTGGGGTGCTGCCTCATTCTGTGGGTGTGCTTGTCTGTGGAAGGAGCCCAGTAAGGTCACAGCCTTTCTTCCGTGGCTGGGGGGTGACTGAGACCCAGTATCCTTGGGTGTCCCTTAGTCCTGAAAACCTGGAGCCCTGAAAAGCCCAGAAGAAAGCTGGTCACTAGACAGAGATGCCAACCTCGGGTGGCGACAGGCTTCGCTGTGTCAGGGCAGCAAGTGCTGCCTGCAGGACGAGGGAGGCTGACAGGGAGAAATGTGGGGTTGTTGAGGGGCCCGCAGGCCAAGATCTGGGCCTGCAGAGGAGGGCGGGGCTGTGATCAAGAAGGGAACTGCTGGAGGCTGAGCCAGGGGAGACTGGGTACCCTGAAAGTACCCAGGAGAAGAGGTGTCTCCCTCCCACCTCCAGCCCCCACGGCACCCCTGTCGGCAGAGCCCCAGGTTCCAGAAGACACCAGGGCGGTCAGGAGCTGGGCAGTACTGCTCCCTGCGCAGTCGGAGCGTGGGGGCCACTCAGGTTGGGGGGTCCATCAGGGAATGAAGGTGAGCAGCTAGGGTCCTTGTGCCCTTACCCTTCTTGTCTCCCCGTGCACCGGTGTTTATGGTAAAACCGGCCTGCGCAGTCCAGGGGAAGCCATGCCGATGTTTAAGAGGTGCGTACTGTGGGCCTGCACTCAGTGACATCCTTCTGCAGCTTGACAGGAACGAGGAGGAGAAGGATGTGAACCTGCCAAAGGAAATGGGGGCGTGGGAGGGGAGTGTGGAGAGGGCACATGTATCCCCAGACATGGGGCGAGGCCATGTGTGATGGACTTGCTGAGGGCATGGAGCGCAAGTGAGGGGCAGCAGGGGGCGTGTTTGTCCACGGCCCTGGGGTGGGATGTCCTCTGGGCTCCTGGGTGCGAGCACAGACCCTGTCTTTGGCCACCTTCAGCGACGGGGGAATTTGCAGGAGGAATTTGGTGGGGGCGCCCATCTCTCCGTCCAGGCTCACCTCTGCCTACCGGGGACTCAGGCCTGAGCGAGGGGTCCTGAGCCTCCACTCCCGGCTCCCAGAGAAACCTTGGGAGGGATTTGCTGGAACACAGCCCCCTCTGTCCGTTCTGTCCCTCCTTGCAGGGATGAGCTGTCTGGACAGAGATGTGACACTTCGGCATGCAGTGGCCGGACCAAGAAGATCTTGGGGTGTCAGGAGGCATCTGAACGTTGCCCAGGGGGCGGCAGGCTTGGGTGGTGGAGCAAAGGGCACCACCTCCTCCTGCAGCCACAGTGGCCTTTATCTGACTCGGCCTCAGGCTGGTCTGGGGTGGACTGGAGTCCAGCAGGAGTCAGCCTGGCGTGCGGTTGCCTCGTGGGTGGTGGGGGCCATCCCCTGCACTGAGCTGTGTCGGGAGACTGATAGGCTTTTAGGTTCGCTTGGGAACCAAACCTCTGATTCTGACATTGTGTCCGTGACGGACATGCTGGGGTCTGTTGACAATTTGGAGTCAGATCCCAAGTTCTTCGTATGCAGGGCTCCCTCGAGACAGTGTGGGAGGTTAGCAGTCAGTGGGTCCATAGTCTACGGCTTGCTCAGAGTGGGGAAGGGCTCTGGGGACCCAGGCCTCACCACACCCTCCTATGGTTGGTGACAGCAAGGCATTCACTCCTTGGTCGAAAGTTTGTCATTTATGTCCTTTTAGAAAACTATTTGGGGACTTCCCTGGTGGTGCAGAGGTTAACAATCCGCCTGCCAATGCAGGGAACAAGGGTTCGAGTCCTGGTCTGGGAAGATCCCACATGCCGTGGAGCAGCTAAATCCATGCGCCACAACTACTGAGCCTGTGCTCTACAGCCCGCGAGCCACAACTACTGAAGCCCATGTGCCCTGTAGCCCACGCGCCACAACTATTGAGCCTACACACTCTAGGGACCATGATCCGCAACAAGAGAAGCCACCACAATGAGAAACCCATGCACCGCAATGAAGAGTAGCCCCTGCTCGCCGCAGCTAGAGAAAGCCCACACACAGCAACGAAGACCCAACGCAGCCCAAAAAAAACCCACCTATTTGTCTTGTTTTCAGATTTTCAAGTATTGTTACCAGAGAGTGGTATCAATAATAACTTGCAGACTTCGGGGTGGGGCCTGGACCTAGGCTGGGAGTGTGTCCCTGGGTGTGTTAAGGGGGGCTGTCCCCAACTCCCCAACCCCCTGTTTCAGAGTCTGGTCCTGGGTGTTGGCTGTCAGGCCCCCACATGGGGCCTCCCAGTCGTTGTCTTGTTCATTCTCCTGCCAGCCGTGGGGGGTGGGCTCTTGTCCAGGATTCATAGCCCAGGCAGGCGCCGGCCCTTCTGAGGGGACGCTGGGGTCCTTCTGGCGGCCGGGGCACGGGTTGAATGAAATCGGAAGCTTTAATTCTGCCGAAACCTGATGTCTTTTTATGGTGTGTGGTTTAAAGAAAGGGCTCTTACAACATTTTAAAGTTGAAATGCTTGAATTGTTAGGAAAAAAATTTTTAAGTGGTTCAAATAATTTTAGCACAGTGTCCAGCCTTGGAGAGGCAGTTAGTAAAGTGACCTGACTTGGAAGTCCTTGGTTGAGTTCGGTTAAGTGGTGTGTAGTTTTAGCTTTGTTTATATCATGCTTCTTTGTTCATAAAAGTAACATGTGGATTTGATTATCAAACTCTGAAAATGCCTTTACTCAATAAAATAATTTTTGTCTCTTTTTTTTCCACTTTATTTTTTCATTAGGGCACTTTCCCTCATGGGATTGATATTTTGACCACAGCTGACTACTTTACTGTTGGTAACAGATCTAACTGTTTCCTGGTTATAAGGTAAGTTTTAATATTCATCATAAAATATAGTGATTTCTTTGAGTCACAGATCGGTTTCCACCATTTGGTTTCTTCAGCCTGGAAGGTCCACTAAGGGTAAATTTATGTGTGGAAAGTTAAAAAAGGAATTGAAAACTTTTGAAACTTTTGTTTCAGATTGATTGGACAGAGTGCATAGTGTATGATTCTGTTAACATAAAACTTTGTAAAATGCAAATGAATCCAAAGGGACAGTAGCAGGTCAGGGCACTGGAGAAGGGGAGTGCAGAGTCTGGTCCTGAGAAGGGTGCTCATTTCTTAAAGAGGTATTAAGAGTTTCAAGAACAGTGCTGGGTGATTATTTTTCTCTTAAACCAGCCTGTTTCGTTGAGAGCTTGGTCTTTTACAGAGAATAGCCACAAGCCAAAACTGGGCATTGCTTTCTGTATGGCCGCTGCTCCACTGGGGAGTTTCTCAGAATGAATTCTTAGATTGGTAGTGACTGTCCTTCTTTTTCTGTTTCAATAAAGTAGTGTTTCCCAAGTTGAAGTTATCTCTAGCCTGTTTATGAGATGAGTAAGAAAGAGGTATTTGAGAAATCAGGTCAAGGAATAAATATTTAACATCCCTAACAGTGGTTTGCAGAAATCACATCAAAACTTAATTTAAGTAAGTAAGTAGTGGGGCAGTGAGTCCACATGTCTTAGTTAACTCATTGCAACACTAATACAAGACGGATGATTTTATGAAGTGACTTATTTGCCTTAAATTGGGAGAGGAAACGCGCCAGTGCTTTTTAAAATTGTTAACTAATATGGGTCTTATGGGTAGATTCCCTAATACCCCTGCTGTGCAGACCATGCAGAAACTACATTTCTCCATAACCAGCATGGACAGATTTTTTTGTTTGTTTTTTTTAACGTGGCATTTGGCCTCCTTCCCAGAAACAATCTTTGACCAAGCACACTGTATTTTTAGCATCCTTTTGACCTTTCCTCAACATTTAATGGTCTTCTGTGCCTTATCAGTTCTTTCCTATTTTAATTCTGTTTCCTTTGATTGTTAATATTTGAACATATTTTTTACATGGGGAATCTCTTACCTTTGCCTGAGTTTCATGGGTAAAAGAACTCGTAGTTTTTGGCCTTGGCATGCTTTTCTTGTGGCTGAGGTCTCTGAACTGGTCTGCGTTTCACAGATGGGCTGGCTCAGGGTCTGTCTTCCACAGAGGGTTCTGCACACTTCTGTGGATGAGAGGCAGTCTGTGAGGAGGGGTCCAGCAGTCATGGGGAACAGGGTCTGTGGCTGTACCCCATCACCACAGGGCGCTTGGGGGAGCTCTTCCCTTGCCCCAAGGCAGGGCTGACACCCAGGGTCCTGCTGTCAGCCTGGACGGCAGGGCAGAGGGGAGGGGGGCACGTGGCAGAGGGAACTGTGCCCAGGGAGCCTGGTGTGGGGTAGGGGACAGCCCTGCAGGGAAGGGTCCAGAGTCAGCCTGGGGTGGTGGGGCTTCTGAGCCAGAGTGGGGCCTTGGGTTGTCCTGAGGTCAGGGAACCAGGTTTGACGGTCAGATCTGCATTTTGAATATACCGCTGTGACTGCATTTTGGTAACTGGAAGCAAGGAGACAGGGCCCCCTTACAAGGTAGGGGATGATCAGAGGGTGGCCAGGGCCCCTCACAACGTGTGAGACATGGTCAGGGGACAGCTAGGGCACAGGGTTGGGTCCTCTGGCGAGAGTGGGTGTGGTCAGGAGAGTGGAGGTGTTGGGGTGCACCATGAGGGAGAAAACGCCTGTGGGTTTTGGGGACGGTCCGGAGCTCAGATCCACTGAACACGCGGGGCTCACAGCACATCTGAGTGGACGCATGGGCCGATGTGCGGATGGTTCTCCTGGAGACTGGAGTGTGCGACACACGGATGGGAACTGAAACATGTGGATGAAGATCATCACGTGGGGGGGACCAGCATCGTCTTACCTCTACTTTTGCCTCAGAGCTTTGTCACGGTGCTGGTGACACACAGGAAATTGCACGTATTTAATGTGTAGGTTCTGATCAGTGTTGACAGGCACAGAGCTTTGTCACCACAATGCAGATAGAGACCCGTCTCCACAGGATTTCTGGGCGCCCCTTCTCCAGGCACCGGTCTGTTCCTGTCACTCTGGGTCGTTGGGTGAATGGAGTTGTGTGGTGTGGGCTCTGGGTGCTGTTCTGGCCGCCTGCGCTCTGCCTGCTCTCCCGGATGTGTCCTCCCTGCGTGAGTGCCCACGCGTTCCTAGTTCCCTCGTGTGATGAACCACGTTTTCCCCTGTGAGGGACATCTAGAGGTTTCCAGGTTAGGGCTTCGATCACCTTCGTGTGCACGTCTGTCTCTGGGCAGGTGCTTTCCTTTATCTGGTTAAACACCTGGGAGTGAAGTGGCTGGATCCTGATTGTTTTAAGGAACTGCCAGGTGGCTTTCCAGAGTGGCTGCATCATTTTACCCTGTCCTTGCTAGCCCTTGGTGTGGTCATTGTTTTTAATCGTAGCCATTCTGATGGATGTGCAGGAGGAGCTCATTAATTTGTGTTTTCCTAACAACTAATGACGTTGAGCATCTTTTCACGGGCTTATTGGACAAATCTTTTGCCTGTTTATCTATTGGATTGGTTGTTTTCTTCTTACTGAGACTTCGAGAATTCTTCCTATGCTCTGGACACAAATCCTTTCTCAGGTCCATGATCGGCAGATGTTTTCTCCTGGCCGTGGCTTGTTCTTTCCGCGTCCTGTGTATTCCTAAGACAAAACCCTTTGTTAAAAATTAGCTTTATTTGTGTTCTCCTATTTCATGACATATGATTTACATACAGTAAAATTCACTAATTTAAAATGTGGGTTTTGGCAGATTGTGTAACCACTACTGCAGTCAACACAGGGAATGTTTTCTGTCGCTCCAGAAAGTTCCCTCATGCCCTGGCCCTGACAGCCTCTGAGCTGCCTTCTGTCACTGGAGTTGACCTTTTCTAGAACTTGTAGGACAGTCCCGTGGCACGCGGGCTCCTGTCACTGTACGTCATCGTTCATCCATGCTGCTCAGTAGCGGTCCACCGCGTGGACTGCAGCTTGTCTCCCTCTCGCCAGCTGGTGGTCGTCCGGGCCCCTTGGCTTTGGATGTGTGCATATGGGTGGTTCTTCTGTTTGCCCAGCTGTTTTCTGCTGTGACTTAACGAGCAGTCGTGAGCAATTTTTATTGGTTTGTCTTCTTGCAGTTGTAAATTTCCTTAACAGATTGCTGGCACCACAACACTGCATCCTTCTAGAGAAGCATTTTGTCACATTTTGCTTTCTAGTAGTTTGCTTTCCAGTCATTTTGCACGTTCCTGTCCCATGAGTTCTTCAAACTAAGGAAACCTCAGAGTGAACTTTCTCTCTTATTTCCTAACTCGGTGAACAGCATGCCATCCACATCATCAACTCAGTTTTGCTTCTCCTTCTCTCACTCCCCACGTCCGGTTGGTGACCTAGTTCTGTCACTCTTGCATCCCTAACAGCCCTCAAATGTTCATTCTGCTTGTCCGGTCAGCTGTCACCGTAGCCCAGCTCTCACTGTCCTGTACAGTTGCAGAGCCTCCACGACCCCACCCCCGTCACTTGTCTGAGTGCAGAACGGAGCGCTTTCTCTATGTCACACCACCACCCTGCCTCCCGGCCCCCAGCAGGCCATGTATCCTCCTTGGCTCAGCTCCCCCAGTCCTCCGCCCTGTGGTGGACGCCCCTCTTGGTTTGCACTTGGCCGCTGTGCAGACTGAGTGCTCAGTAAGTGCTGAGCGCTGCCTGGGCTGGCAGTGCCAGCCGTGCATCTTCTCCAAGGTCAGCCGCTAGTTGGTGCCAAAGCTTGGACTAGAACTCAGGTGGCCGACCTCTGTTCATTGTTTTTTCTTTGAGGCCACTGTTTTCTCTGCCTGCGTCTCTGGAAGCTTTGGAGGTTCAGGATGCTGGCCTGGGGTGGGTCTATCTGTTGGGTGGGCCAGGGGCCTGTAGGTTATGTGGGGCCAGGAATTGTGTCTTGCCTCCATTTCTGACAGCTTCAACAGCTTCTCTGCTGTCCTCACTTTTCTGTTTTCTTCTTCTGACTCTCTCTCAAGCGGTTTCATCATCTTCAGGGGAGCTCTCAATCCACCTCGCTGCTGGTGAAGCCTCTGTTTTTCTTCCTGTCACGCCCAGAGCAAAGATTTCCCCCGACTCAACTCTCCCAGACCTCACACCTTGTAGCACACGCATGCCCACCCAGCGCCCCTGTTCATGCTGTGCACGTGGTGCACGTGCAGTGTGCCCGCACAGGATTTGAGTAAAATCGTGATTCTCCCTTCTTGGCCTTCTGTGCCATCCGCTGTGTCCCTCAGCCTCCGTGTAACACGTGGGTGGTGGTCAGGTCCGTGGTGGGGTTATGTGGATGGTGTGGCAGGTTCAGACAATATTTGTAAGCAATTGGGTGTCTTAGAGGCATGAAGTATAAAAGTGCATATTTTGGAATAAGTGATACATGTTCGTGGTATAAAATTCAGAAGGTGCAGGGGGTATTTAGGGAAAACCAGTGTATCTCACCTCTCCTTCCAGGCACCTGGTTCTACCCTGGGGCTCCCTGTTGGCCCCAGTTCCTTGTGTCTTCTAGAGAGATTTGGTTCATATCATGCCTGTGGGTGTGTCGACTTCCTTCTGTCCACGCTGAGCGGTGGCACACAGTGCACAAGGTTGGAACCCCTGAAGTGCTCATCTTCAGAGGCTCGGTCAAGTACAGGCACACCTTGGGGATATTGTGGGTTCGGGGCCAGACCACCGTAATAAAGCGAGTATCCCATTAAAGTGAGTTGCACGAATTTTTTGGTTTCCCAGTGCGTATGAGAGTTATCTTAACACTGTACTGTAGTCTTTTAGGTGTGCAATAGCATTATGTCTAAAAAAACAATGTACATGCCTTAATTTAAAAATGCTTTATTGCTCAGCAGTGCTAACCATCATCTGAGCCTTCAGCGAGTCACAGTAGTAACATGAGAGATCACTGTTCACATATCACCATAACACATACAATAGTAATATCGAAAAAGTTTGAAATGTTGCAGAAATTACCAGAATGTGACACAGACACAAAGCGAGCGAATGCTGCTGGAAAATGGTGCCGACATGCTCGATGCAGTGTTGCCACAAATCATCAATTTGTAAAATATGCAGCATCTGTGAAGCGCAGTAAAACGAGGTCTGCCTGTGGTAATAAGGATGAGCTCTTAGCAGTAAGGAGGCAGCTCTGTGTGTCCTGTTTCAGTACAGCAGAACGCACACGCCGTACGCTGCCTGTGACGTCCCGCGTCTTGGAGAGCCTTCCATATCTGGACATGGAGTGTGACCTGTAGATCTCCCTTCCTGGCCATTGGCTTCTGTCCAGTCTTTTGCTGTTATAAACGATGTGAAGTGAATATTCTTGTATATATCACTTCTCACCTGTGTGCTTATAGCTGAGTGAATTAACAGAAGTGGGATTGCTAAACCAAAGGGCATTACATTTTCAATTTCCTGGGCAGTGCCACTTGCTGTCTCTAGAGGCTGTGCCAAGACGCTGTCCCCAGCAGTGTCTCTGTACGCTTCTAGAGCCTTCCAGCAGCAGCTGTCAACCCCTCTGGCTTTGGCAGTTTGACAGATGGACAAAAGTTTCCTTTCCATTTCCCAGTGAATGAGGCTGAATGTTTGAGCTGCATCTTCTTTCTTTTCTGTAAATTTTAATGATTTTTCTACTAGGCGATGGCATTTTCTTATTGATTTGGAAGAACTTCATTATACAGAAGGCTCTTGTCTGTGATAGTAGTTGCAGATATTTTTGATTTTGTTTATGGTGTGTTTTTCCTGATAGCATTTTTCTCTTTTGGTTGAGTGTTTGAATGTACCGGTCTCTTCTTTTTTGGCTTCTGGGTTTTGAGTCTTAATTAGAAAGGCCTGTCCCACTTGGAGATTTTTTTTTTTAATTCTCCTGTGGTATTTTCAGGAGATGTAACTCTTACTTTTAAGGCATAATTATGCTCCATCTGCTGTCCTCGTATGAAGCGTACAGTAGTGAGTGCTGGCAGCACGCACACCTGGGTGACCAGCGCCGTCACTGAGATATGGAGGGCTCAGCACCTCGGCTCCGGGAGCCGCCCGTAGCTCGCTGATGCCTTTTGTAGAATGTCACACGAGTGGAGTCAGAAAGGATGGACCCCTGTGCCTGGCTCCTTTCTGTCAGCGCAGTGGTTTCTGAGAGTCATGCTTGTTGTGTGTGTCGGTAGCTTGTTCCTCTTTGTTGCTGAGCTGTCTTGAGTCTGTGGCTGTTCCGCAGTTTATCTGTTAGTCCATCTGTTACAGACATTTAGGTTGTTTTGTGTTTTGGGCTCCGATGAATGAAGCTGCTTAAGCATTTGTTTAGAAGTCTTTTTGTGGATGTATATATCTTCATTTCTTTTGGATACATGCTTATAAGGGGATTTCTGTCTATTTATAAGAAACTGCCGAACTGGTTTTGAAAGCGGTCGTACCGTTTTACGTTCTCGTAAGTCGTGTGTGAGTTCCTGTTCCTCCACATTCTCATCATCTCTGAATATTGTTTTTTTCCAGCACGTTTATTGCCGGCTTTCCTGAATACACACAACCAATGATAGACCACCTGGTTACCATGAAGATAAACCATTGGGATGGGTAGGTTTTGTGTTTTTGTGTTTGCCTAATTAGCTTATCTGTCAAATAAGAATTCTTATTTTTTCCCAAAGGAGAGATTAAATTGAGCTCGTAAGCCTTGAGTATATTGTCTAATTGTAGATTTCTTTTTTTTTTCAGTTTATATACATATATACATATATTTTTCCATTTAAACTTTTTATTTTATATTGGAGTATAGCTGATTAACAGTGTGATAGTTCAGGTGCACAGCAGAGCGACTCAGCCATACATAAACATGTATGCATTCTCCTCAAACTGCCCTCCCATCTAGGTAGATTTCATATTTTAAAGTAACTCCTGAGAAGTAACGTAAGTTCCAGTCTTCATGCCTGATGTGTTGGTTAATGGTCTATCTCCAGTTTTACTTCTGGAGACCTCAGTGAAGTCTGCTGGGTGTGGAAACTTTGCCATGTCATGGAGGGCGGGTAGCCTCCTGAGGGCGAGGACCTTAGGCTGTGGGATCTGCCTCATCTGCTCTGCGGCCAGGGCATCCCAGCTCGAGTCCGATCCATGTGGCCGCTTAGCCGTCTTCTCCATCCTTCCTGGAGCCAGGCAGGCCTGTAGCTTTTTCGTGATTACGAAGCAGCTTCAAGGTGTCTTAGCATTTCCAGCAGTTAAACGTGTCCCTTCAAAGGGGAGGGCCAGTGTATAACCCAGAGCGGGTATCAGTGCTTCTGTCAGCACCTCAGGGAAGACAGCTTATTTTCTCTTGGGAGGCTCGGTGTGGCTGCTGGTGCTCAGGCCGTGGTCTGAGGGACACAAACGCCAAGTAGCTTCTTCAGGTTCTGCGTCCGGAACCCCAGCTTACAGTGGGTGTTTGTTGCAGTCAATAGGACATTTAAAACCAAAATTGCAACTGTGTCATCCATGGTGTTAGACTAAACTTTTGAGCTATTGAAATCTCCAGCTGTTGTTGAAATGTTTATTTCTTCTTTCATTTCTGTCAGGTTTCTTTCACATATTTTGGGTGGGACTCTCTGGTTAGGTGCAATTACATTTCTAACTTTTGTATCTTCCAGATGTATTAACCGTTTATTGTTATGAAATGTCCCTTTTTGTTTCACGTTAGATTTCTTGTCTTAAAGTGTAATTTGATATTATTATGGCTGAAGGGTTGGCAAGCTTTTTCTTTAAAGGGCCAGAGAGTAAACATTTTAGGTCAGTGTCCCATGTATTTTATTGTTTTTTTCTTTTCTAAGATTTATTATTTATTTATTTAATTTATTTTTGTCTGTGTCGGGTCTTAGTTGTGGCACGCAGGATCTTTGCTGAGGCATGTGGGATCTTTCGTTGGGGGGCGCGGGCTCTTTGTTCTGGTGCACAGGCTTCTCTCTAGTTGTGGTATGCAGGTTTTCTCTTCTCTAATTGTGATGCACGGGCTCCAGGGCACACGGCCTCTGTTGCTGTGGCGGGTTCCAGGGCGAGTGCTCTGTAGTCTGCGGCACGCGAGCTCTCTAGTTGAGGTGCGCAAGCTCAGTAGTTGTGGCGCATGGGCTTAGTTGCCCCGCTGGCATGTGGGATCTTAGTTCCCTCACCAGGGATCGAACCCATGTCCCCTGCATTGCAAGGTGAATTCTTTACCACTGGACCACCAGGGAAGTCCCCTGTTTTTTTCTTTTTAAACCCTTTAAAAATGTGAAAACCATTCGAAGCTGGGGCCTTACAAAAAGAGGCCTCTCACAGCCACTATTGTCCTGCACCCTTGTCTGTGTGTCCGGGGGATGGCGGATGGTCCCGCCTTTACATCCAGCCTGACAGCGTCTGCCTTTTGTTTGAGGGCTTCAGTCCTTTCACATCTGAAGTGGTTATCAATTTATACCTGTCATTTTGCTATTTGGTTTCTATTTTTTCTTTTTTTGTTGTTGTTAATTTTATTTAAAATATTCTTTGTGGAAATACTCTGTTTAGTATAAGCTCTAAAAACCTGAAGTTTCCAGGATGTATGAATCACAGAATGGAGGGGAAATTGCAGTCAGATTTGAAGGTCCTTACGATAACACCTGCTCACATTTTCTCAAATGTTGGGATTCACAGAGCATGATTATGACCTAATTTTCTTATGATTCTTCAGAGATGGAGATATTTCTGCCTTTCTCTGTTTTTGGCCTGGATTACATCCATGAGGAGATATCAGCTAAAAGTTCATAAATAGGGTCTCTTCAATTTCCTGTGAATACATGGCTTGTAGAAAATGGGGAGCCTTAGAGAATTCTTTACAGACATTCTTTAGTGGTGTATTTATACCTTCACTAGTATAGGTATTCTATTATACTTTTAATAGTATACACTTTTGAGAAGTATTATCCGTTGTTTTGGGTTTCTTTTTAAACATTTTCTGATAAACAACTAGCTCCTACAGTATAGCACAGGGAACTATATTTAATATCCTGTGATAAACCATAATGGGAAAGAATGTGGAAAAGAATATATATGTATAACTGAGTCACTCTGCTGCACAGAAATTAACACATTGTAAATCAACTATAATTCAATAGAATTAAAAAAAGTTTTCTGATACTTAGACATACCCCAAATAATTTATGTATCAAAATAAACATAATTAAAAATTTTTTGACTGTGGTAAAATACATGTAATATTTATCTTAATCATTTTTAGTGTAGAGTTCAGCTAAGTACATTCCCCTTTCTGTACAACCAACTTTTTCATCTTGCAAAACTGAAACTCTGTCCCGGTTAATCATCGACTCTCCCTCCCCTTGGCAGCCCCCATTCTCCTGTCTGTCTCTGAATGTAACTCCTCTAGGAATCTCATATGGAATCCTACAGGATTTGTCCTTCTGTGACTGGCTGATTCCACTCAACATACTGTCCTCCAAGGTTCATCTGTGTTGTAGCATGTGTCAGAATTTCCTTCCTTTTTAAGGCTGCACAATATTCGATTGTATATACATGCCGCATCTTCTTTATCCATTCATCTGTCCATGGATACTTGGGTTGCTTCCACATTTTAGCTGTTGTGAGTAATGCTGCTGTGAATGTGGGTGTATGAATATCTCTTCGAGACCCTGCTTTCAGTTTTTTGGGTATACACCCAGAAGTGGGATTGTGAGCTTAAATAGTAATTCTATTTTTAATCTCAGAAGCCATACTGTTTTTCATAATGGCTCTACCATTTAACATTCCCACCAGCAATGCACAAGGATTCCAATTTCTGCAAATCCTCACCAGTACTTGTTATTTTCTTTCTTTCTTTTTCTTTTTAAATAGTGTCGATCTTAATGGGTGTGGGGTGTGAGATGGTATTTCACTGTGGTTTTGATTTGCATTTCCCTAATGATTAGTGACGTTGAGCATCTTTTCATATGCTTGTTGGCTATTTGTATATCATATTTGGAGAAATAGTTCAAGTCCTTTGCCCATTTTAAAATGCAGTTACTTGGTTTTCGTTGCTGTTGTTGGGTTGTAAGAGTTCTTTATATATTCTGGATGTTAGTCCCTTACCAGATACATGATTTGCAGATATTTCCTCCCATTCTGTAGGTTGCCTTTGCACTCTGTTGCTTGTATCCTTCGATGTGCAGACGTTTAAATTTTAACGTAGTCCAGTTTATCAGTGTATATAGTTTTACTTTTGCCTGTGCTTTTGGTGTTACATCCAAGAAAACATTGCCAAATCTAAGGTCATGAAGCTTTTCCCCTGTGTTTTCTTCTAAGAGTTTTATAGTTTGAGGTCTGTCATTTAGATGGTAAATATAATATTTTTAAATACAGAAAGCTTATCCTCAAAGTGCACTAATTAGAGGATAAGTGTAACTAAGCCTGTTAGAATAGCTGCCTCCTTGGCAACTGTGGGGCTTTATCTGCTCTGAGACCCGATCACTGAGCCTTCAGAAGTGGCTTCCTGAATGGGCTCTTAGCACATGAGACCTCCCTGCCTTGAAGAGCTGGCTGTTTTCTGTTGGAAGCAGACCCCTAAGCTGGTCTGGGGGCATCGAGAGGCCCGGTCATACACAGGAGGGGAAGGATCTCCTGCCCCAGCATCCACTTTCATCCTCCAAGTGCTTCTCTCTGGTGCTTGTGTACTTGGAACGTATAATGATCAAAATGCAGATGCCCCCTTTTGCATGTTTCTTCTTTAATATCGTTATCATGTTCTGTCTTGTTCTGTAGTCCTCCTAATTATTATTTTAAGGAAATGACTACTTCCTGTTCTGTCTAGAGCTCTTGGCAGTGCCCTCCTGACTTTTAGTGCTGGGACGGGGCTGGGGGGGCGTGGGGGAGGGTGTCAGCTTCACAAGTCGCCCTCAAGGTTTGATCAGACCTGTCTGGCCCCTGGCAGGTTCCGGAGGGAACTCCGCTTCATTAGCCCGTCCTGGGGTCGTCCTTCTGTTCTGTGTGTTGAGAATGTAACAGATGTGCGTTGACTGGAAGTGTTTGCACTGATGTGATGTATGCCTCCTGTCTATTAGCGTGAGCCTCACGAGCTTCCCTCCTTTAGCCCTCGATCTTCCCAGTGGTGGTTTCACAGGCTCTCCAGTACTTGCGTCCTCTGCATCCCTTGGGGTGCAGGAGGTTGGAGACATACTGTGCCATCCAGCGCCATGCAGATGGCAGCTGTGTCCTGACGGGGACTTGCATGTAGTGCCTCCTCTTGGTGAAGTCTCTCTCCCTCATTTGTTATGAGCAGAGGTTCTTACTTGCTTGTTAGTTTGTGTTTGTTTTCATAGTGTTTGACTAAGTGGCCATTTGACAGCTCCGGTGCACTGTCCTCTCTATAATTGAATAAAGCCAGAATCCTCGAAATGAAGGACTAACAGTGTTCTCTGCCCCGCCCCCCAGGGCCATCAGGGAGCTGTCGGCCAAGGCACTGCGGAACCTGGCTCAGCGAGCACCCGAGCACAGCACCCGTCATGGTAGGCGCTCCTCCTCACACTAGCACATGCGTGTGCACCACGGACACATGCACGAACACGCAGCAGGAAGCCCCGGAGGCCCCCTCACTGATTCCAAGGCCTGGGGGTCTCTCTCTTGCTGAGAAGGCTTTGAAGAACTTGTCTGTGCTTCATCAGGGACAGCACACAAACCAGGTACCATGGCCTCTGGGAGCGCAGGTGCTGTGACCACTGAGGTGTGCGTGTCCCCAGGAGCCACAGGATTCCTGCGCCATCCCAGCAGGAATCGATGGATCTGCTGCACACTGTGTGTTTCAGAAGTAGCCTTAAAACAACAAGTGAAGTAACTCATAATGTAACATATTAAACAGTGAGCTGCTTCCCTGGGGCTGCAGTGGATTTGCTGACTTCCTGGGCCAGGCCTGAGCGCACTTTACTCAAGAACAGAACAGCCAGTCTGAACTGATGACACGTCCTTATCATTAAGGAAAGAACCTGTATATGTTCCATCATGTTTTTTCCACTTGGAATAAGTAGGCATCTGATTTTAATTTAGGGAACAATACACAAATTTCTCCACATTATACTTATTCCCACTGACATTTATTAGAGAAGTAACTGTTGGTTGGATCATGGTTCTTCATTTGGAGTTACTGGTTTTAATCACACACTCTGGGATTTTAAATGAAGATTTGGGGCATGTTACCTCCTAAGGGCCCTTTCAGCTTCGTGGTCTGTTAATTAAGCTTAATGTCAGGAATCTCACCTGGTGTTTATTTTCCTTTTATGATAATCCTGCTGCCTGAATGAAGGGGACACTTTCTTCCCAGTTCAAGAGTGCTGACCGCCCCAGGATAAGGGATTTCCCTGATTCTTAAACACTGACCGCTACCAGCTGCCACGTCTGAGCGCCTGTGTGGGCCCTCTCCTGGCAAGGACGCTGTGGCCTCTGCCCGGCTGTGATTGTGGTTCCCCCTGGGTGGTGGGGCTGGTGGGGCTGGTGGAGCAGAGCCGCTGTGGGTGCGGCTCCTTGTCTGCGCTCCCTGCCAGGCTGCAAGGACTGTCTGACTTTGCTTTCTGTCCCCAGAGCACAGGCGTGGAGGCTTCCTCTGCTCTGATCGGGAGAGGGCGAGCTCTAGGCTGAGGCACCGTGTGTTTGCTGTAGGGTCCTGCAGCCCGGCCTCTGTCCTCCCTGCCCCCTGGGCAGAGCCCTGGCAGCCCCTGAACAGCAGGAAAGACCTGGAAAACAGTCTCTTTTCCTTCTTCCCTGCTGTCTGTTCTCACCCTGGGTCACCACCCTGTGCCCGGAGCCCCGAAGAGCATGTGCTGTCTGGGGGCAAGTGTCATCCTCGTTCACATTCCTGCTTGCTGTCCTAGTGTCTGCTGACAAAGTCTGGCATGTCAGAGACTTTAGTTTAGCCTTGGTTGTGAGATAATGATCCTGACAGAGATAACTGAGTGGGTTTGTTTCTCCCCTGGATCCTGAACCCTCGTGTCTGTCACCCTGTGTGCATCTCCCATGTGTCCTTTGCAGTTTTCCCGCGTCTGCTGTCGATGACACAGAGTCCAGACCTACACACTCGGCACGGGGCTGTGCTCGCCTGCGCAGAGGTCACCCACAGCCTGTACACACTGGCCGTGCAACAGGGCAGGTAGGAGCTGGGTCACAGCTGGGGCCCTGTCCACGCGCCCCTTCCTTTGTGCCGGCGGCATGGTCTCCAGGGGCCCTGTGCTCCTGACGACGTCTGTCAGTGGTCCCCTGTCCTCTCTGGGGTACCCCACCTCTCTGAGCTTCTCCTGTCACCTCGCTCTTTCTGAGGTAAACAGATTGTAAAAGCAAAGACACGTTTTCAGAGTTTGTGTTGAGTAGCTCATATATTCAGTTTTCTTTGTTCTTTTATCACTTTCAATAATTTAAAATACCAGAGAATATAAATTTAAAAGTGTCTACCGGGAGCCTTTTCTGCTGGCTCAGTTAGTATAAATAACGATAGACACGCAGCTTGGGGTTGCTGAGGTCTGAATGTTGAGAATGTTTTGTGAAGCAGCTGCTTCGTCTTCCTACTTGATTTTCCAACTGACTTTTCCTCAGAGGCAAAAGCTCAGAGCATACTGTGATGTCTGTGCTCTGGTTCTTGGACTCCAGCTTGGGGAAAACTGTATTTTAAGTGGCTTCCTGTCCTTCGAGGTGATTTCCTGGGGACACAGTGATAGCAGGTCCGAGTTGACCCTGCTTCTCTCCCCACAGTCCGTTTGAATGACATCAGCGAGGGGGTGAAATGGCACCTGTGGGCTTGGCCGAAGACCTGGCATTTATGGAATCCTCTCCTGGTGCAGCTGTGCAGGACTCACCTAATCCCCTGGCAGTGCGTGTGACAACACGTTTCCCCCCAGGGAAGGCTAGAGAGACCGGCCCCCGGGGGTTTTTTGGGGGCTGGTCGTGTGGGTTCTCTACCTGCCATGAACCCAAATCCCAGACTCCCAGAAGAAATCAGGTTTCAGCATAATCCACGTGGTTTGTGCAAACAGTCTGGGCAGTTAGGGAATGGGGAGAGCCCTGCAGAAATCCAGGTTTCTGGGTGCCGAGCAGGCCTGTCCAGGGCGGCAGTGAGGCCACTGGCTGCAGGGCCCTGACCGCAGCCTCAGCCGCTGTACTCTTTTCCAAAGCAAGTCACGGGGCGCCTGGGAGCTGGGCTGCTCCCCGTCCCAGGGCCGCAGATTCTTCCCGAACATGGGGTCCCCGCTCTCAAGCAGGCGCCTCATCACAGCCCTGTCTCTATTGTCTGCTAACCGCTGACTGAGAAGGTCTTCCGTCTGCACCCTTGAGTGGATGTACCTTCAGGGATGCCCCTGCAGGTGCTTGTGGGCTGGGAGCTGGCGGGCTACCAGACCTGCATGCGTGTCTCCCTGACGCTGTCCCAGGACCTCACACGTTGTGTTTGAACTCCCGCAGGCCCGTCTCGGACTTCCTAGACGAGAAGGCCGTGCAGGGCCTGAAGCAGATCCACCAGCAGGTCAGTGTGCAGCCTCTGGGGCGCCCCTCTTCTAGGTCTCCTGGTACCTGGGGCCTGCCTGCCCCCAAGCAAAGCCCCGAGGGTCAGTCCTGGGGCTGTGGTGCAAACCCTTGGGGTGAGCTCGGGCTCTTCTGTGTGGCCAGGTGTCCTCCGCTGGACATTGCACAGCACCCGCCTCTCATCTAGTCCTGCTGTGCAGCCTGGCCACCCTCCTCGCTCGGGCGCGTCCTCACGCAAGGGCGGGTGGGCAGTGGCACACAGAACAAGCACGAAGGCCTTGTACCCCCAGCTGTGCCTCCATGGTGGGGAACCCCGAGTCTGAAGTCACACCCAGGGTTTGTGTATGCACTTCTCTGGGGAGGAGGTGTGTACATTTTTCTGGGTTTTTGAGATTCTCAAAGGCTTCTGTGAGTCAAAATTGGTGAAGTATGAACTGTAGGTCTTAATGTTATAGGATAACCTGGAAGTCACTCTCGAGATGTTAAACGGCTTTACTGTTTGTTGTTCTGAGTAGAGTTTTGTTTTCTTTAAGATTTAGCTCTTTATGTAATAATTCACCATTTTGACGTCTTTCCCTCCTCATCCTCTTGGTGCCGTTAACTTTCTTTTCCATTTTGGCAAAACCGTACCATCTGTTTAGGTGCATTTCTCACCTTTAGAGTGGAGTCTGGTGCTCACCTGACACTGTCAAGCCGGGCTGACGCCGTGTAACGCAGGAGGCGGTTCAGTGCGGGGACCGTCCCCCGTCCTCGGCTTCCTTTTTCTGTAGAGCCTGGGTAATAGTGGGACCTACTTGCTTGAGTTTCTGTGAGAATTAAAGAATGCGTTCGAGAGTTGAGTGGAGTTGCTGGCGCAGCATGAACATTCAGTGGTGGCTGGGATGGTAGTTAGTGGTGATGCTGTGAATGGCTTCTCTGAGTTCCTTGCAAGGAGAAGGACCGTTAGGGTTAGTTTACTGCCTGAGGGGCTGTCGGGGGGGCAGGTCCGGGTATCCAGGCCCCCCTCACTGGCTGGCAACCCTCTTCCTCCCCTCTCTGACCCCTGGTTTCTCTTCCAGGTGAGGGAAGGAGGGATCTGGGCTGTTGTGAGGATTAAATGTGGTAATGCACGGTGGGTCTTAGTGAGGGAGGGGCTTGTTAGTGAGGTGCTCTTGGAGAGTGGAGGGGCTCCATCAGCCCCTCCTGGGAAACGCCCACCTGTGTGTTTCTTTTTGTTATTCTTTTGATGCTTGTTATATACCTGCTGTGTTATTTTTTAAATCCTAGTAATTTAAATAACTAAGTAACTTTCAATTCTTTATTTTTAGCTTTATGATCGTCAGTTATACAGGTAAGCTTTACACACCTGAAGTTTTATGTTTTGTGAAGAAAATATTGGGCCCCTAGTCATAGGTGTCTCCCGAGTGGTCCTGGCCAAGTTGCCTGTGCTTGTCCTATTTGAGGGGGTGAAGAGCCATGAAAGCCTGGTTGGATTCTGAGCTTCACTGACGACGTGGTGAGAAGCTTGCTCGTTTGATTGTGGAGTCTGACGGGGCTGGTGGCTATGGACAGTCCACCTGCAGCAGCGGCACCACCTGGATCTGCCTTCTGCCCTTTGCAGTGGGTCTTCTCTGCCCTGGAGGCTGTGGTCTGCCCTCTGAATGTCGTGCGGATAGAACCAACCTGTGGAGCCTTGGGGTCTGGTCTTTGTCACCGAGCGTGCTGTTTCTGAGATTCACCGTGTGGTTGGCGTACGGTGGTGTGTTCTTCTGTAGTGCTGCGTGGTGGTCTGTGGCGTGTGTGCTTGGTGTGTTTATCCGCTCGCCAGGTGATGGGCATCTGGGTTGTTCCAGCTTTTGGCTTCTTCGGGATAAAGCTTGTGTGAACATTGGCATACGAGTCTTAGTGTGGACGTGTTGCTGGGTCATGCGGTGCAGTGTGTCTAAGGTGTCCTCATCAGCGCTGGGGTGGGGCTGATCCTTGGGTGTGGGGTAGCTCATCACCTCTTTAGTTTGCATACCTGGGGCCTGGTGACCTTGACACCTCCTGTGTGGACTGGCTGTCCTCCCTCTTCTGTGAAGTGACTGTTCAGATCTTTTGCTCATAAAAAAAATCTCATGCTCTGTAGTCTTCTTACTAAGCTGTCAGCACTCTTGTCATGTTCTGGACACGAGCTCTTTGTAGACAGGTGATTTGCCAGAACTTTCTCCCAGACTGTGGCTTGCATCTCGTTTTTCTTGTGTTTTAATGTAACACGGTGCAGGGCAGTGGATGTCAGCCTGTTCTTGTTTGACGTGTTCTCATTTTGGCCGCTCTCCCTGCCTCCAGCTTTCCTGGCAGCCCAGGGCCTGCCGTGACCTCCCCGCCCAGGGTGGCTGGGGCCACACGGGGGCTTCTCTCAGAGGTTGCTCAGGTGACCTCACAGTTAGCTGGAATCACCCTCTGCTGATTTGGATCTGGTCTCAGTCGGTGCTTATAATTTAAACTTGATCTTCTTTAAGCCTGCGTCCCCTGCCTTACTTCAGAATCCCTTTTCGGGATGAGTCTGCCCGTGGTCAGTTTGCTCACTGATGGTCAGACCTGGCCACCTCTCGGACCTCCTTGCGACCAAGTGGGCGCGTAGGTGCGAGCGGCTCCTCTGCATCCTGCAGCGCCTCCAGGATGTGGGCCACGTCTGTGTCAGGACCCTCCGTGTTCTCCGTGGTCTCTGTGGTCTCCGTGGTTGGTGTGGAGACGGGCTGAGGTCTCAGGGCTTTTTGGTGGTGTCTGTTCCCTGTTTAACTGTCCTTCCCTTAGGGGCATCCTGCAGGTGATAAACTCTGCTGAGTGAGTCTCCTCCTGGGTGGGTGAGGCCTGGTGTAGACCTGAACCAATGGGCATGGCTCTGCCTCCCGGTTCCTGCTTCCTGGATGGAGGCCTGGAGGGGGTTCCCATGGGGAGGCCCGTGGGCTGCTCTTGGCTGTTCCACTGATGCTGCTGCTTTTCATCTGTTTTAACAGAAAGAAAGGAGTGACTCACTTCCCCTTACATAAAAACATGTTCATTTGTTTCTGGCGAAATGGCTTGAACTCCACGGGACTAACCAGGGATGAGGCAGGCAGTGAGCTGTGTGTGGACGCCACCGACCACCCCAGGGCCGTTGTGCTTATGTTGTGTGCGTGTGCGGCTTTCTTTGGAGCTGAAGGCTTCTGATGAAATCCGTTAGCATCTTACAAATTCCAAATGCACATCTGCTCTTTGCCTTTGAATTTTCTTTTCTAGTGATAAATCTCAAAAATAAATAGAAAATAACCCCATTCAGTGAGGCCAGTGTAGGAAGGTAATGCATGTGGCCTCTGGTGCAACAGAGGCCCTCTGGGTGGGACGGGCCTGGGTGCCTCAGCAGTGTTTGTTCACGAAGTGTGACTCCCACACAGGTCTTGGCCAGAGGCCCTGGCAGTGACCACAGAAGGGGGGGGGGTCACATGGCCCCACAGGACCAGGCCAGAAGGCTCTTGCCAGGGCTTGAATGCGAGGTGTCCAGTCCTGACCTTGTAGATCCAGCTTAGCCCCATTATTTCCTTGGACTATTTTCTTATTGTGAGTTTGGGGGTCCTCAAGACCACCTTCAGGCTCAGTGGCTTGCTGGTGGAAGGACTCAGAACTCAGCAGAGCCATTATGCTTGTGGTTATGGCTTATTGCAGCAAAAGGATACAGATTAAAATCAGCAATATAAAAGGCCCGCAGGACAGAGTCCAGGATAGGCCAGGCACCAGCTTCCTGGGTCCCTTCCCTGAGGAGTCACGCTGAATCCTCCCTGTGGCCACATGCACAGCTACTGCCACTCAGGGAGGGTCTCCACCACCCCCACCCCCCCTCCCCCCACCTCCAGGCCTTGGCATCCAGGGTTTCCATTGGGTTGAGCTGATTCCCTGTGACCTGAGGCCTCACCATAGATGGCACCAGCGTAGACCTTCCAGCAGGGCCCCCGGCCCAGGTAAACAGAGGATCCTGTCCGGCAGAACCTTCTAGGGGCTGGGAGGTGACCTCCCACATCTGGGACAGAGCGCCAGACCCACCCTTCCTTGGCCCTCACCTCCAGGAAGCGGCCTTGGCTGTGGAAATAAATCCTCTGTCCTTGAAGGGACCCCTTAGGTCTGCCTAGTGCTAGAGTCGTGCGTCCCATGTGCCCTGCAGATCCCTCTGCACCGGCAAAAGGATTGGAGCATCCCGTAGGTTCTGAGAGGCTGATGGGGCTGCCCCGTGACACCCTGGGGTGGTCAGTGCTGGCTGGCCGTGTGGGATTGTGCTGGGAGGACCTCTGTGTGCGGTGAGAGCTCTGAGCACTCGCTGTGTCCAGCAGGTTGGAAGGAAAATTCCCTGTTGGGGAGGGGCAGGAGGGTGAGGACTCCTGGCCAGGCCGCCTGGTGCTCCTGTCTCACTGGGAATGCCTGAACTCTCAAACCCAGCAAGTGCTTCCCATCAGCAGGCCTGGAGTGCTCTGGGGAGCCCTCGTTGAATTTCCTGTGACACTTGAGTTCATGGCAGCCTCATTGCTTGTGATGGCCGCCTCCCAGTCCCTGCATGTCACCTGGCAGTGTCAGGCCCTCCTGCAGGAGTGGTGACAGGCCTTCCTTTGCAGAACAGAAGCGTGAAACTCTTAATCTTAAAGAAATGTGAACTGTGGGTAAGTGGAAACGGCAGCTCACGTAGTCGAGGGAGATGGATCTTGATCTTGGAGGGAAATGTGAGGTGCATGTGGGATTTGTACCAGCCCCATGCTCTGACCCCCTGGAGGGTGTGCTCCTGCCCCTCTGTGAGTGAGCAGTCAGCCCTTGGGAGGCCGCCCGGTGTCCTGGGAGCTGTGGCTGTGCGGCCCCAGGGGTGCCCGGGCCCCTTGGTCTCTTTGGGGCCTCCAGTTGCTTTCTCAGCGATATGAATGACGTTGGGAACTGTGTTCTCTTTGGCAGACTGTGCTCGGAAGTCTTCCTGGGAAAGGGCATAGCAAGGATTGATTTTCTGTAACCCCCAGCATTTTATCTTGAGGGATTATGGGTCTAAATAAAATTAGTGCAGTGAATACCTGTTCACCTTTCCCCCATTATTAATAACATTTTGACTGTTTATTTTATCTCAGCTAGTGTGTGTGTCTCTCTCTTTATATGTGTATCATTTCTCTTTATGGAAAGTAAGTTGCGGGCATGTTGCTTCCTCTTTAAAACTTGAGAAAGCATCAGGGAAGAGCAGAGACTTTGTCCTGTGTAACCATGTACAACCAGTGTCCCCACCACACCCAGGAGAGTCGGTGTGACCTCAGTGACTTGTGAGCGCAGGTTCCTTCAGGTCATCTTCAAATGCTCTCTGTAGCCTTTCCCCTTTGAACTAGGACCTGCTCAAGTTCATGTACTGTGTTTGGTGTTATTCAGTCCCCTCCGTTTTTGTTTTTCATGATACAGTCTCTTTTTAAGAGTTCAGGCCGGTTGTGTTGTGTAACATTCCACATTGTGGGTTTGCTGGGTTGTTCCCTGATGGTTGGACCTGGCTTACCCATGGCATGGCTGGCGTGGACCCTGGTGTTGCCTGTGAAGGGGCTGTGCCATTGCACTTGTCCCCTAGTAGAGACGCTGAGTTGATCCCTGGGTTCAGGGATGACCTCCAGAAGGTCAGACGTGCCCGTGAGCGGGGTGTGTCCCCTTGCAGCTGGCAGCTGACCTGAGGCGGTGGCTTCGAGATGTGTGGATCCCCGGTGTCCAGTGCCTGCCTGCCTGGCCTGAATCAGTCGTCGCTCTGTGGCCTGCCAGAGGGTGACTGGCTGATCCCCTCGTTCGCTTTCCGATTTGTCTGGCGAGAGCAACGTCGCTCCCCACTCCCACCCTGCTCTCTCTTTCTAATGTATCACTATAGACTCACGGGTCCTCCCCGCCCCCCAGTACGTTGTAATCCAGGAACATCATTGTTATTCTTTGTGTTGCTCAAGCTGTCCCGTATTTGACCCACAGGAGCCTGTTTAAATGAACTCCTCTGTCATTTTCACATGATTCACTTAGTCTTTGAGCAATATCTTTTTAAACCTCTTTGTTTCTATTAATTTGCTTTCTGTTCCTGTCTTCATTGATTGCACTCAGTGCAGTTTTTATTTTCAGATCTGTGTTTTTTATTTCTTGAGGTTCCATTCGTGTCTTCCTCATGCCTCAGTCTCTCTCCTTCTCTCCTTGGACATGTGCAGAAACTAAGAGCTGTTCTGACCCCGCGAGTTCATTCCGTCGTCTTGGGTGCTTCTGGGTCTGGTTGTGTGGACTGGTTTTCTTGGAGCTGTGGGTCGTGCTTTCCTGGTAGTTCTGTTGGGTGCCAGGCTTTGTGGTATTTTTGTCGCTGGGCACCGGCTGCTGCTTTCTGGTGGTGTTTGGTTGGTGGGATTGGTTGAATCCTTTCAAGCCCTGTTCTGAAGGCCTGACGGGGCCAGCACAGTCTGACCGGCTGCCGAGGCAGCCCTTCTGCTGACGCCTCGTGCGTGACCAGGCCTGTGCTCTGGCTCACGGGGGCTTCCTCCTGCCCGTATGGGTTCCTGCAAGTTCCCTGCCTTCTCCTTAGGAGCATTTCTCTCCTCTCAGGCTCAGGTAGTTTCTTTTCTCGCATATGCAGCTCGAGGTCAGCGCTGTCTGGGCTGCTCCCCAGCCCCTCAGATTTCAGCCGCCTCGGCCTCCCCACCTTCCAGCTCAACCTCTTGACTCCGCAGGACAGGCGGCTCTGCTGGGCTTCACGGCTATGCCTTGGGCTCTGGGACTTGGCTGCTCCCTCCCTCCTCCCAAGACCTCTGTTTTTCGGCATCTGAACCTTTGTTTATTTCATCCAGTTTTCTATTTATTTAAGGCAGGAGGGCAAACTCGAATCCTGTTCCTCTACCTGGGCCAGGAAGCAGTCTCATAAACTTCCTACCTTCTCCCTGGAGTGTTTCTTGGATTCACGTCCACCAGTTTCCCGTTGTCAGCGTCCGGGGTCAGTCAGGGTCCAGACGGGCAGCATTTCCTCTCCCCAGTCCTGCTGGATGATGATGTCTTTCTAGTGCCTTAAGTTCCTTTAGTTTTTACAAAGTAAGAGTTGAACAGTATTTGGGATTTGTTATATGTGATTGTGTGATGTGATTAGTACCAGTGATTAGAGTCTCCAGTAAAAACTGAAAATCGTCTAGAAGGCGGTCACAGCACGTATCTTCATAAAAAGTAGTTCATACTTCCAACAACAAATGCAGCTATTTAACATCATAATACTTTTTGGAGCCTGAAGTTACATTTGTTTCTTGGTGAGGATATTTTATGTTGTTTTGTGTAACAGGAGGTTTAACCTTGAATGTTTTCATTACTTTTCAGGGGTCTGGGAGGAGAACTCATGAGACAAGCAGGTAGGTCTGAGCCACGGAGGCTGCAGATGTTGGGTTGTGATCCTTTTTTCCCACCATTGAGGGAAGACAAAAAGTCCTAAGGGCATTTACTTCATTGCTTTCAACACTGGGAAGTTCCCTGATGGGCCCCTTTGCAGGGACAAGTGGCGGGGTACCTGGCCTGCACACGGTAACCCCGGGGCTACTTGCCCAGCCCACTGCTTCTCCTGTGTGTGTGCACTCGAGGCTCTAATTTTCAGCTTCTGTGGGTTTTTTTTTTTTTTTTTTTGCGGTAGGCGGGCCTCTCACTGTTGTGGCCTCTCCCGTTGCGGAGCACAGGCTCCGGACACGCAGGCTCAGCGGCCATGGCTTACGGGCCCAGCCGTTCCACGGCATGAACCCGTGTCCCCTGCATCGGCAGGCGGACTCTCAACCACTGTGCCACCAGGAAAGCCCAGCTTCTGTGGGTTTTGATATATTTTAGTAGCCACGGGGCTGCTGGTGGCTGGGGTGGGATGGGTGAGAAGGGGATGATAAAGTTAGGGATGTCACATGTGGCCATCTTTCCCTCTTCAATACAATATTTAAATGTAACTGTAGAGCAAAGAACAGTTTTTAAGATTATATTTAAATGTTTGCAGGGAACTCAAGAGATGCCAACATGTAAATATCTAGATTTCTTGAAGCCTTTTCAGCTGAACCTACTAGAAAACCCAGGACTCTGTGCTTAATCAGGCGCTGGGTCAGTCCTGGCCCCATGGTGGGCCAGGGTCCAGGAGAGCCCCTCACCCAGGGAGGGGGAGGGCGGGTGGGGGTCAGTTGGTGTCGATGTGACAGACGTGCCGTCAGCATTCTGGGGTTGCAGGGGGTGACCACAGAACATGTCTGCTTGGCCAGGGACACGGGCTGGTTGGCACGCCAGAGGGCAGGTGGGGTAGCACCTGCAGTCCTGACTGCGCCTGCCCGGCCCCCTCCCGCCAGGCTGTAGTCATGTGTTGGGATCAGCCCGAGCTCGTGAGTACTCGGTGGAGTCCCCTGGCCTTATCTTCTGGGCCCTTTGGTGCATGTGGTTGTGTGTTTCCGTCCTGGGACTCGTGTCCCCTTCTGGAGCATTCCACTCTGCCAGTTCCCACTGTTCCTTTTTGATCTTCTTCCCGTGCGCCCCTGCCTCTCCCCTCTGCCCCTCCAAGAGTTCATGTCTGCCAGTAGCCACTTGTCCCTGGGAAGGGGTTTACAGGGTCCCTTACTGCTCTCGGTTGTCCCAAATCCTCTTCCTCACAAAGAACTGCTGGCTTTCTTCTTCTGCCCCAGTCCTTGCCTGACTGGGATTCTCAGTTTTGTTAGGAGTAGAGGTAGTGTGCAGATCCTTGCAGGCGCTGCAGAGACAGCCTTGCTGAGCTTCCGGACACTCCCTGTACTCAGACCTTGGCTGGTCTGCAGGCCAGGAAGGCAGTGCCTGGCCAGGCTCTGCTGCAACCCAGCTGCAAGGCCCTCCCCACGGCCCCCCACCACCCGGAGCTCCTGCTCTGATCTTCGTGCCCAGCCTGTGCATATTCAGGGCCCAGTGGCCACGGTGACTTCATGCAGGTCTGGCACGTCACACCTCCGTCCAAGGAGGAGCGGTGTGGCGAGTGGAGTCCCGAGGGAAGGGATGGCCCTGGCCGGTGGGAGGGTGTTGGGGTTCAGAGTGGCCACCAAGCTGGAGAGTGCTGGGCCTCTGGGTGGCCAGGTAGTTCCTTTGTCAGGGGGCAGGGCGTGTGTGGGGTGAGGCCTGGGTAGGACCAAGTACGGGAGCCAAGGGTGCAGTGAGGGCGTGTGGGCAGGGTCTCCCCCAGCCACAGCTGTCGCAGAGCTCCTGACCGTACCGTGGCCTGGCAGCGCACTGTCTGCCCAGGACTGCTCCACATGTCTTGAGTCAGACCACACAGGAGATGCATTCCCACCTGAATGTGGGAAGAAGTCCTGGGCTCCTAGGAGCAGCGTGAGAGGCAGTGTCATTAACAGGCCAGTCCGCCGTGCACAGGCTTCTTGTCTCTGCCACTGGGGACCGACCGGTATTTGTGACTTGACGGCAGACAGGAGTGGTGCTGCCGGGTCCAGAACACAAGAGGCCCGACCAGGGCCACGTGTGTGGGTCTGTGTGTGGGCGCACAGACCTTTGAGGGGCAAGCCAGGGATGCAGGGTGACTCCAGCAGTGCAGACGACGGGGCCCCTCAGCAAGAAGGGGAAACGAAGCCGGAACGACTTCACGGGAAGCCAGACATGTCAGGAGAGCAGGGGTTGGCTGAGTCAATGAGCTTGAGGACTCACTGTGCACTGCCCAGGTTGTGAGCAGAGATACCTGGGGCTGCCCTCCTGGACCCACAGATGTCAGAGCCAAGGCCACCTCGGGTACAGAAGGAGGAACTGGGACGGGAGGCAGTGGGTGGGGAGCTGAACAGAGGTCCCTTCTAAAAGCGGTCCAGATGCTCGATTCTGGACGAGACCTGCGGGGCCTTGTGTCCCGGTTCATTACTGTCGAGTAAGGCACAGGCTTCCCTAAGGTGTCTTCAAGGGATGTAGTTTGCTTTTGGTGATTCTCTTTATGAATGTGAGGAGGGAAGCACAGACATGTTGTAGAAATCCACAAAATGGCACTAGGAAAGCCTGATTTCAGTTCCCGAGATGATTCCTAGTGGAACTGGCCAGTCTCAAGGATCTGAGAGGCCTCACCTTGTTTACGGATGGACTGCTGGTGATTCTGTGCAGGAACCCCCGTGCGAGTCCCCGACCACATGCACGCCTTGCTGAGGTCTGGGGCGTGAGTGGACAGGAAGGCCCGAGCCTGGTGCACTGGGCCAGCTGACCTCCTGATATTCTGGCCACTACACCGACCCGACCCGGAGGGACCCGCTTGAGGCCCGCGTCTCTCACCTCCTGCCTGCCCTCGGGGACTTCTCTGCTGGGAGGTTCGTTTCCTCCGTGTCAGCTCAGTGTTCTCATGGGTTTGACGGGTGTCGCTTGGGGCATGGACTCTGGAAACATGAGCTGGTTTCTGCCGGCTGACACTCAGACTCTGAGTCGCTCCCCTGCGTGTCATCGACAGCTCGTAATCGTTTCTGGGTTTAGGGGCTTGGCCTGGGGTGGGGTGCAGGGCGTCTGTTTTTGTGTTGAAGCAGTGACTTTGCACAGAAACCATTGCTCGCAGTGAAGAGGAGATAAAAAGATCACCCGTCATCCCAGCAGTTGGGGACAGCCACTGTTTCAGGGATTCCTTCAAGGTGGTTGTTCCTTCCTTATCAGTTCATGTCTCAGGAAGTTGGGGTCATGTTGCATGTAGCCTCCCACACCAGCTGGGTGAGCTGCTCAGGGCTGCAGAGTGCTGCGGCTGCGTCGCCCCGCCACCCGTCACAAACATCGTCAGAGCTTGGGAGAACTGCCTTCTTAGGACAGGGAGCGAGTGCCAGAATGGATGTGCACTCCTGAGCCGTTCCTGGGCCGCTGCCGCGTGCTTCCCAGAGTGTGCCGCCAGCCCGGCAGACAGACAGAAGGGGAGGATCAGGGACTGGCCACCTCGTGCTACTTCTTCTTGGGGACGGCGCTGGGAAGATTTGAGGCTGAGTGGCCACTCCCCGCACATCCTCAGCTGTGTCTTATTGGCTGTTGAACCCATCTGTTGAATTCTTAATTCTTGTGTGTCTGTCTTTCATAATTTCTATTTATCTTTCATAGTATCTGTATCCTTGTCATGGTTTTCAGTCATTTCTTTCACCTCTTTGAACACGATAAGCACAGTTTATAATCTGTCTCTAAAAAATACCATCACCTAGTCCTTCTGTGGTTCTGTTTGTAAAGGCCTGGATGTTGGGTATGAAAAATTACAGCAGTACTTTGAGGCCTAGAAACGTCTCCTCTCCCAGAGAGCCTTTACCTTCGCTTCTGGCCAGACGTGGGGGATTCAGTGCTGGGCTTCAGCGAGCTGACCCAAACTTTACACTTCTAGGGTGTGGTTCTTTGGATTCAAACCCCCCTAGAAGGCCTGGACTCCCAGGTTTGTACCACCACCACCCCTTTGAGGCTCCTAGACGCCGTGGTCATCGTCCTGGATTTTAGTGCCTCCTCCGGGGCCCCCGATACAGGTCAAGGAGAAGCTGCTCTCCTCACTGGGTGGCTCAGCAGTGACTCCGAGCACTTACTGTTTGATTTTAATTTTGTCCAGTGTTTTAAGAACGTCTAAGCTGTGGGGTGGTCTATATTACCTAGTGTGTTCGTTTTTTCAACCTTTTATTTTGAAATAATTGTCAACTCACAGGAAGTTATAAAGTCGGTACATAGAGCTCTTTGCTGCTTTCACCAGCCTCCCCCGGTGACAGCATCTTAGGGTATCACGTCAAAGCCGTGAAGTCAACGTTGGCGTCCTCCCCACTAAACAGACAAAAGACCCCGCTCGGCCTTCAGCAGTTTTCACGTGTGTCTGGGTTTCTGCAGCTGCGCTCACAGGAGTCCAGCCAGCACCGGTGGGGGTGCAGGACTGTCCCCTGCGAGGCCTCCCGCTGCCCCTGCTTCGTGCCCTCCCTGTCCCTCGGGCAGCCACTGATCTCTGCTTGCCCCTGTACTTTGCCATTTCAAGCACGTTGTGTAGATGGAGTCTCATGGTGTCCCCTTTTGGAGGCTGACTTCGTCCATAAGTGTAATGGCCCTGAGACCTATGCAGACAGTTCTTGTGCTCATAGGTTGTCTTTCTTGTCTCCTTGTCTGGTTGCATCAGAGTTTGTTTTAACCCTTTGCCCATTTGGGCTGATTCCAGCGTTTGCTACCGTGAATAAGGCTGCCAGGAACGTTTGCATACAGGTTTTTGTGTGGACATAACTTTTCATTTCTCGGGGATAAATGCCCAAGAGTTTCACTGCTGAGTCACATGGTGAAGTATATGTTTCCTTTTGTGAGAGACTGCCAGACTCCTTCCAGAGTGTCTGCACCATTTTATGTTCCCACCAGCGATGTGTGAGAGAGTTCCAGTTTCTCCACATTGTCACCAGCACTCGGTATTGTCACTGTTTTTAACCTTGGCGGTCCTAGTAGGCTTGTGGTGATATTTCATTGTGGGTTTAATTTCATTTTCTTAACGGGTGGTGATGCTGAACATCTTCTCACGTGCTGTTTTTTTCTTTTTTTTTAACTTGATAAAATAAAGTACATTTAAAGTTCACATGCAGGGAGAATATCCAAGAAAATTATTTTTAATAATAATGAGGCTTGGCTTCTCCAGTCCCTAAGATGTCCTGTGAACTGCTCTGTTCAAAGCAGAATGGCATTTCTTAGGAGCAGGCGAATAGATTGGCAAAATGGAAGAGAGAATCGGAAGTAAAAGCATATGTGGGATTTGACGTGTGACAAAGAAGACGTGTTTCCAGCCTCGGTGAAGAGGGCAGTTTATCGAGTGGATGATGATGTCACCAGGGGCCATGTGGAAGAAAACAAAACTGTGTCCCTACTGCACACATATACAAAACTAAACTTCTGATGAACAGAAACTTAACTGATTAACTAAAAACTTCAATATAAAAAACTATAATTTAAAAAACTTTAAAGAAATTTTAGGAGACATTAGAGGATCACGTTGGTCCTTAAAAAAACTTCCTAATTTGGAAGTTTTCAAATCTACACGAAGCAAAGAGAAATAGAGTAATGGGTCCCATGTATCGGGCCCCCAGCCCCAGTGAGCATCCATACTTGCTCCTCTTGTTTTATCTGTTCCCTCAGCATATTCCTACCGGTCCCAACCCCAGAATTAGAAAGCAGATGCAGACACTGTGTTGTAGTAACACTGTACTGGTTAGTTCTAACTGGTAAACACTTTTTTTTGTTTTTTAAATTTGTTTCGTTTTGTTTTTGGCTCTTGGCACATAACCACCTAACAGAATTAACAGTAGTTCTGCAGCTAGAAAAGAGCAACAGAAAATAGTTTGTTTAAATGAATATTAAAAGCTTTCGTATGGCGGAATAGACCATGTATAAAATTAGTAGACAAAACATAGATTTAGAGGTAGAGCAGTTGAAAGGTGAAGTTGTTATTTATAGGCTGCAAAGACTTTTAAAATTGCCAATAGAAGATAAGCAATCCAGCTGAGAATTGGGCCATGCAGGTAAGTGGACACTTCACCTGAGCGTAGACCCAGATGGGCTCTGAGTTGGTGATGGGTGCCCAGGCTCGTCTGGTCACTGGGGAGATGCTGATTAGCTCCACGAGGTGGAAGTGTCTCCTCGGATCACGTTGGCTATGTCAGGGCTTGGTGGCCCTGCTGCCGACGGGGTCCTCGCTCTGGAGTGTGCCTTGTTACAGTCTTTTCAGGCTGCTGTGGGCGGTGTCTCTTATGATTAGAAATGTGCAGTCTTCTGCCCTGCAGGGCCACTCCTGGGACTCTGCACCCAAAAAACGTGTAAGGGTGATGGGCAACCTGATGGGCAGACAGGCAGTCTGTGTGCCGACAGGGATGTGTGTGGCCACCTTGTTTGAAGTGATGAAAACCGGAAGGAGAGCTTAGCCCGTCAGGAAATACTGAATAAATTGTTTCACAGCCATAGTGTGGGATGTTACCTGTCTACTAAAGAGCGTGGGCTCTCCAGCGGTTGGTTATGTCGTTAGAGAAAAAGAGCAGTTTGGCGGCAGGAGCCGTGTGCGAGGGCCTGTGTCCGTCCTGATTCTGCTGGAACCTCCCGCCTCTGGCCCCCGGGCCCCCTCGTGCTGGGTAGGGCCACGTTTGTGGACACAGGTAGTGTGAGTCAGGAGCTGTGAGGAAGAGGGATGGTGTCACTCTGTCGGGAGCCTTCCATGCTCACGCAGACTCTGCAGAGCTGGCTTCCTCACGAGCCTAGCAGCATTTCAGATGACGGCCGCCACCTGTCCCTGGGGTCCCTGGGTGACAGTGACAGGCACCCCTGTTGATGCGTGACAGATGTACAGCATGAGCGGGGGAGCCTTTGTTGCCACGGACGCTGAGCTTGAGGCTTTGTTGCTGCAGCGTCACCCAGCCCAGCCTGGCCGTGTGGGGTGTCGGTGGCCTGTGACCTTCTGAGCATGGAGGGAGGTGCAGGAGCCATGCTCCAGCTCAGCTTAGTCTCAGGGTCAGGTGGGAGCTCGGTGACAGAGAAGGAGTGGGGGCACGGAGCTGACAGGGAGGTGTGCCTGTGCCCTCTCGGCCTGTGAGGGTCCATGGGGGCACCCCCAAAATGCATGGCCCCCACAATGTCAATGGTAGTTTTCGATTTTATTTTTCTGTAGTGTTAGATTTTTTTCAGCAAATGCAAATTACTCAGTAGGAAGAAACCACTATGCTGTTTCTACTTTAGTGACAAAGGTGGGTGTGCAGAGGCCGCCCTCTTGTTGTGTTGTGAGTGGGCAGCGTGAGGAGTTGTGCAGTCACACGGGCTGGGGCACATGGCCTGTCAGCAGGTGTCAGCGGGTGCCGGGTGGTGCGTCGGGCAGGTCAGGTCATTGCAGTAGTCCCCATGGTGGAGCCCCCTTGGTGGCGGGACCATCACAGTGAGGCTGCCAGATGGAAGCTCAGGCATCCTTGCAGTCATGGCCAGTCAGTAGCTATTACTGGCCATGTTCCCACCCACAGAAGTGGTAGTTCAGTTATAAACGCGGACACTACATTATTCACAGCGGTGGGGAATTTACCAGAGCTTTGAGTACCGCAGCTCATCTGGGGACCACCCTATGGGGATGATAAATGTTACCTCCTCTGACCCCGTCCTGACCCTGGTGCTGACCTGAGACTGGGGCATCTCCTTTGTCTTTGGAGCCCCTGTGCCCCAGGAGAACCTGCTTCTCTGTGGTCCTCACTGGGCAGGTGCCTGCAGTTCAGCCACAGCTCCTGGTAACCTGTGGGTGTTGATGGCCCAGCAGCCAAGTCCTCTGCATTGAGTCATCATTGGGGATTCGTATGGGGGTCAAACCTGCAGCCTCCATATAGCACTCCCTCGACTGGGTGGGGCTCCCTGAGGGCACCCGCTTGATGCTGCTCCTTGTGGGTCTTGGAGCTGCCCCTGAGCCTGGGCCAGGTCTGGGGCTGAGGCCATTCTGAGGGCTTGCTTCCCGACACCAGCACCAAGGCATAGGGTGGGGGATGTGGGGGGTGGTGGTGTTGCAGCTCTGGGCTCAGGTGCAGCAGGGTAGGTGCTGTGATGGGCATTTACGGGGAAGTGACATTGTGTTCGTCCTTTTTCTTCCTAGTGTGCATTTTAATAGAAAACTTGTCCCTTTCCAAAATGCCCTTCAGAGGTGACGCTGTGATCGGTAAGTGCCTCTCTTCTCCAGTGACTCACATTGTGGCCTTTTCTTCCAGAACTACTTCAGCTTAAAAAGTGAAGACCAACCTGTTAGGGTGGACGGGAAAGTTCCATCCTGTTAGAATCCTTGTTTTGAAGTTGCTGTAAGAACCCATTGTAAATAGTGAGCATCCACCACACTCTCTCCACAGAAACAGAGACTCTCCCTTCTCTTCCAAGGGGTCAAGCTCCTTCCTCAGAGCTGCTGACTGGGGCTCTGCCTGTCACGGCCGTGCCCAGCACCCGGCATTCTCGGCTGTTCCTCTCCCAGATGGGTGGTGCAAGCCTGAGGGGCACTCTCTCGCAGGACGAGGGGAGGGCCAGCAGTTGCCACAGCTCTCCCTGGGAGTGGCGGCCAGGCCCCTGTGCGGGTCTGGGAGCCTCTCCACATTCCATGGCACCTGGCCACAGAGAGGCAGTAAGAAAAGCCTCAGGGTCACCTCCACCACTGGGCTGTCCTGGCGCTTTGGTCTGCAGCCTCAGAAGTTCTGTAACTTAAAAAAAAATTGAATAGATTTAGTGTTTGTTCCCAAGTAATTGAATTGAATGTTTGGGTTTTTATTGGTGGGGGTCTGGAGGGATTGTTCGGGGGAGAGGTACGGGAAAAGACCACCTGAAACCTGAAGGTGTGATAAAAGAACAAAAACTTCCCCACATGACAGTTTTCACATTTCAACAGCAGAGAGACTTTCCCCCTTTAGGTGGGGAGGGCGAGGGCCTTTAGAATTTTGTTAGATCTGGAGAATGTGTACCTTAGGTTTCCTCCAGGTTCCTCTCAAAGGTCACCATCTACTTTGACTTGAGAGGTAGAAGAAGATCTGTGTGTTGTTGTTTTTAATTTCATACAAATGTTCTTTACCAACTGAATGAATTTGTCTCTTTGACAGATGGTTGGCAGTGGCTGATAAACGACACCTTGAGAAACCTTCACCTCATTTCAAGTCACTCTCGGCAACGGATAAAGGTGTGGGGAGCGAGGGTTTTCTGGCTGTTGCACTGTGTAGAAATAATTACTTATTTTAGTGTTTGTTTCAAAGGGCTGCGTGCATTATGAGTCCCTTTTATAGACCAACATGATTGGTAAATGCCATAATTACATTTGGAATTCTGGGTGATACTGTCTTTGTAATTTATGATCAAGAAAACGAATGCAGCCATTATTTACCAGAATATTTAAATTTTTTATTACTGTTTCTGGCTTTATTAATTATATTTACCTTATAAACATTTTCCCTATACACTCTGTGTCCTGTTGAGTTGTAGAATTTTAGGGTTGGAAGCTCTGTTCGTGATGCTCATGTACTGATGAGCAGACTGCATCCAGAATCATGTCAGCACGTCAGCGTTAGTCATTTCAAGCGAGCAGGAGTGTGTGTGTTTGTGTGTGTCTGTGTGTGTCCCCGTCCCAGTGGCCACTACTGTCCTGCCCCAGGACAGGTGAACTTTGGACTAGCAGCATTGCAACCCCTAACCCCTTGCAGAGATAACAGTCTTGGGTATTGATAATGACTAGGCTTTGATATTGAGGATGAAGGAGTGAAAGTACATATTGGTCTCCCTACAGTTCTCCAGCCTCCTGTGTGTCTCAGCATTTCTGCTGGGTTAATAGAACAAATCTTCAGCCCCCCTCCCTTTTTTAAAGTAACTTTATCATTCTGTAGAATCCAGGTACAGTTTTACTAGTTGAATTTGAGTTCTTCACAATTAGTGCCTTAGAATTTCCTTTTAAAAACATATTCATAGTTGATTCATGCCAGCCGTGATCATGGTTTGGTCTGCTCCTCTGATGTGTATGAGGACATCCCTCCCCCAGCACCTCTGCCGGGGCTCCCTGGTTTGGGGGAGCATCAGGAAGAGCACATGAACCCAGCATTTGCCCCTCATTGTCTGTACGATCGAGAAAGGCTTAGATGAGTGACCGTGGAGGCGACAGGAGGGGCCGAGGGTCCTGCGTGCGGTGTGAGCCCCGCACCTGCACTTTGTCCCTCTCGCTGCCCCACCCTCAGATTGGCCCTTCCTCCTCGTGCAGCCCCTCCTGTTCCCAGCACCCATGGACCCCAACTTCTCTCCAAATGAGGTCTGTACATGGCCCGCCTGGGGGCCTTGCCACGTTGCTTCTGGGTGTTTACCACACTTTTCCTTCATTACTTCTGCTGGGAAAGAATAAAATGCCACGTTTTATTGTTACCTGTTCACATTGGAAGACATGGAATTTGCATTGTATGGAGGAAATAATCATTTTCTCTTCAGTGTATTAGTTGCAGAGAATATTAAAGTTATGACCGTATGTGACTGATGACCAGCAGATGTACTGGAAAGGGTGACGTCATTCAGCCTCTGGGTCTTTCAAACCGAGTCACTGGCCTGGTCGCAGGGCTGCCCGGCTGCTCCTGGGCCGGGAGCCTGCCGCTCACTAACATCTGCTTCGTTTCAGGAGGCGGCTGTGTCGGCCCTGGCCGCCCTCTGCAGCGAGTACTACTCTGGGGAGGCGGACTCCACCGTGCAGGGTGAGTGGGCGCCTGCGCTTGGCCCGCATCCTCCGCGGCTGGGGTGGTGGGTGGTGCCCTGGGTGCCCCTCCCGCTGCAGTGTGGATGGGGCCTGCGGGGGGAGGGAGAGAACAGGCTCCAGGCCGTGGAGACACCCCCTCCTCCTCAGCCCGTCCCACCCTCGCCTGGCGCCCAGAGGGGCTCTCTGCAGGCCACGCGGAGTCCACTTTCCTGGATGTTACCACTTTACGTGTAGAATCAACTCTTACTTATTTCAGCAGCGTTTGCTTAAATTCTGTTTTTAAGTCAGCTTTCCCCCGTTTTGTGCTTTGGAGGCTCCCGTTACCCTGGGGGAGCTCCCTGTCTCTGTGGAGGCCGCTCTTCCACCCCGTCCCTTGGTGCCCGTCCTTCATTATCGGGTGACTGTTTTCCACACTCGTTTCCCAGGCTCTGTCAGCTCAGAGTCGTCTGCTTCTGCTGTCCTGCCGCGTCCTCCTGATTGCTCCTTGGAGTCTGTTCATTTAGTGATTGCTCCGTTGACTTTTCTGTTTCACTGTAGTGTGTTTTAGAATTTTTGTATGGCCCATGGCAGCGCTTTTCTGGCAAGTGTCCTTCACGTGTTAATACGTCTGCTCTTTTCCTCTTCACGGGAACAGTGTCGGTGTAGCTGCCTCACTACACGTCATTGCACCAGTTGGGTTTTCCAGAACCACCTCTAAGCTGGAGTTTATCTCACACATCACATGGTCCTGTTTGTAGGGTCTGGTTCAAGAGTGTTAGTTTTGTATGAAGAAGCTTCATATTCACATGTTATGTGGCCCCGTAGCTTTCCTTTATACCATTTTATAGAACATGCACTACAGTTACTTCAAAAGTAAAACACTTTAAAAATTATCATAAGTGTAGAAGAATCATGAGTGCAATAGTCTAAATCTACTTTCTGTGAATTTTTTCAAAAATAAGAAAATATTTTATAATTTGATCTTCTGACAGACTTTCCAAATTAATGATGTTACACTATGTTCCTTTACGATAGGCAATTTTACATAAAGAGACAGAATGAACAGTTGGTCTTCTGTATCTGCGGGTTCCACATCCAGAAAGTTCCAAAAAGTAAAATTTGAATTTTCTGTGTAGGCACCTATTTGCATAACATTGACATAATATTTACAGCGATTGACACAGCACTGGCATTGTGTTAAGTATCACACATCACCAAAGATGATTTAAAGCGTATGGGAAGTGTGCGTGGGTTATATGCAAACACTGCGCCATTTTGTAAGAGACTTGAGCGTCTGTGGAGTTTGGTTTCCTTGGGGGGTTCTGGAACCAGTCCCCCTTGGATATTGAGGGACTACTGTAATGTTACTTTATATTAAATTGGGATGATCAAGTCATATTTTATTTTTTGCCTAAGAAAAGGGTAACATGTCATGTCACTCTGACTATAAAAACAAAGGACATTCTGAAATTAACATGTTATTGTTAAAACTCAAGTGAGTTGTAGAGAAGGATTTTCATGCTGCTGCCAAAGTGTGTTGTTTTAAGTTCCACCAAAGATATCACCTTAGTGTACGTACAAGTGGAGTTCCAGTTTTTTTTTCCTATCCTAATATATGAGGACGTAAGGTTTTCACATTCACATTACAGAAGTCATGCTTCGTTGAAATGTAAGCAGTGATAACAGGAATCTCTTCGGTTGTGGTAGGTAACAGAGTATAAGGGTGTCTGGCCTTTCTTGACTTTCTGAGCTGCGTTTTCAGAGAACAGATCTGGTTTTTCCACTTCACTTCCTAGAATTCTTGAATCACGCCCCGGACTTTCAGGGCCCTCTTTCCCATTTCTCCCTCTCATAACCTCTGTTCTAGGTACTCTTGCAGTTCCCATGTCGGGCTTTTTCCCGTGTGGGAAGGTCTGTTTTCCCCGCCCTGTGCTCTCACTCAGCCTGGCTGACTGCTCTGCCTGTTTCTGCCCAACCAGCCTTGGGTGTCTTGTGCAGAGCAGTCCCTGCACCCCTGCTGTGTCCGAGCGCTGAGCCCTGGGGGTCCAGCTTGGAACCACGTTTGCTCTCAGTCTTTGAGGAAGTATCCTCATTTCTGAGGAAGGCGTTTGTGTTCTCAGTGAATAAAAAATGAAAATTTGACTGTGTTGACTACCGTTAAACTGTCTTGGCTTTATTTTCCCAGGAGTGAAATCATGTATTAAAATGCTTACGAAAACCTTAAAACCACCCAATATAAGTACTCTTTTCTTCAATCTGTTGCGATTTACACCACTTTGAAAATACATCTACTTTAGGAGCCTAAGTAGCTCCTCCCTTCTTCCTTCAGCACCGTTTGCTTGTGTTCTGGAACGTATGTGAAGAGTGTGTCTTGTGGATAATGGACAACAGTGGTCACCTTCTGGTTCCATCTTTTCAGAGGAGCTGGTAAAGCAGTATCTCGCCGAACTTCAGAGCCCCGAGGAGATGGCTCGCTGTGGCTTCGCCCTGGCCTTGGGTGCCCTGCCGGCCTTTGTCCTGAAGGGCCGGCTCCGGCAGGTGAGGCTGGCCTGAGCATGGCGGGGTGTCGTGTGAGACCCAAGCGGGGTTTGTGGGCGGAAGGAATTCCTGAAAGCCAGCACGTGTGTGCACAAGAAAGGGGATGGGAGCACCGGGGGCAGCAGGTGGTCTTTGAGAGCCCAGTTAATGTTCTCACCTGAAGGAGACTCAGGATTGCTGACTCCCAGGCTGGTTAGGGAGCTGCGGCCTCCGTGGAAACACACCTGGCCTTTACTTGTCTGTGGTGCATCATCCAGTGTTTTCTGCGTTAAGAACGAATGTCTCCAGCCTTGTCTGGAAATGCTGGCCTCCCCTGTGGCCGTGGTGAAGGGCGCTGGGTCTCCCACCCCAGGACTCCTCCCTGGGGAGCTGCCCTTTCTCCCCAGCACTGGGCCCTGTGTTTCTGGCATGGCCGGGGGCAGAGGGGTTCTCCCTTGAGCTCCACCGTCCTTGGCCTGTCTCCTTTCAGGGGTGATCTGTCAACTCTCCTGACACCCCGACTTGGGTCCTGAGCTCCGGGAGAGTGGGTGGCGGAGTCAGACCCTGGAGACCCAGCTGGCCTCAGCCCACCAAACTCTTATGCTTGCGCTCCCCTCTCCCTTAACTCCAGACATCAGTCATGGTCCTGCCAGCCCACCTCCCAGATGTCGCTGCTGCCAAGTGCCTGGCGCACACATGCCCCTCACCTGTATCACCTGCCCCTGCCCGGGACACCTTAGGATCTGAGGCACTAGACCAACTTACGTACTGAGAGCGGGGACAGACCATCCAAAGCCTGCTCTGGGGCTTATCTGTTTGAAACACCTGGCTTTTAGAACTGAACTGTCCCTGGGAGAAGTAACTGGTGGGGATGTGAGAAGCCAGGTGCTCTGTGTGCACTGTGCTTCAGCTCCAAGCCGGGGGCAGAAGGGGATGCTGGCCGCGAGTGCAGGGTCTTGCCCCTGAGGAGGAGGCAGATCTGCAGAGGCTGCCTGGGTGCCAGGGGGTGGGGTGGGGGTGGGAGCCCAGCAGTGGGAAGGGTTGGAGGCAACCCCCTCTCCCCGCACCGTGTGTTCTTTGGGGTGCATGGCCCACCCGGACGGCCACTGGCCGCGCTGTGCTGCATTCTGGGAGCAGCAGGGCACCAGGCCAGGTCTCCACTTGCATGAAAAGTACATTGATCTTGAGGCTAACAGTTCTGTTGATGACTTGTCATTGCTTTTCAGGTTCTAGCAGGCTTGAGGGCTGTTACCCACATTTCTCCCGAGGACGTGAGCTTTGCCGAGTCCAGGCGGGATGCTTTGAAGGCAATTTCTAGGTGAGCCCCGCAGGTTTTCCTCCCCAAAGTCGCTGTTCTCTCGGAAGCCAGTGACCGAGCATGAAGGGACGTTCACGGCAGTTTTTGTGAGAAGCCCAGTCTTGGGGGCTGAATCTACTTTGAGGCAAATGTTATTTTTTATTTTCTAGTGTCTTCTCTCTTCAGAGGATTGTTCAAGAACATTTCAACTCACAGAGGATCGTTACAGTTTTGTCATAATGAATATTAAACCCGTAGCGTGCTTATCTCTGTGCTTTGGGGACACTGGACCTGCTCAGGGACTGGGGCTGAGCTTTCCACTCGAGACTGCGGCCCCCAGGACGGGGAGTGGCACATGTGGAGGGAACGCTGACGCTAGTCACACACGCACACGTCGGGAGGGGCCACCCTTTCTCTCCCCACGAGCTCGGGTGGAGCCCCTTCTGCAGGATGGTGGGTAGGAGGGGCCAGCCACAGACACCACCACCCCCATCCACCCCGTGCACCCTGAAACTGTAGACACTAGAAATGTGTTTTGGAGAAGAGCGTCACTCAGCTTTACGTCAGTGCGGAGGAACTTGGGGATTCTGAGTCTGCCTCCGAGTTGTGGGCCTGTTCAGAGGTCATCCTGTCAGGAAAGACACATCAGGCCAAAATGATGAGAGAGACAGGAGAGCTGCGTGGGATCCGCAGACATTAGCTGTGTTTCCCATGTTTTTAATTTCAGGATTTGCCAGACTGTCGGTGTGCAAGCAGAAGGGACTCCAGACGAGGTTGTGTGCAGAGAGGACGTTGCCCAGGTTTACTGCACGTTGCTGGGCTGTCTGAGCGATTACACCACCGACAGCCGCGGGGACGTGGGAGCATGGTGAGGCGGACGCGTTATCCTCACCCCCTGCTCCTCTCAGAATGTCCCGCCGAGGCCAGAGATGGGGCGTTCATGCTGCCGCCCTGGCCCCAGCCTGGACCCTTTATTCCCAGGGCAGCCGGGGTTTCTGTCCCAGTCTCTTGTTTGTGCATCCTCCTCTTTTTTTTTTTTTTAAAAAAAAAAAATTTATTTATTTTATTTTTTGGCTGCGTTGGGTCTTAGTTGCAGCATGTGGGATCTTTTGTTGCAGCGTGGGCTTCTCTCTGGTTGTGGCTCTCATGCTCAGTACTTGCGGTGTGCAGGCTTAGTTGCCCTGCGGCATGTGGGATCTTAGTTCCTTGACCAGGGATCGAACCTGCGTCCCCTGCATTGGAAGGTGGATTCTTAACCACTGGACCACCAGGGAAGTCCCGTCCTACTCTTCACTGAAAAAAAAAAATTAACTTCATAAAATACAAACATTGTTGTGTCTCCCTCGTCTAAGCCCCAGTTGTCTGGTCTCCAGTTTTACCTAATAAAGTTCATGCAAAGCCCCCATCTAACTTTAAAGCAGGAAGGATCTGAAACCATTTTGGGGAAGGGGAGTAGGGAGCACCTGGGTTCTCTAGGAATCCCGTTGTATATCATCATCTTGGCTCCTGCCTGATTGGGAATAAGACTTGAGGTGCACAGATTTTAGTCTTGGGAGGAGCCCTTCAGCTGCTTGTTGACCTGAAGGAGCCCTGTGTCATTGTCAGCCGAGCATGGGGAAGATGCTCACGCCGCTGTGCTCGGATCCCTGCCTGGATTCGCCTGTATTTCCTTTCCAGGGTTTCAAAAGTACTTTTCTGTTTACTAGAAATAAGAGACCAAGTTGCCATTTTGGAGAAGCTGAGAGGTTCTCCTACAGCTTATGTTGGAACCTCTTCTAAGTGTTTTTATTCGCATTCTCTCCTGCAAGACCCCCCTGTAAACATGGCTTGTGACGAGGGGTTCACTGTGGGCCGAGCACCGGGTGAGCCGTCGCTGACATTGAGAGGAGGTGGTTTGTTTATTACAACGATGCGAAAAGCAGTTAGCTTTAATTTCGTCTTGTGTTTTCATTAATAACATTCCTGGTTGGGTTTTTCCCCCTTCTCTGTGTCTGCTGGCCTTTCCTGCCTCTTCATCCACCAGGAGTGTTCCCTTATCTCACCTGCTGCTTTCCTTTCCTTCTTCTGTCCTGAGATGGCATTTGGGACACGGCTCCCGTGGGGGCCTGAGGACTGTGCACGTGTCTGCACAGCATATCCAGAACCCCGGGGTCCTCCCAGACAGTGGGAGCATGGGGGTGCTCAAGGGGGCCACAGCACCTCCCCGGGCCCATGTCCTCAGGAAGGCCCCAGCACGGCCACCTGAGCCCTTTGTTGCCCTGTCCTCGGTGGGGCGAGGCCGTGGCAGCCGTGCCTTTTAGGGTCTGTGCTGAAGATGCTCTGACCACAGCCGGGGCTCACGTGTCTTCCCTGGACACTGAGCCACTCTTCCTGGTTCTTTGCATGGCATGTGGCTCTAGAGTGGCTCCTGGACACTGGTAGGGTTCTGCTTCATCCTCCCAGAGGGTGCTGGTGGCCTCGCGGCAGGCAGTGGACCCGCTTTGAGTACAGCGCCGTGGTCTCTGCCTCACCCGATACGGGCAGCCGCTCAGGTTCTGCTGTGCTGCCTGCGTGGTGGAGTTGTGGGTGGTGGTCCTCTGTGAACGTGGGGGCCCCTTCTCAGGCCCCTTTAAGGGGAGCCCTTTACTCTCTGACCCTGGTTGCACAGTTCAAGCCAGAAGGGCAGTGGGTTTTCATTGGTGTTACAGTTGCCACCGTGGCTGCCCCCAGAGCATGCGGAACATAAAGTGAACAGAGGCGGTCCAGCCAGTGCTGTGCACATGCAGGGGTCCCCTCTGTGAATCTTTAATTCCAGAGGTTTATCTGAGCTCTGCAGTGTTGGGTCCTTTTCCAGAGATCCTAATTCTCTGTAGAAAGTCTTCATCTTTTCCATTTGTTTTCCATCTTTCTTTTTTTTTCTTCAGCGTGTTCCTCGTGGTTACTTTAAAGACTGGCCATTTACTCCAATATCCATGTCATCCATGCGTCTATTTCTGTCGTCTTCTCTCTCTCATTATTGTTAACACTTGGTCTTTTTTTTTTTTTTTTTTTTTAACATTCCTTGTAACTTTTAACTAAATCCAGAAATTGTGAGTTCAAAATTGCAGAGATTTGGGGTTGTGTAATTTCCTTGCAGCAAGATTTAAGTTTCCTTTTGTCAGGCCCCCTATTGTGTGGGTGGGTCACCTGCTGTCCTCAGGGCTGGGGTTGGCTGGCCCTTCTCCTGCCCACACCCACAGCTCTGACTGAGGGGCTTCCCAGGGCCCTTCTCCTGCACATGTGCCCCCCCAGCAGCCGGCTTCTGGGCTTTGGGACCCGCACCCTGTGCTTGTCCAGTTAGGAGCTGGTGAGGGCCCCAGGGGCGTGTGCTGCAGGCTTTAGCCGCTCCTGTTTCCTCTCGTCGGCCTTTCCCTGTAGTGCTGTGCCCGTGGGCGCTGGGGGTCCTGGGGGGATGCTCTGTCCTCCCTCCGTCTACGCCCTGACCCACCCTGGCACCTCCAGAGGGTCGTGCGTGTTGTGTCCTGAGTAGCAGCTGGCTGGCGGCTGTACCTTGGTGTCAGAGCCTGCCCAGCTCCCTCGGCCCCGGCCTGCGTCCGTCTCATGCCTCCGAGCACCACCGCACCTGCACTCAGTGCTCTGGCTGCTGGGCCCCTCCGGGGCCGGGGCCTCTCTCCGTGCAGACCCGAACAGCGCAGGCTATCTCCCATGTGGTGCACACTCCTTGGCGGGAGGGTGGGTGCCCCAGGCATACAGGACCTGCCGGCCCTGGCGGCGTGGGGCAGCGTCTGTGGTCCCGTTGCCCAGTGTGTCTGAGCTGGGTTGAGCGTTCTTTGTCCCAGGTTTGAAATGACGCTGTTTCATTCTGGAGCAAACACGAGCTGCTCTCCATCCCTCCCTCGAAAAGCCCTCAAGAGTGTTTCTGCGGGAAAACCTTTGTAGAGTGGGTATATTTCGTGTTGAAAGGTTCATGGGAAAGTCAGCATTGTTTCTGTGTGTGCACTTGTGAGAGAGTTTGCTGGGACCTGGCCGTTAGTCTTCAGGTGTCAAACAGGTGTCTTTGTTCAAGGTAATGTGTGAGAGAAATATTTCTGGAGGAAAGGCTGCCGGCGGCCTTTGTCGAGCCTCCTACGTGTTTCTTGCCCCGGGTTGAGGGTGTCTGAACCCGACCACGCAGAGTGGCTGATGGTCACATAGCTCCGGGGGCAGGAAGCCTCACCCCTCCATGTCTCTGCAGGGTCCGCGAGGCTGCCATGACGAGTCTTACGGACCTGACTCTTCTGCTGGCAAGGGACCAGCCAGAGCTGATCGAGGCCCCGGTGTGAGTGTGTTCTCCCGCCGCGTGGAGAGGGTCTGCCCGGGTCCTCCCTCCTGACACCACAGCCCCTGCTCCTGGCTAGGCCTCCCTCAGGGTCCAGGCCTGTTGCAGGACAGCCAGCTTCCTGGCTCAGGACCCCTGTGCCGAGCGCCTGCTGCTGCTGGAGACTGGCCATCCTGTCCCCCATTGGTTCCCTGGACACCGGGCTGCCTCTGGGTACCTTGCTGGCCTGGTATCACCGTGCCCTTTCTGTTGCCGAGGCCCCTGAGGAGATCCGGGCGTCGCTTCCTCAGCACCACCACCCCGACTTCCTCCTCTGGCTGCAGGCCCCCCGTCCTCCCATTTCTTCCGTCTCTTCTCACACACCAGTCAACCGGTAGCCCTGTCAGTCTTCACTGCTTCCACTCTAGATCTCCCACTTAGGCTTCTGGGCTGTCAGATCCCATTCCCACCCGCAGCCAGGGTGGCGCGTGTGCCCACTCTCATGTTCCAGCCGAGCTAACCCTGCGTTCTCGGTTTGCAGCTGCCAGCGGGTCATGTGCTGCTTAGCCCAGCAGGCGAGTGAGAAGATCGACCGGTTCCGGGCACATGCAGCCCGTGCGTTCCTGGCGCTGCTGCACTGGGACGGCCCCGCCGTCCCCCACGTGCCCCACCGGCAGGAGCTGGAGAGGCTTTTCCCCAGGTACTGGTGCTGAGTCCCCGGTGGGGCAGCTCTGCTCCCAGCGGGGCGGCCCCTCCAGTTTGTGCTTCTGTCTTGCAGGTCTGCTGTGGCCTCTGTGAACTGGGGCGCGCCGTCGCAGGCCTTCCCTCGCGTGGCCCGGCTCCTGGGGCTGCCTGCTTACCGCTACCACGTGCTGCTGGGGCTGGCCGTGTCCGTGGGCGGCCTGACCGAGTCCACGGTGAGCAGGCGCCTCAGTGGGCCTTCCCGAGAGGGAGCACTGCCTCCTTCCTTCCTTCCATCCTTCCTTCAGGAGCCTCTGCTGGGGCTCAGTGTGCCTGCGGGGCAGGTGGGGGGCGGGCGTTACCCCTGATCCACTGGACAGCGTGTGGGGCATGAGCTCAGGAGCAGGGAAACTGCAGATGCAGATGCATGCAGGTCCTGCGCTCCCTGGCTTTTTTGCCGGCCTCGATTCACCCTCTTTGCACATCAAGCGCCCCGCGGTTCCCCAACCTGTCTCTCCAGGTTCCTGTTTCCTGTTTGTGCATTTTCGTGGTGGTTCGTTGTGTTTTCTCTGTTCTGTTGTGTTGTCTCCCCTGCGTGGGCCCCTCCCTCTCCCTCTCGCCTCTCATCGCTCCCTGGGCCCTGATTCGGTGTTTCCTGAACCGGTGGATTCATGGTTTTCATCACTTCTGGAAAGTTCTCCACCGTCCTCATTCCCGCCCACAGTCCATCCTCTCCATCTTCACGCTTCTTTTCAAATTACTGCAGTTTCTGCAGTTCTGTGTAGCCTGCTCGTTCCCTCTCACTGTTGCATTTTTTGGTGTTTTGGTAATTGTATCTTCATTACCATTCAGTTTGTTCTGAAATCCGTTTCTCGTGCTTTTCCATCACATGCTCATCTTTGTGACTGCATTTCTCTGTAATAACACAATATCCTCCTACATTCTGTGTCATGTGATCCAGTGTCTGCTGTCAGCCTGCATCTGCTTTCTTGCTCTGTAGACTCCTTCGTGAGGACTCATCAGTTGGGTGTTGGTTGTGCGATGGTGTTAGCTGTTGACCTGAGGGGAGGTGCCTTTGGTTTTGCTCCCCAGCAGCGGTGGTCGCCCAGATACCGCACCTCTAAGGGGTCCAAATTTAGCAACAGCATGTGAGGGCTTGGGTTGTGCTGGTGCGTCCAGAGCTGCATTTCCGTTTCGGGTGTCCGTACTGTGGCTGCGCTCATGCCTGGCCCAGACAGGCTCTGAGGGAACCTGACGCTCTGTAGCAGATGTTTTGAGTCTGTCACCGCGGCCAGCCCTGAGGCAGGGGGTGCCAGGAGTGGGGTGGTCTTGTCCCTCTTACAAGAATGCTGTATTACAGGTCAGGTACTCAACACAGGGCCTCTTTGAGTACATGAAGGGGATTCAGAACGACCCGCAAGCCCTGGAGGACTTCACTGGGACCCTTCTGCAGGTCTTTGAGGACAGCCTTCTGAACGACAGGTGAGTGGTGGTGCTGTTCACAGTGGTTTCTCAGATCCCCAGGGTCTCATTTCCCAGCAGGGCTCTGAGGGGAGGTAGGATGGGCCCAGGTGAGGAACATGGGCAAGGGCAGGCAAGGGCATGACCAGAGTCACCTCCCGGGCCCCTCGCAACCTGCACTCTGGGCCGGTTGTGCACGTTGGAAGTAAAGTGACAGGGGCTGTGAGCCAGGAGAGCTCGTGTGGCTCTGGCCTGTGGTGCTCCCTGGTCACGCACACTGACATGTCAGTGCCACTGTTCAGACACGTGGTTCACACACAACCACGGCCATCGAGAAGATGAGATCTCAGCCTGCCAGGATTGGAACGTGACCCGTTTTCTAAATGTTTTTGCTGTGGCATTTTGTTACCTGCTTTTCCAAGAAGATGGGGTGTAGACCCAAAAGCCCTACCTCAGAACTGGGGATGTTTCCTGCACCTTCTGAGAGGGCTGTTCCTGGACTCCGTTCTCAACTGTCCCAGAGCATCTGGGCCCCCGGTTACCACCGCACGGCTGCAGGTCGCCTCATGCAGGCCCTTGTCCTGTCCCTGGGAAGCACAGAGAGCTCTCAGCAAACAAACACTCAGGCCATTGCTCTCTGCTCTTTCCGCGAGCAGCTGTCTGGAGGCGTAGAAGACATCTAACAAAGCACACGTAAAGTGTACAGTCTGAGAAGTTTTGACTCATGTCAGCAACCGTAAAAACAGTCAAGACACTGAGCACATCTGTCACCCACAGTTGCCTCCTGCCCCTTCTAACCCCACCCCCCAGGGTCCCCCAGCGCCAAGGCAGCCACTGATCTTTCTGTCCCTGTAGCTTAGTTGGCGTTTTCTAGAACGTTAGGAGGGTGGGATCATGCAGTGTGTGCCCTGTTAGCGTCTGGCTTCTCGGATGCAGCGTGTTTCTTTCAGAGTCGCCCTTTTTAGTGCTGAGTTATGTTCTGTTGCGTGGGTACATCACAATTTGTCTGTTTACCTGTGGATAGGCACTGGGGTTGCTTCCAGGTTGAGGCAGCTGCAGGTGAAGCTGTGATGAACATTCATACACAAGCCTTCATGTGGAATTGTCTTTCCTCTGCTCTTGGGTGAATGCTAAGGAGTAGACTGGCTGGGGTCACAGGGCGGGTGAATATTTAAAACTGCCGGACTGTTTTCTGAAGTGGCTGCACCGTTTCCTGCTCACGGCCTCTGAGAGTTCTGGGGGCCCACGTCCTCACCGCGGCCGGCGTGGTCGGTCCTTTTCATTTCAGCCGATCCAAGGGGGTGTGGTTTCTCGTCGTGGCTGTAATTTGAGTTTCCCTCCTGGCTGAGGGTGCCGGGCACCTTCTCGGGCGCTTGCTGGCTGTCTGCACAGCCTCTTCGGTCAGGTATCTGTTCAGATTTTTGCTCATTTTTAAACTGGGTGCTTCTTTTTTACCTTGCTGCCGGGTTTTGAGATTTTCTTACACATACTGGACAGGTCCTTTGTGAGACGTGATTTGCAGATGTTTCCTCCCAGCCTCTAGCTTGTCTTCCACACTCTTAACAGTCTCTCTGTTAAGAACAAATATTTTACATCTTGGTAAACTTGTTTGTACTCTTGTTGTTCTATCGATTGTGTTTTCTGTGTCATATCTAAGAAATTTCTGCCTACTTCAAGGCTACAAAGACTTTCTCTTACGTTTTTCTCCTAGAAGTTTCATAGTTTGAGTGTTCCATTCAGACCTCAGGTCCGTTTGGGGTTGGTTTCTGTGTGACGCAAGCTACAGGTCCAGGTCTGTGTCCTGGTTTTGCCTGTGGACGCCCAGTTTCTCCACGTGTGGGAAAGACTGATCTTCCCACTGCGTTGCTTTGGCATCGTTGTCAGAAATTGTGGATATGCAGCCCAGTTTGGGACTTTTCTCTTCCTTGATGTGTTTGCTTGTCTTCGTACCAGGATCACACGGTTTTGATCACTTGAGCTTTGCCACAATAATTATTATTTTTTTAAATATTTATTTAGGCTGTGCCGGGTCTTTAGTTGTGGCCCCGTGGGATCTTCGTTGTGGCGTGCAGACTTCTCAGTTGTGGCATGCAAACTCTTAGTTGTGGCATGCATGCGGGATCTAGTTCCCCGACCAGGGATCGAACCCACCCTCCTGCATTGGGAGTGCGGAATCTTACCCACTGGACCACCAGGGAAGTCCCTGCCACAGTTATTTAAATTGAGCAGTATTGGCCCTCCAGCTTCGTCCTTTCTTCCTGTAGCTGTTTGGGCTCTTCTTCATCCTTTGTGTTTCCATATAAACTTTAGAATTGGCTTGTCATTTTCCGCACACATCCTGCCAGGATTTTGGTTGGGGTTGAGTTGACGGCCCTCCAGGGAGAGCCCTCGTCTCAGCAGCACTGAATTTCCCACGTGCCCAGGTCTTCCCTTCTGCTGGGTTCTGGTACCTGGCGTCTCACACATGTCTTCTCTCCCAGGGTGTCTGTGCCGCTGCTAAAGACGCTGGATCAGATGCTAGCCAACGGCTGCTTCGCCATCTTCACCGCCGAGGAGAAGTGAGTGTTCAGAGAACAGCTGGTGAGATCCAGAAATCCAGCCTCTAGGAGATAGCTTTCTAGTACGTTCAGGGTCAGTTTTTATACACAGTGTACGTGCCACCAGGAAGCATTGGCTGCTCCCACATGGGGGTGGGGCCCTGCTGCAGCCCTGCTGTCCAGGCAGGAAACAGCAGGTGAGGCGTCCCCTCTGACGGGGGCCTGCAGTCAGGGCAGTTACGGACGGCGGGCCCGACGGTGAATGGGGATCGCAGAGGGCTGTGGTGGTCACGGTGCTGGGATCTGGTGCAGGTGGAGAGCCCACCTCAGACAGGCCGGGTGGGTGTGGACGCAGGGAGTGGGTCTTCCCTCCTCTGCCGTGTTCAGGGCTCCTCAGCTGCTGAGCACAGGTACACCGCAGCCGCTTCATCGGCCTCCCTGTTTGAGGCTCTGCTGCCTTGGTGGTGACAGTCGTTGTGTGTCATCTTTCTGTGGGTTCTTCCCCAGTCTGGGGCTGTGTCCTTGCACTGATCAGGGCTTGGGTGAATCCTTGGGGGCCCTCTTCCCTGCAAACCAAAAACTCAGGGTGGCACCAGGTTCTGCCCAGGTCCCCTCCGTGTCCCCTCCGCAGGCAGGAAGCTGGGCAGTTGCAGGCTCACCTCCTTTGCCTCCCAGGCCTCAGTGGTCACCATCCTTTGCAGCCTGCTGTCTAGTGAGTTTTGTTCACTTTTAGTTCTTCCAGGTGGGAGTGAGATCTGGTCCCTGTCGTTACGTCTTTGCTGAGATGCTCAAATGCTCTTTTAAATGAATAACATCAAAGGGTTTCCCCTTTAATTTGCCGATGGTACATCACAGCATGTTTCTTATACCTACTGTCAGAGCAACTTGTGCATTCACGGGATACACCCCATGGTTGTGGGGTGTGATCCTTTTATACGTTGTATGACTGTGCTTACTAAATATTGTTTCAGATCTTAACCTATTTTCCTGGTTTGAAAATTTCAAAATAAAATGGTAGGAGAAAATAGTACCCCAAGTGTCCGGCTCACCTCCCGCAGCGGGGGGTCATGGGCACTCCAGCTGCTACTGCTGCTGGAGGGGAGTCTCGGGGTCCAGGAAAGGGGGTGCTGCTGTGCAGGAGACATGGGATCCGGGGAGCTGGAGAGAGCAGTGGGCCCCCGTGCATGCTGCCGAACACCACCGGTTGCAGATCAGTGTGGGTGTGAGGGGATGAGGCAGCCAAGGGTGACTGTGGGCTTCCTGGACTGGCCACTGGAAGGGGGCAGTTGTTCTCAGACAGGAAGGCTGGATGGAGTCGGTGTGGACCAGAGAGGCCTGGAGGTCCAGTTGGAAGGCTGTCCTAGCAGGTCAGGCTGCTGTAACAGAAGTACCACAGCCCAGGCAGTTAAACACCAGAAACTCATTCCTCCCGATGCTGGAGGCTGAATGTCCGAGATCAGCACAGGGACGCGGTCTCGCTGTGTCTTCCCGTGGCAGAAAGACCACCTCTTGTGTCTCCTCTTTGCAGGGCACTGATCCCACTGTGGGTTCCATGTCATGTTCTAATCGCCTCCCAAGGCCCCACCTCCTAACACTCTCATGTTCCAGATTAGAGCTTCAACGTAGGAATCTCGGGGACACAAACATTCAGTTCATAGCAGAGATGTTTGGTTTAAGATGCTTGTTAGATCTCGTCCAGAGGAGATGGATCTTCCAGGCTGGAACTCGGTGGAATGTCCTCAGAAAATGGGTGGTATGTGGTCCCATGAGGCCACCAGGGGGTCAGGTGTAGACAGAAGCGCTGTGACAGAGCTGTAGGGGTGCCCCATCGTTAGGGAGACGGGGAGCAGAGGGGAAGCAGATCTACCAGGAAGAAGGTGAGGCGGAGGGGCAGTCACAGGGGTCGTCGATGATGTGTGCCGAGTGGTCACGTCGGCTGACGACAGGAGTGACCACGGCCTTCAGCGACCTGGTGGTCACTTGGTCCCTGACAGGCATTTCAGTGAGCTGTTGGGAGAAGCCGGTTGGATCAGGGAGGGGTGGGGCTGGCGGGCGGGCCGGCTGGGAGGACAGTGGTGCCACGTGGATGGCAGGTGGCAGGGGTGCCACTGGGGGGCTGGGTCTCCTTTAGCCTGAGAAGACGGGAGAGTCTCCCTGGGACCACTTCTGGTCAGGCGAGCTGCTGTCACAGGCTGACCCTGAAATGGCCACCATGGGCGGCTGCTTTCTGCCTGCCTAGGGCGGGAGGTCTGTCCTGCGCCCTCATGCGGGAGTCTGGTGAGATAAGGCTCTGCCCCCAGCCATATCCCAGGTCACCTGGCCAGTGGACGGGAAGAGGGAGCGTGGGGCCACTCAGACCACTGTACTTCAGCCCTCGTTGTATGGCCAGAATTGGCCTGGGGCTGCGGCTCCGCAGGAGAGGAGCATGTTCATCTCACGGGGACTCACGCTGGTCGTGGCTCCTCGGCCAAGCAGAGCCGGGGAGGACGCCTCCAGTCCCTCCCTGACCCTCCACGGACCTGGACCTGGAAGTGAGTGAGTGGGGCCTGGCCACGATTCGGTCGTCCTCTTTTGATCTTGGGTTGAGCCTGGCGCTGACACGGCACACGTTGGCTGGGCTTGCAGCGGGGCTGAGTTCTGGGTGTTCCTGTTACGTTGAGGCCCCACCAGGGGTCAGCCTGCCCTCCTGTTGAGGGGCCGTGAGGCCGGGGAGGTGCCGCGGGGAAGGTGGTTTGTTGAGTACGCGAGACAGCGGGTGTCTGTCCCTGCTGCACTTGCAAAGGAGCCAGTTACATGCCCTGGTGTTGACGTGCCCTGGTGCATGTCCCCAGGGGCGAGGCTTCTCCTCCTGGGGGTGGCCGCCATCATCAGATGTTCCCTGGAAGCCCACCTCTGGGTCCTGTGCTTTCCTTCCAGCCACCCCTTCTGTGTGAAGCTGCTCGCGCTTTGTAAGGAGGAGATCAAGAAGTCCAAAGACGTCCAGAAACTGAGGTCCAGCATCGCGGTGTGAGTTCCAAGTAACTCACTGAGGCGGTAAAGGGAGGGGCCGGCCCAGCAGCCGAGAGCGCGGGGTCGGGGGCGTTCTGATGTCAGAGTGAGAGGCGGGTGGCCCTGGTCACGCCGACCGGTGTTCCTGGTGGAGCAGGTGGGCCCGGCCACAGCCTGCCCACCCTTGGACCAGCCTCCTGGGTGGGCGTCGGGTCAGGGAGTGTTGTCATAGAAAAAGCCCCGATTCCCTGACACTCTGGAGATCTGGATGCCCCCACCTGTGGGGAGAAAGTGGACGTGAACCCAGGGCTGCCTCCCCAGTGGAACAGCCCCGAGGCCTGGGGGTCACCATGGGCAGCACCTGGGGGGCCTCCCATCCCACGCAGACTGGCAGGCCCCCCAGTGAAGTGAAGGTGTGGGGTATCCAGGCAGCAGGCGTGGGCAGGGGTCAGCTCACCAGAGTGCGGGGTCCCCACAGGTTCTGTGGGCTGGTGCAGTTCCCCGGAGACGTGAGGAGGAAGGTCCTCCTGCAGCTCTTCCTCCTGCTCTGCCACCCTTTCCCCGTGGTGAGTGTCTGCAGCTCCAGGCCCCACTCGGGGCCGGCATCCTGGGCTGCACATTGGCGCCGGATCGTATGCTTCCTGGTGTTGGCACAAGCGGACCTTGATGGGGGGCGGGTCCTCATCAGGGTGGGCGGGGCATACTGTGCCTGTGGATGCGGCAGCTGCAGTGTGATGGTTGAGCCTGGCCCCTGGGGGCGAAGGGCCTGGGGCCAAATGTGCCCCTGGAGCCCCGGGGAGTGAGCCCAGGCGCCAGGGAAACACCCGACGCTGGCTGGGACCCCTGCCCCTGGGAACCTGGCCACAGGTGCACCCAGGTGCCCTGCCACGGGGTGGGTGGGTGGGGAGTTTCAGCCCATTGGGGTCCTGCAGGCTCTGGCTCAGGGGCTCCTGGAAGGCGCCTACCCCACAGCCCCCACCCCAGGGTCGGGTTTCCCAGGAAGTCTCTTCTTTCCCTTTGGCAGAAGAAATGCTCTTCAGATAACTCAAATGTGACACCTTCTTTAACAGCTAAAGTAACTTTAACTCTCATCTAGCACAGCTGTTTTCAAAGTGGGGTCACTGGACGGCCCTCCCCCCACGATCAGAAATGCAGATTCTCAGGCCTTGACCTGCCAAACCAGGAGCTCTGGGGTTAGCCCTCGGGATTCCGAGAGCACCTGTTCCATGAAATAAGTCCCCCCCCCTAGGGACAGCTAGAAAAGAAAGCAGGTGAGAGGACTTCTCTGATAAGGTGCAGGTTTTTAATGAAGGATTTCAGTAAGAATGATGCTCCTCCTGATAAGGGCCTCTGGGGGACCACAGGGGAACGGGGCGCCCCGGGCTGAGCGCATCTCATGGTCACTCATCGGTTGTGGCCACGGTCTCCTGAGCAGCGGTCCAAGGTCAGCTCCTCTTAACTGTCTGCCCGGCGAGCCTTTCCTGTTTTACTTGGACTCTGGGCCCCCGGGAGGTGCCTGGGCCCTCGTCCCTGCTTCCGGGCAGGGTCCCGTCAGCTCTGCTCTCTGTCGTGGGCCTTCCCCTCCCACCAACTTGCTCTGTCCCTCCAGATCCGGAAGAGCACAGCCAGCCAGGTGTATGAGATGGTGCTGACCTACGATGTGGTGGCCGCGGACATCCTAGATGAGGTCATGGCTGTGCTCAACTGCACGGCCTGGTGAGCATGGGCCCTTGCCCTCTTCCCGAGTGTGGCAGGTGCAGTGCCAAAGTGAGCGGGACGCCCAGAGCCTGTTTGTGGTCTCTCCCAAAACCCTCCAGAGCAAAGAGGGAAGACGGGCTCCAGCCCTCCGCCTCAGCTCTGGGTTTACGAGGAGGCAGTGGTGTCTGTAACCAATCTCTCCTCACCCACGTGTCCGCGTTTCTGTAGCACAGGCTCACTCCTTACACCCAAGAGGGGCTGGGCGGCCAGATGAGGGAGGAGGGGGATCTTCCTGGGGTGTTCAGGCTGGAAGATTTTCAAAGTGAAATTATTTTTTCCCAAATACAATTTTTATAAGTGAAAAGGTGGGTTGTTCTGAGCACTGATTGGTTAGAGGCTGACTTCCTATTTCTCTGTGGTCGCTTTTCTGTTGATCACGTCACGGCTCTGGGTGCCGGTGGGCGCTGGTGCACCTGTTTCTGCGGTTTATTGGGGTTGAAGTCACTCGAGAATGGCAGCTCCTGCTCCCTGAACTGTGGTGTCAGAAATGCAGGGGAGTGTGTGGCGTGGCAGGCAGTTTCTCCCTCCTCGGGGACACGCCACGTGTGTCAGTTGTGGCCCCCAAGGAGCGGAAGGGTGTTGAGTGGCTGCAGCAGGAGCCCCCAGGCCCAGACTCGCTGCAGAGGAGAGCCGTCCACTCGCCTTTGTTCACTCTTGGTGGAAAAGGCCACAAGTGGACACATTCAAAAATCAGACAGACGGAGCGAACCAGGAAGAATAAGGTGTCCTCCCTCCCACCCCAGACACCCACTTCCCTCCCAGACAGCCAGGGTCAGCCCTTGCTCCAGGTCGGGTCTCCAGGTTCGTTTTAGGCACAGTTTCCTGCCATCTCTGTTGGCTCCTCAACTCTGAGCTTGGGCGGCAGGTTTGAAAGAGGGGTGTTGAATGGGGGTGGAGGGGGCTGATGGGGAAGCAGGGGAAGGGGTAGCCCGTGAGCATGCGTCCAGCGGGCAACACCGAATGATGACAAACACGGGAGTGACGCTTGTCCCATTCCAGGCACTGTACACACTCACGTGCACACACACTCACAAACGTGCATATGCACATTCAGGCGCTCGCACATGCCCCTACAGGGTGACCACTCAGCCCCGTTTTGGACACAGGACCAAAGTTCAGAGGTTATTTAGGCAGGGGCCTGCTCAGGCACCAGTGATGAGGGTCCCCCAGGACTGGGTTCCATCACTGGGGTCAGTGCATTCTGCTTACGCGGGAAAGGATGTACATAACCTACTCACATGCACTACCCTCAGAACAGTGATGTTCCTACAAGGGTTGAGCTCCGCACAGACCTCACATTGATGCAGCTTCCGTTCCTGGCCTGACGGCCCAGCTCCCCTGCTCGGACGTGAGCCACTGTGGCCTGAAGGACAGAAAAGGGCCTCTGGTTTTAGGGCTGTGTTAAGGTTTTCTAGGGAGATACTTGGCCTCGAGCAGGAGGGCATTCTGGTGAACATCTTGTGGGCGCCTCAGAGAAAATTCCAGAGCAGAAAACGTGGCCTCAGGAAATGTGGATGCCTCCACTCTGTGAGCAGCTGGGACGGGACACATTTTTCTGTTACGTTGTCAGCTTTAAAAGCACGGAGGCACGTTCTGCATCAAACTCTAGGACAGGGAAGGGAGCATGACATGAAACGACCAACACCCAGTGGGTCCCAGAGTTCCCCTGAGTTCCCCACGCCTGCCTTTCTCCTCTCACAGTTCAGGGCGGGGTTAACCTTCCAGAGGATTTAAAGATAACTCATTTTTTCTTATTATAAAAGAAAAACATGCCCAGTTTTCTTTATGGTATTGCTGAATTTAATTTTTGTCTTCAATGAAAGTTATAAGTAAACAGCTTTCAAAGTCAAATAAAACTTAAAACCCATGGGATAAAATCTGTGCTGCTGTCTTAGCATTTCCTGTCGCCCGCCCCTGGGTTGGGCTGTTTGGGGGCCGAGTGCCCCTCACGGGGCTCCCTGTTTTGTGGGGTTCGTCCTCTGCAGTTTCCCAACAAAGGGCTCAGGAGCAAAGCCTTGTGCAGGTGTCCTGCCCGAGCTAGGCTCGCCGGGGTGTACGTTCTGGAGTGAGGCGTCCTTTTTCCCTGGTTCCTACCTAATCTAAGGTGCCTTGGGTTTTCTGCACACCCGGTAGGAAGTGTGGTGAGAGTTTACAGATCTTGGCAGGTTTAACTGCAGGACTGTTCCTGCGGCTGATGCTGCTCCCCTCTTCTCCTCCCCAGGGATGCAGAGCTCCCGGTCGTGAGAGCCCAGCGGAACCGCCTGTGTGACCTCCTGGGCGTGCCCAGACCTCAGCTCGTCCCCAAGGTAACCACCTGTCCCCTCAGGCCACATGGGGGACCTGGGGCCCCTTCTTTTTCTTTTTTTATAATTTAAAATAGACGCTATTTTAAAATATTTTTCTAGCTTTTTCAATATTTATTAATCAATAGAATTTTTAATATAACATCTGAAGTGTTTACTAATCATTATCCAAACAGTAGACCAAACTGAGTATTTAAGTACTCCCACATCCTAGCTGCTATAAGTTTTTTAAAAATTTTTTTAATTTAATTTTTTAAATTGAAGTATAATTGATTTACAGTGTTGTACCAATCTCTGCTGTACAGCAAAGTGACTCAATTATACAGACATTCTTCTTTTCATATTTTTTTCCATTATGGTTTATCACAGGATATTGATTATAGTTCCCTGTGCTATACAGTAGGACCTTGTTGTTTATCCATCCTGTATATAATGGTTTGCATCTCTAATCGCAACGTCCCAGTTCTTCCCTCTCCCTTCCCACCCCACAACCACAAGACTGTTCTCTATGTCCGTGAGTCTGTTTCTGTTTTGTAGATAGGTTCATTTGTGCCATATTTTAGATTCCACATATAAGTGATATCATATGGTATTTGTTTTCCTCTTTAACTTACTTCACTTAGTATGATAATCTCTAATTGCATCCATGTTGCTGCAGATAGCATTATTTCGTTCTTTTTATGGCTGAGTAATATTCCATTGTATGTAAACCACATCTTCTTTACCCATTCGTCTGTCACTGGACATTTTGGTTGTTTCCACGTCTTGGCTATTGTGAACAGTGCTGCTCTGAACACAGGGGTGCATGTGTCTTTTTGAATTACAGTTTTGTCTGGGTATATGCCCAGGAGTGGGATTGCTGGATCGTATGGTAATTCTATTTTTAGTTTTCTGAGGAACCTCCACACTGTTTTCTATAGTGGCTGCACCAACTTACATTCCCACCAACAGTGTAAAAGGGTTCCCTTTTCTCCACACCCTCTCCAGCATTTGTTATTTGTAGACGTTTTAATGAAGGCCATTCTGACTGGTGTGAGGTGGTACCTCATTGTAGGTTTGATTTGCATTTCTCTCATAATTAGTGATGTTGAGCATTTTTTCATGTGCCTACTGGCCATCTGTATGTCTTCTTTGGAGAAATGTCTATTAAGACTTTCTGCCCATTTTTTGATTGGGTTTTTTGTTGTTGAGTTGTATGAGCTGTTTGTATTTTGGAGATTAAGCCCTTGTCTGTTGCATCATTTAGAAATATTTTCTCCCATTCCATAGGTTGTCTTTTCAGTTTTTTTTTTATGGTTTCCTTTGCTGCGCAAAAGCTTGTAAGTTTGATTAGGTACCATTTATTTATTTTTTATTTGTTGCCTTGGGAGACTGACCTAAGAAAACATTGGTACAATTTATGTCAGAGAATGTTTTGCCTATCCTCTCTTCTAGGAGTGTTACGGTGTCGTGTCTTATGTTTAAGTCTTTAAACCACTCTGAGTTTGTTTTTGTGTATGGTGTGAGGGTGTGTTCCAACTTCACTGATTTCCCCGGGGCCCCTTCTTTGTGAGGCCTCCAAATGCAGCTCCAACAAGCTCCTTCCTTGAATTCCAGGGTCTAGAACATTCCAGGCCATGCTGCCTGCCTCGCTTTCCATGTCACGGTCCACGTAGGGCTTTCAGGACCCCAGGGAGGCGGCCCTGGCAGGGCCGTGGGACGGGAGCAGAGCTGAGGCCTCCACTGTCCTCTCCCACCTGCCCCCAACCTCACCCTGCCCCCAACCTCACCCTGCAAGCCAGACCGTGTGCCCATTGCCAGCTCCTCCCCGTGGGCTGAGCCTGGGGGCACCCCAAGCGATGGGGCAGTGTTTCTGCTGCTGCTCCCGCTTGCCCTGTCCCCCGCCCCGCCCCCGCCAGCACGCTGTCTCCAGCCAGGCACGTCTCACGTGTGTCCTGTGGAGCACGGCACCCAGGGCCAGTCCTCTGCCGAGCGCCCTGGCCTCTCTCACCCTCAGAGCAGCATAGCAGCCTTCCGCCGTGTCGGTTGCCCCCAGGACACCCATCCCACTTGGGACTTTGTCACCTCCAGGGCCGCCCAGGGCCGGCTGGTGTCTGCTGAAGTTGCCGTCCTCCACGGCAAGTGTGGTGTGTGCGTTGTAGCTGTGGTTTTCTGAGATCGAGGGCCACAAGCTGTTCTTGCAGGTTGTGGGAGACTTGAGACTTTTTGTGTTTTGTGTGTTCTTGGCAGAGAATCAGAATTTGGTCTGTCGTCAGTCTGTGGGTCCCGCAGGAGCTGGAGTGGGTCGCAGCAACACGGACTGTGGTCCTGGCGAGTGGGCGTGCCCTCCTCCTGTTCCCATCAGCTGTGTCCCTCTGGCCTTGGGTTTGAACCCTGGCTCTGGAGAGGCTGTTTCAGAGCTTCCTGTTGAGGAAGGACGTCCGGGCAGAAGTGCATGGCGGTTGTAGTGCGTGGTTCTAGGTCTCCACGCACCCAGGTGCCTGCCCCGAACACCCCCCGACGTGAGCCTCAGGCTGCGGGGCTCACCTGGCAGAGGACTCACGGTGGGAAATGCTGACAAGCAGATTCCAAAGTGACGGGTGCTCCCTGGCAACGTGTGTGCTTAGCGCCACTGTGGCAGCTCCAGGATGTAGGCCCCCTGGTTTCCCTGGTGATGGAAGTGTGACCACCTTTTCTGAGATCTGAGCCATTCGGACATTGTCTTTCGTCATGTGTCAGATCTTTCATGTTCTCTCCAGGTTGTCCGTCTTTTTATACTTTGTCTTCAGGGACCTTGTTCTGGACGCACGTCCTGCCAATGTCCTCTCCTCCAGTGATGGCCTTCTTGTCCTTAGACCTAACGTGGTCCTGTTTGGGGTATCTTGATCTCCTCCAGGGTTGACGTTCTCTGTTTTTTTCTAAAAGCTTTACTGTTTTACCTTTTACGTTTGGACTCACGATCTAGCTGACCCAGCTCCCTTCTCGCTACGTCGTGTTGTCAGGCCACACATGTGGCTCTACTCTTGGACTGTCTGTCCTCTGGGTCTCTCTGTCCGTCCGTGAGCCAGCGCAGCCTGTCCTACAGATACAGATGTAGGTCTCAGTCCTAGAGATGCAGGGTTTAGGTCTCACAGTGGGTCACAGTGCCCAGTTGTCTCAATCCTGTGGTCCTTTTTTCTCCATGATTGTCTTCTCTTCCTGGCCATTGGGTTCCCACCCCACCTGTAGAATCAACTTGTCAGTTTGTGCTTCAGGAGTTTGGCCGAGGTTGCCTGCAGCCTGAAGGTCGATTTGGTGAGAAGTCATGTCTCTGCTCTGAGTCTTCTGACCATGAACATGGTGTGTCCATGCATGGACCCCCTCAGTGTTTTATGGTTTTTGGAGCAGAGATGTTGCACATCTTTCTGTAATTGTCCCACAGTTCTTGGATATTCTTCTTTTTTTTTCATTTTTGTTTCTCTTTGCCTTTCAGTTTGGGAAGTTTCTGTTGACCTGTCTTCAAGTTCACTGTTTCCTTGGCCACATCTGGTCTTAGGACAAGCCCGTCCGAGGCATCCGTTTCAGTTACAGTGTTCGTGGTCTCCAGCGCTTCCACCGCTGCTTACATTGTCTGTCCCTGCGTGGTGCCAGTTTGTCCACTAGGGTCCTTGGCGTATTGATCACAGCTGTTTCAAATTCCTGGTCTGATAGTTCCAACGTCTCTGCTGTTTCTGAGTCTGGTTCTTACATTTGCACTGTCTCTTCAGACTGCTTTTTCTTGCCTCTTGTTGTATTTTGTACTTTTTTGATGAAGGCAGCCTTGTTGGGGGAACAGGAGCTAAGTAACCAGAGCACAGGGTGCTTGCTGCAGCAGCAGGTCCCGGGCAGAGCCCCTCCCGGTTCTTGTTCTCATCCTCAGGGAAACCACAGGAGGGGCTGAAGTCCCTTTGTCTCGTGTTATAATAGAGCCACAGCGCAGTTTTTGATCAGTGTTTATGTAGTTTATCTTTTTTAATCATTTCACTTTCAATTTCTGTGTTCCTACATTTAAATGTGTTTCTTATGAACAGTAGATAGGCCTCATCTCTTTTTAATCCAGTTTAACCGTTTTTGGTAATTGGAGTGTTTTGTCCACTTACATTTAATGTGTGAGTTTGGATTTGCTGGGTTTGTTTGCCATCTTTCCATTTTCTGTTCAACCCTGTTTGTTTCTTTGCTCCTTTCTTGTCTTTGTTTGGATTGGTTAACGACTTTTTTTTTTCTTGCGGTACGCGGGCCTCTCACTGTTGTGGCCTCTCCCGTTGCGGAGCACAGGCTCCGGACGCGCAGGCTCAGCGGCCATGGCTCACGGGCCCAGCCGCTCCGTGGCATGCGGGATCTTCCCGGACCGGGGCACGAACCCGCGTCCCCTGCATCGGCAGGCGGACCCTCAACCACTGTGCCGCCAGGGAAGCCCAGTTAACGACATTTTTACCATTTCACTTCCCCTTCTGTTAACTTCCTGCAGTTTTCCTGCTGTTTGTTAGTGACTGCCCATCAGGACAGCATTCCTTCCCCACATACGGCAGTCAGGACGGGCGGCACCGGGCGGAGGGCTCTGGCTGCGGTGCCCTTCCTTCCCAGGGCCCAGATGGTCATGGCCTGCCTTCCGTTCAGCCGCCTCTCTCTTCATTGTCCTTCAGTTCTTCACTGTGCTCTTAACTCTCTGTTCTCCTTGTGGCTAAGTTATTTCTGAGGTGATGTCTTTTTCCCCCTTTCCTCCCCCCCGATCATGCTGTACTAGTGTCTGCCTTGCCTGGCCCTTCTCTGGGGCCCCTACAGGACCCCCTCAGATGCGGGCTGAGGGCAGCTCTGGTCGGCCTCCAGGTGACACTGTGGGTGACAGGGATGGCAGGCCAAGTGTCAACTCTCCCTTCTCCTTGTGTGACAGCCACACACAACACTGGCTTCCTAAGGAAACGTGCTTTCTACATTAGGAAAATGTCGCACAGATAGATGAAGTTGGGGGAACAGTATAGTCACCCTCCCCACCTGCTTGCTGCCCAGAGGTTGTGTTGGCCACGGGGCTCCTGGCATGTTCGGGGAAGCGGCACAGATGCAGTTTCCTGCAGGAAGCGTGACCCAGGGAGGGCTGGGGAGACGGCGCTGACCGGCCTGACCCTGTCATGTGTCCTCCGCAGCCCAGTGTCCGCTGAGGCCAGTCCGGGAAGCTGAGTCCTTGCCTCTGCCTGCCTGGGAGGAGGAGCCCGGGCATGGTCGGCATGGAAGACCTGGACGGACGGCGGCGGTCTGGCTGGTGCGTGTGAGGGACCTGGAGTTCGTCACCTGGAGGTGGCGTTTCCTTCCATGCATCCTGTGCCACAGTGACCTGGGCTGTTGGTGCATTTGTCCTATCTCTAACCTGTGTCTTACTTATAAAATCACGTGCTGAGCAGCTCTGTATCTGCCTGTGCCTGACACTGGTGCCGGTGGGGGAGCTGGAACCAGAGGGGGTTGTAGGCTCCTGCACCGAGACCCGCTGGGAGGGGTGGCCCCAGGGGGGACAGGCCGGTTGCAGCCTCCCGTGTGCTGTCCTGTCGCCACGTCCACCATGGCCTTGTTGGGCTTGCTCGTAGCCGCTGACAAGCTCTGAGCGACTCACGTTACAAGTCAGATGCTGCAGGGGCAGAGAAGGTGCCATGCCTCGGGGTGGGGGTGGGCCGCCTCCGGGTCTCTCTTGCAGCGCGGGTGGGGGCTGTCTTCCCTCCTCACCCCATTCTAGTGCCCAGCGCGCATTGCAGTCGCACGCACGTCACCTGCCCTCGTGCAGTTTCATTCAGTCAGAAAGAGCCAACCTGTGTTCTCAGAATCCCACCAGGACCAGTTCAGCCACAAAGGGGACTTGTGACAGCAGCTCAAACCCTCAACGGAAGCAGGGCACGGTCAGTGGCTTCATAGATCTGCCGACATGTGGCCTCCAGGAAGTGGTTCTCTGGTGACGGGAGAAGAACCACATTGTCTGAACCTTTTTATTCATTTGTCCAGAATGGGGTACACACTCAGGGTTTCTGAAGCAAAGACAGGCTGCTTTTGTCCACATGGGCTGGCACTCATGCTGGCCTGTCCAGGGGGCAGTGAGGCCGATATGTATAAAGGTTCCCCACTTGAGCACCTGCATGGCCAGTCTCAGTGCTGAGGGGTCAGGCCGCCTCCTGCGGGAGCCTTTGTGTGGCAGGCTCCTGGTCCATCCCCACCCTTCCACCTGCTGCTTCACGGGTTGAGGTCTGGATGCAGGACAGATGTGGACGGGCAGGTAGAACATCTGAGGTGAAGTCGTCCAGCCACGGGCCCAGGATAGTGTTCCTGCACCTGGGCCACGGGACAGACCGCCCCTCCTGGGACGTGCGCGCCCACGGGTCCACGGCTGGAGGCCACGGTAGGTGTTGTTGGTACAATCCTGAGACGTGTTTTCCTGCTGCCTTTGCTAAGTGAGTTTCTCCTGCTCCAGTTGAGCCAGTGGACATGCCGGGATCGCTGACCTTCCCTGAGAGTGGAAGCCCATGTTAGTCTTGCGTGAGGTTTTAACTTTAATTTCATTTAAGCCTTAAAACATGTCTCCTCTTGAAAATAAGTAGAGAGTTTTCCATTTTCAATGGAAGAACAGCTAGAGGCCCCATAGCTGGTGGACGTTGTCACGTGGTGAGGGGTTCTGGATGGCCAGGCGGCCTCAGGCCACATGAGGCCACGCTGGTTGGAAGGCTCTCCTGCAGGGTGGCCACAGGAGGCCCCACTTGTATCCCTGCAGCAGGCGGGGTCCACAGAGCAGCACCTAGACCTTGGCTGAGAAAACCAAGCAAGGAGCTTTTGAGAAGGAATAAAATGAAATGTTTTTAGCATAATTTTTTAAAAACACCAAGATTGCAGAGACATGGTCTCTGAGACATGGAGACAGGCCAGTTTACCACATTGATGATACTGTGTCATGAAGCAATTCTTCTTCCGTTGCTGGTCTACCTTTGCAACCCGAGGAAAACCAACAAAGCCGGCAGTGTCCAGCTGCCCCTGCACACCTTCGGCCATGTCAGATCCTACTGGTCAGCACCTGTTCTCATCAGGCGCCTGGTGGCTGGGAACCTCCTCCTTCGTTTGGAGTCCATCTGGGTCCAGGTGACGGCTTTGTGGGGAGTCCCCCCTCATGACTGACGACGTGGCCAGAAGCAGACAACAGCAGAGGTGGACATCATGGAAAGCAGTGGTCTGAAGCAATTCGGGGTGGGTGGACAGTGCTGGGCTGCCACCTGGTAGAGGGAGTGGTCAGGAGACACCCCCCCCCCCCCGGAAAGGGGCAGAGAAGGGCACCTGTGGCCCCAGTGGGAGTGAGGTGGGTGGGTCTGAAGAGCCGCAAGAAGCCTCGTGCCTGAAACAGGATATGTGAGGGCAGCGGTGTGGCCGTGAGCACATGGCCATGTCCCAGACACAGAGGGAACCATCCCAGTGAGCAGGTCCCTGGCGTCCCCAGGATCCATGTCTGCTGAGCCCTGGAGGCTGGCTGGGAAGTGTGGATGTGACAGCATAAGGCCCAGGGCCAAATCTCGTAGCAGACCCCACATACAGCTGGGGCCCTAAATAGCTGTACCCTCAGCAGCAAGGAGAGTGAGAAGTAGGTCCCCACAGGAGCACATCTGTCTTGGTCTCTGCCCAGTGCTGGTGGAGAGGAATGTGATCACAATGGCCCCCAACCAGTGGTGCTTGACAGACACTGGGCAGAGGAGGCAAACAAAACCCTCTCTGGAAGGACGCAGGCTGAGCCCTACAGAGAGAAGAACATAAGCTCACATCCCCAAATTGCACAAAATGCACAAAGAAAAAAGGCACCATTGGCAAGACCTTAATAAAATCAGACCCCAAAAGACACAAAATATAAAATGAATTCAGTTTTGAAAAGGGTTAGAAATTATCAAGAGGAAATTAGGGGGAAAAAGGCTCAATGGATGAATTAAACAACCACCTAGACATGGCTGAAGAGAGAATTGGGGAACTGGAAGATCTGAAGGAGTTTTATCCAGAAAAACAACTGGAAAATATGAAAACAAAGTCAAGAGACACCAGAGAACCTGCCCTGTGTGCAGCTGGGGTCTCGGGAGACGGTGCCACATACTTGGTGGTAGAAGCAAGATCCCAAACAGGACAAGCTCACGTCTGGACATGTTGCAGCGGAACTGCTGGGAGACTGGGTGGTCCGGGCAGCTGCCCCTCTTGGATGGCAACAGTGGACTTAACACTGGAAGGAGATCCTCATCGAGCTGAGAGAAAACCATTCACCTCGGCTGGACTGAAGCTAGTACAGCTGTCATTCAGGGAAGAACAAAATAGGTCGTTACAGATAAAACAAACCTCCTCAATGCCACTGATGGTTTCCAATCTTGACACTGTTGACATTTGAGGTCGAATAATTCTTAGTTGTGGGGACCGTCCTGTGTGTTGCAGAATGTTTAGCAACAACCTAGATGCCAGTAGCAAACCCCCTTCCCAGTTGTGATGACAGAAGTATCTTCAGGCAGATTCTGGGGGCAGATTCTAGTGGATAAAGCTTAGGGATCATTTTCCTGCTGCCACGTGAATGCAGGTGCAAGAGACAATGTTGGGCAGAGAAAACTATAAACAACGACCATGTAACAAAAAGAATAACGGCTAATATGTAGATTTTTAAAAGCACGTAGAATTTCTTTTTAATGGACAGTAGTAGCATACAGTATAAAAATAAACGTGCATTTTTAGAAGGTCCTGTAGCCAGAACACTGATCCTCTTGCCTCTGACCAACACCTCGTGTGCTTTGGGAAGGGTCTTCCGAGACTCTGCATGCAGAGACCCTGATGCTTTTAAATCACCAAGGCGGGGAATTCTGACTCGGACATGACTCCACAATGAGGCCACTCCTGATTGTTCAGGCCCCCTGACCCTACTCGGACCCAGGAGTTACTGCCTTGTTCACATGAAGTTAGGGCAGGGCTCCCATCAGTGGGAATCATCACTCAACTCCAGCATTAATGGCACCCATGATTCAACACATCAATGATTTGTTCTTGGATCAAGGAGACAGGCCCCCGGGGGTAGCAGCCGTGCGTCACCTTTAGGGAAAAGCCATTGGCCTCCTGGGACCGAGACCCCAGATGCACAAAGGGACAATTCCAGATCGTGTCTCAACATAGAACTGTGTAGCCACTGGTCCCCAATGGCCAGGACGTGGTCACAACTGCCAGCTTCCCCAGTTCTAGCCATACATCCAACTTAGGACCAATCGGAGAAGGAGACTCACTCCCCTGACGGCTCACGCCCACGGCCCCCCGCCAGGCACAGCGGGGCCTCGCCCTCCGCCCGCAGGTCTCTGCTGCGCTTGGTGAGGGGTCAGCTCCCCACCAGACAAGCCGTGAGCACGCAGCCCCTGTCCCCAGGGTGGGCCTTGTCTAGTTCCATGTCTCTCACACATGCGGCCCCCGCATGGATGGAGCCACCCACCCAGACACGGACCAGACTTTCCACAGTGGCCAGAGCTGGGAACGAGGCAAGCGTTGGGGAGCCGTGCAGTGACTAGAACGAGTGACTAGAACGTCTGCCACAGACACGGGGGAGGCTCTCTGGGGAGGCTGCATTGTGCGGCCACGCCCTCTGCTCCATGTCTCCGTCTGTGGTATCTGTACACACGTGTGGACACGTGTCAGAGATACACGGTGGGGTGTGGACAACACCCCTCAGGCTTGTGCTCACGGCTGTGTGCTTTACCACACGTAAACCACACCCGATAAGAACACTAAGACGCGCCCTCCTGGTGAAGGGGATTTGAGGGGCATCTGGGTGCCACCCTCCACCGGGCACGTTCCCCACTGGGGGCCACGGGGCCATCCTTCCCTACTTGCTCTCGACCCTGGGCTGCGGCTGCTGGGGGCCTCGTACATACCTGGGAGCAGCTGCCATGGGTCTGTCAGCTGAAGTGAAGGAAATCCCGGCCCTCCTGCAGGTGCAGCGACCTCAGATTGTCTTCAAATGCGCCCCCTGTGAGGTCCTGGGGGAGGAGCGACAGGTCTGGCTCTATCCAGGCCTCCCCTGGCCTGCACTGGGGACCCCAAGAGCCTCCCTTGGGGGCCTGGGGTTTGGGGTTGCCTGTGGCCACCTGTTAGGTGGTCCACTATGAACTTCGGCTCCACTGCTAAAAGGAGAGGGTCCAGAAGGAGAAAAGTGCCGGAAGGGAACCTGTTGGCAGTTGGCCACAATGTCCCATAGGTCACCAGGGAGGCTGGGGGCAGGGGGTCTTCTGAGGTGCCTCCACCAGCCTGGCCTCGGCCCCTCCCCGCACGAGGCAGCTGGCCCCCCGCGGGGACTCGGGGGAGGAGGTGAGGCTCATGGGCAGTCCCTTCTGCTCATTTCTTGGTCCAGGGCAGAGCCAGCTTCCCCTGTCCTGACTGGTCCTGGGATCTCCATGGTGGCCCCCTTGCCCCACCCCCATGGCCTCTGCAGGGCCACAGGTGGGAGGCAGCCCTGGGGACAGAAACTGTGACCCAACAGCCAGCTGCTGACAGAGCCCCTCCCGCCTCCCGCTCCGTACCCACCCCCACGGCCGAGACAGGAGGCAGTCCCTGCCCACGTCTCCCCTGTACCCTTGTTGGTGCGGGACTTGGAGGTGGGTCCCCAAACTCTTCAGCTGGGCCCGTGCACTGGTGCTGCTTCGGCCGCCCTCCTGTGTGGGGCCACGGCGGGGTTTCGGGAAACACCTGCAGGCTCCTGTCCCTCGTCCCAGCGCCACCTGCCAGGTCCCCTTCTGCCTCCATAACCAACAAAGCGGGGGCCTCTCTGCCGGGACGTGGGAGGGGCTGCCTGACCACCACACTCCTTCCTATTGGGTGTCATCCGTCTGTCCTTGGGCCCAACACAGGGAATCACCCTTGTCCTGGGCTGTTTCTGCTCCTCTTACTGCTGTTACCTGGGCTTTGCCAGAAGTATTTAAATGAAAACCATTCTACCTGGAAAACACCTGAAATTTCCACATTCTGTCCTCTACCTGCTGTCTGTTCTTAGCCCCCATTTTCTCCTCCCATTATCTCTCTGCTTCCAAGTTTTCAAAGGAAATACACGTGGGTTCAGGGCCAGCCCAGCCACAGACCTGGGCTTGTAAAGGGGCCACCAAGAAGGTACTCATGTGTCCATGAGTGGACACACCCCTTAAGAGAATTTAAAAGGTCAGACGTGAAACCAACAAGAACTGGAACCCAGAGGGTACAGAGGACTCCTGGGGTCAGGAGAAGACACACAATCCTGTGGACAAGAAGCTGATCAGAAACATCAGGACACAGGAAATCCACATGCCTGACAGATGCGGGAAAGGTCCTGGCCTCAGCAGGGATCAGATGGAAATGAACCCCACAGTCCAGTCGTGAGGCCTAGAGGGACCCCTCCCTCCCTGCCTCTGGGCGTGTCCCCTGGCCTGGCCTCCTGGGCGTTGTCTAGCGAAGCAGAAGACATGGCTACCCCACGACCCGTGAGGAGCGTCAGGACCCTCCATGAGAAGCTCTGGTGCAATGCCCACGGCTGGGTCCCGAAGCGCCAACGGGAAGAGGAAAGCAGGCCTCAAGCATGACGTGGAGGAGACTGGACCCCCAGAAACACAGCCAACTCTCACATGGCCCACAGACATGCACTCCACACCAAACGGATTAGCGGAGCAAGTACAGAATCGGGCGGCGCTGGGGGAGGGCACATCGCCCGTTAAACTGTGCAGCCGGTTCTGGAACAGAGGCCGCAGAGTTTTCTTAAAGGGCAGATGGTTAGCATTTACGGCTTTGTGGCCATACGTCCTCTGTGTTCTAGTAAAACTTTATTTACAGAAGCAGCTGGTGGGCCACACTTAGGCCATTTTCCGAAGGTGTGAAGAATTCACAATAAAGTTTATTCAAACAAGAAAAATGTGAGAAAAGTTCTAAAAAGAATAATGAAGGAAGACTATCCTTACTCAGTGGTGAACATCATAAAGCTATAGTCAGTAATGGTGCATGACAGATGCGTAGAAAAAGGCCAAGACTCCAGAAACAGCTCCAAATCCACATGCATACCCAACACACACAGACGCCATTTCCTGACTGGAAAAGATGAGGGTTTCTCACCAAATGATGTTAGGACCACTGAGGATCCAAACAGAAAGAAAAAAGTCTGGATCCCTATGATAATCTTACAATAAAATAAATTCCAGTTGTACCAAAAATATAAGGAAAAAACAGGAGTCTGAGGACCAGACTTGGATAATGTTTTTTTAAATATCACAGTGAGAAATGATTGTCTTAGAATGAATAAAACCCCCAAAAGCCATAAAAGGAAAAATTAATTTGATTATATCCAAATAACAAACGTCTAAATGGCAAAAGATATAAATTCAGTTAAATGACACAGAAAAATCTGCAACATCACAGACAGTGGTTTGGTTCTGTTACTGTATAAAGAAAACTACAGAGACCAATAGAGAAATGGGCCAATGAAAAGGGTAAGGTACCAAAAGGGAAATAAAGATGAATACAAATACATGAAGAGATGCCCTCCTTACTCACAATATGACGTTGCCAACTGGAACCATAAACTTACTGCTTTTCACCTGTAGTTTGCAAAGGTGAAAGGTTTGGTCACAGCGCTGGAGAAGGGTCATGGTGGGGGCAGGGTGTGTGAACTGGCTCAGCCTCCAGGGACAGAATGGCTGGTCTCACGACTGATGGCGGGCACATTCTTTGACCAGCACCTTTCAGACATTTATCCCATATGTGTAGCCACTTGAGCAAAATTATGCACATATAAAGAGATCCACGGCAGCATTATTCCTAACGGTGAACAGTAAAACTGGCCTAAAGGTACATCGATAAGTAACTGGATAATAAATGTATGTAACACCCATATAATCGCGTGGGATGCAGATGTTTTTTAAGTGAGGTACATGAATCCCTCAGAAGCTCCTGCAGCCAGCGATGAAGGTGTTCCTGCGAGCAGAACGGACCCTGGACCTGAGCCTCGGGAAACACGTTAAACCACAAGCCGGTTTCGTCAACAAACAGATTGTAAGAAAGTGAGGGAGACGAAGGTCACACTGGGTCTGCATTCCAACAGGCAAGTATGAAAAGACAGAACATGTCTACAAGGCAGTTAGAGAGATTTCAACACTGATGGGATATCTGGAAATTTGGGTGACATAGTGGTATTATGGTAGATTTTTTAGCTTTTAATCTTTTCAGGAAACAATAATGAAGAAATGAGGCTAGAATTTGCCTCACTCCCAGGTTGGGGGAGTTGGGGCTTGGGGCTGGCTTCTTTGCTTTGGCTGAAACGTGCTGGAAAGTTTCCTTCATAAAAAGATAACAGAGTTGGGTGGCACCAGCGGATTTATATGGAATTAACTCCAAGATATACTATTATGTGAAAAAAGCGAAATAAAGAAGTATGTATGACATGCTGCTGTTTGTTAAAAAGAAAAATCACATACACCTTTGTGTTTCTACCCCTAGGCCCTCTAAGGAAACAAAGTGGGTGACAGGGATGGGTTCCTTCCCACCCAAAGTCTGCTCTCTGGGAAGGGTTTGCATGGGTGGGGGTGTTCCCTTCGTGGCAACTTCGGGTCCCTGAGAAGTAGACCCTTAAGAGAGCCTATCTCTGAAAAGCTAGGTATCATTTGTGTAGAATTAAAACTTTCATTTTACAACGGCTCCTTGCAGCCCCATAATCATTCATCCAATTCCCCTGGCAACTTGAACACTGTTTGTCTTGGCCTCTCAGGAAACTGCTTTCAAACCAGGAAACCCAAAGCCAGGTGGGTCTATCCCTGTGGCAGGCAGGCCCCAGATGGCCACGAGCCTGCCTCATTGCACCCACATCCCGTGGAACCCCCTTCCCTGGTATGTCACTTCTGTGATTAGGTCACACGTTAGTGTGACGTATGTCTTGCTACTGCCCCTGCCCCTTGCTGGCTTTCATAGAATAAGCTGCCATGGTTGGCGGGCCTGCAGAGCAAACAGCCGGCAAAGCACTGAGGCCCTCGGCCAACACCCTGGAGATCTGACTCCTGCCAAGGACCATAAGAGCTTGGAAGCAGGTCTGCCCCAGGCGAGCCTCTTGATGAGACATCATCACCGGCAGACACCACCACGCTCACCTGAAGCTGAAAGCCACCTGTGGTGCCTGGACTTATGACCCACAGAAACGTGAGGAAGTAAACATGTGCTGTTTGAGGCTAAGTTTGTAGTTTGTTATGTAGTGACGGTTAAGTAATGCAGGTTCAAGCTGGCAAGCAGTCAAACAGAAGAAAACCTCAAGGTGACACGTTGGGACTGGAGCCACCCGGCTGCCTGGCCCTGGGACACTCAGTGTACAGCCACCTGCAAAAGCACAAAGCTGGCCCCTACCTGACCCCACACACAAACAGCAACTCAAAATGGGTCCAAGACCTACATGAAGGAGCTGAAACCATAAAACCCTTAAGAAAAAAGTACAGGGGTAAATCTTCATGACTCTAGATTGGGTGGTGGTTTCTTAGCCTTGACACCCAAAACAGAAATCAAATTACAAATAGATAAAATGGACTTTGTCAAAGTTAAGCACTTTTTGTGCATCAAAGGACACCGTCAAGAGAATGAAAAGACAGCCCACAGGATGGGAGAAAATATTTGCCAATGCATCCAGTTGGGGACTTGAGTCTAGAAATATAGAGAACTCTGAGGACTCAACAAAAAGACAGCCCGATTAGAAAACGGGTGAAGGACCTGAACAGACACTTCTCCACAGGAGGCAGACACGTGGCTAACAGATGCTCCATGTCCTCTGTTGTCAGGGAGACGCAAACGGAAACCGCTGTGAGAGCCACTCATCCACCAGGATGGCCTTGACGAACAAACATGTCACGAGGTGGGCAAGGATACGAGAAACTGGAACCTTTGGGCAGCGGGGGGTGGGGGGGCATAAGTCATCCTAAGACCAGTGATTCCACCCCAGCTCTGCATCCGAGAGAACTGAAAACACGTCCACATGGAAATCTGACCTGAATTTTCACACGGCCTCATTCAAACTGACAAAGCCTGTTGTGCCCATGAGATTCTGTTCTGGTCCAAGTGTTCAGCTCACCTATGACCGTGCAAAGTCTCCACCAACTGAGCAGAGGAAACCACACCTCTACTGCCTCACAGTTTCTGTGGGGCTGGAGCTCAGGGCTGGGCCTGGCCATGCAGGGACCAGCTGGGACCCTGAGGCCACTCCTGGCACCAGGCTCCTGCGGTCAGCCTGTTCTCACGCCCGTTTTCCCGACAGTTGGGTGACTTCTCCAAAGTGGCAACTCGAGTGAGGGGCAGAATCAGGACATCCAGCCTGTTCTCCGGTCCTGCATGGGACCCCACCTGACCAACACTCTACAACGCCCGCTGTCCCCCATGTCTGAGCTCGGGCCCCATGGGAGCACAGCCTCAGGGAGGTGACGTTCCCCATCAGGATGCACTGGCCTGGTGGGGCCCCTGTGCAGGCGCCTGGGCCACACGGCAAACCGCAGTTAGAAGCTGTGAGTAACACCAGTCAGTGCAGAAGGGGGTCTGGGATCTTAAAAACAGCCACCAACAGAGGGCTCCCCCCTTCTCTGGCACCCTCCACGTACACGTGGAGCCACCCTTGCTATGAACATGCGTAGGGGCCGCAGGCTCCCTGAGCCCAAGGCTGGTGAGAGTCTGCACGTGATGTGGGGTGAGAGGCATGTTCTGCTTGGTTCCCCACTGCTGTTGGCGAACGCTGGCAAATGAACATGCACCTGCTTCCCTTCCGCTAAAGCCACTGCCTTCAGGAAGGCCTCTGGCCTGGCACCCTGTTTACCAAGGTTTCAACCTCAGAGGCTGGAAACTGCTGGAAGCAGTGGCCTGTGTCCCCAACTATGCGTCATCCCACGTCCCCAGTGGCACAGCACAGGGACCTGCTCACCCATCCACTACTGTCCCCTCTTGACCCTTTGGGGCAGCCCCGCTCCACATGAGCCAACCTGGGCCCTGTAGTCCTGGTGGATTAAGGACACTTTATACTTGCATTTGTGATAATCTTTCTGACCGCGGGGAGGAATTTCCAAAACAGGAGAACACTAAAAGTGTTCATCACAAGAGAAAAATTGATAAATGTACTGTGTTAAAAATAAGCTTTTCACGGGACTTCCCTGGTGGTCCAGCGGGTAAGACTCCACTCTCCCAATGCAGGGGGCCTAGTCGGGGAACTAGATCCCACAGGCATGCTGCACCTAAGAGTTCACATGCCGCACCTAAAAGATCCCACATGCCGCAACCACGACCCAGCGCTGCATGCATGCGTGCATGCATAAATAAATAAAATTAAGTTTTTCTGGGAAGAACCTGTGAAAAGACAAGTCACAACTGGGAGAAAACATCTAAACACTAGTCGACCAAGGGCCAGCACCACTCAATGCAGAGCTCCCAGAAACCAAGGAGAAGAGATGGACAGGCCAGCAGGGCGCGGGTGAGGGCTCCAAAATCAGGAGAACGTCCCCATCACCAGAGCCCACCAGCAGGCTTCGTGGTGGGAACTTGCACACCAGGAAACGGGACCCACTCAGGGGAGGAGGGAGTTCAAGCACACGGGCCTCTCTGCAGGACCCCAGCATTGGGCCCAGAGCCAAGAAACGAGCACCTGTCCTGCGTGGCCGCAAATAGAAAAGGCAAGGGGTTGATGGAGAAAACCGCTGGGACGGCAGTCACCTGGCAGGGATTGGGGGGATGCAGGGCTGGCGCAGGTGCTTCTGGGCGGCCTTGTCCCCTGCAGCTCTCATGGGAAATGCAACCTGCCTCATGGGGCACCATCGCCGCCACCTCCCCCAACACCCCGGGCCTGGCTGGAGGTGGCCCTGTTGTCTCCTGTCCCTGCCCCCATGCGGATCACTCTCCTGGCCCCCCAGAGCGGCAGTCATCACCTCCCATCCTAGCCCACAGCTTCCTGGTGGACACAACATACCACCTCCTGACCCTGGGGCTGTCCCAGCCACACATGCCCCAGCCTGACACTCACCAGCTTCACGCAGATGACAAAGGGTGGCTGTGCGGCTCGGAAGTGCAGGACCGGGACCCGGGGCTTGGGCCTTTCCTGAGAGGAGAGAAGAGCCACAGGCTGCTCCACCTTGCTCCCCAGTCCCCCACCTCTGCCCTGCTCACAGCTCGATGCCCTCAGACAGGCGCCCGGGCCACAGCCAGACCCAGGGCTGGACCTGGTCTCCAGCACCTCCACCCAGCCACCTATGGCTGCCACAGGACTAACCTGAGGTGGGCAGCAGACAGACCCAAGCCTGCAAGGAGCACCTTCCAGCAGGGACAGGGGCAGGTGGGGGCAGGCACGGGTGCCCTCTGGGGTCCTGGAGACCCCAGGAGCCTGAGGGCTGCATCTGCCAGGCCTGGCAGCTGTCTGGGCCCAGATGGCCTTTCCCAAGGAGGAAGGTTCTGGGCAGTGTCTACTCCAAAGGCCCAGGACGGCACCCCAGAGTGCAGTGTGGGTGGCTGCTGTGCGTGACCACGGGGCTCGGTGGGGAGGGGGCGTACCTGAGAGTCCTCGTAGCAGTAGAAGCCCTTCTTGATCTTGTTCTCGTCCACATCGCAGAAGGCGACCACCTACGGAGGACCCAGGACGCCAGCCTCAGGGGCAGTGGGGGCAGTGCTGCTGGATGGGGGAGGGGTGGGACAAGGGGTGGGCCCCACCTTGCACCGTGACCCTGCCGTCAGGCTGCGGTAGAGCCGGCGGCCCTGCCGGCCCGCATTCCAGATGGTGAAGGTTGCCCAGTGGGGCAGGGCCCACTCTTCCAGGAAGCGGACGCGGTGGGTCCAGATGGTGGTCCTGTGGGGGATGGGGGTTTGGGGGTCGTGACCCAGGAGGGCAGGGCCTCCAAGCGCCCCAGGCCTTCCTCCCCCCACCCCTGAGCCTGCCCACAAGTCCCCCTGGTTTGGGGCCCCTGGGGCAGCGCTGCAGCTGTTGGCTGAGTGACTGAACCAAGGAGGCCAGGACCAGAAGGTCGCACCCCTCACCCACCCTCACAACCGGTACACATGGATCCTCGGACGTGCTGAGCTCACGTCCACACACTCAAGAAGCGTGCGGGACACCAGGCACAGAGCTTGGGGAGCCCAAGGAAAACCCAGCCACGCTGACGTCCGGCACCTACGACCATGGTAAACATGACCTGGACGTGACTCCCCACCTCGAGTGGCCACATGGAAGGGGCCACAGTGTCCTGTGGAAGCTGTGCAGATGGCGGGGTCACCTTCCCCAGGTGGGACCCCCTCCCTTGGCCCCTTGCCACATGCAGACCTGAGGTCCAGGCCGGCCCTTGGGGTCTGCAGCTGCCCGAGTCCCAGTGCCCGGAGACAACAGCATGTCAGCTGTCTCCAGGTTAAAGTGGTTGGACACAGGGACAGGACCCAAGGCGCAGGGGTGAAAGCATCACTTAAGAATCGGGAAGGTTAAGGGGGAGCTTCTGCAGGTACACAGTGGACCAAACTTGACCCTGGTCTTCCTTTCCAGAGAAACCTCTGATGTAAGGAAAGGCGGCACACCCTTGTATAAAATCACAGTTTACACCTGGAAGTGCCCTCCGTGGACCCTCTCACGGAGCCCCAAGACCTACTGTTCTAGGCCAGGCGCAGACCTGCTGCAGCTCCCCCACGTTCTACAGTGTGGGTTCAGTTGCTTCCTGGTGTCTGGCCTGGGGCTCTGTGTGGCAAGTGTTGAACCCGTAGTTCAGCAGCCACTGCCCTGCTGCCTTCTCTGTGGCAACCAGCTTTGAGGGTCCCACAAGGTATCTCAGGGGAGCAGCTCCTCCAGGTGAGAGTGTGGGGTCCATGGACACAACACAGTGATGCCCACTCTAATGCAACTGGGCACCAGTGTCCGCCTGCCCAGGGGTGGGCTCTGGATGCTGGGCTCCTCCTGTGGTCGGTCCACCCACCTCCCACTTGAAATGTCTCAGTTAGGGTTGTGCTGAGCAGCCATAATTTCAGTGGTCGGCGGGTACTGGGGCTTGCGAAGGTGAATAAGGTGAATAACTCCCCAGTCTGGGCCACTCAGCACAAGCTAGACACACTCCAGCCCAAACAAGACACCATCAGGTGCAGCACTCAACACGCAGCTTTGGCAGCATCCAAGGAACGAAGGACAATTCTGAGAACAAAACAACTGAGCTTCCTGCAAATGAGCTCTGACAAACCCACGAGACGCTGACAGTGGGGAAGAGAGGGGGCGGGCCCCGGGTCCCCACCAGCAGCGGGACCTGCGCCACGCTCCAGGCCCTGCCTGGGACCCCCGGGGGTGTGCCTACCACCACAGGGCAGCAGGAGACAAGGGACCACAGACATCTGGGCAGGTCTCGCCCTCTGCTCCACGGTTTCCTCTCCGGCTCCTACTTTTTAAATTACTTTTGTTGGCAAAAGGTCTGGCTGCTTCTATGACTTAATTGCTTCTCTCCTTAACCAGTCAACTCTCTTCAATTTCATGAACAGTTCAATGAAACTGCCCAAAAAAATGCCCAAAGGTTTTGGGGACACTTGAAATGAAATGGCCCAACAAGGACTCCACTTAATGCTCAGGGACCAGGACAGTGTGGGGCCCGCACCAGCGTGACCACCAGACGCAGGGGTGACGGGCCGGGTCTGAGCAGCGCAGGGTGCCTCACCTGGAGACGGCGCCTGTGGGAGGGACAGAGCTGACCCCCACCTCCCACCACCTGCGGAGTGGATCTGGAGGGACTGGGGGTCCTGAGGGTACAGCCCCTGCCTTGCGCCCTCCCTGTGCCTCCGGAGTCTGGTCTCTGGTCTGAGGACACAACTCAGAAACTGCCACCAATACCTCCGTGTTGTGGACAGTGAGACCCTTCCTGCCGCTGCTGTCCTGCAGGTCCCTTTCTCCACCGTGCTGCTCAGTTATTTATTCGGGAGAACAGCCCAGGTGTGTCCTTCCTGCCACTCTTACCCCTGCGAGGAGGCTCCGCCGAGGGCTGGGTGTGTGGGAGCTGCTCACAGGTTTTCTCAGACCCACAGGTCGGCATTTCCAGAACCTTCTGGAAAGCAGGGCAGTGTCAGGGATGCACACTGCACCAGGAGGCAGCAGGCCGGAGGTGGGGGCGGGGAGCAGTGGCGTGTGTGGACCCTCAGCAGCAGGACGGCAGGAAGGTCCACGCGGTGACGAAGACAGAGGAGCAACGTCACCACACGGAGCTCAGCCCTGAGGGTGAGCAGCACAGCGACTTCGGGAAGAATGAGGCAGAACGTTGCCACCGACACCACATTTTTAAAGAGGGAAAGCACACCGTTTAGAGGACATCACGTGTGGTCAAAGTATAAAGAAATGGATCTTATGGCAAATAAACATCCCACTCAGGACACCACGAAATGGAACCTGGGAGATGCAGGAGGTTTGGGGAAATGGGTAACTTTTTGTTTTAAAGATGATTCCTTATGCCTCTGGCTGTCGGAAGTATTTCATAGTGAAAATTGTTAAATGATATAAATGCTGATCATTCTCAATGTAAAAGGTAAAGGCCACGATTCAGGGAGCCTCTCAAACAGAGGGCTCTTTAAGAGAGAGTCTGAAGGAATTCAATTATTGACAAGCCTGAGGGTGTAATTAGGGCTCCTTGCTCTGTGAGGTTTTGCTGCTCAAAGACTTTAATCCAACACAGAAACTAACGTGAGATCACCTCTTTTAGGTTGTGGGTGGCAAAGCCTCACGCTGCAAAAAGAGGGGAAAAAAAGTCTCAACATAAAAGAATTATCGCATGAAAACAGAATGAGGGTGTGTGTAGCACAAGCCGGCTGGCTGGCTGCCTGGCCCCCCAGATACATGAGCACCCGCCACACCATGGGTGGGGAGCAGGGCACCACCAGGGTCATCACAGACATGCCTTCACGTTGCCTTGCTTCACAGGAGCTCAAGGTGAGGACACATGTACGTGAACCTTCAGGAACAATGGAAGAGATCCTAGTTGTCCAGGCGCTTCTCAGCTCTGCAGAGGATCCCAGGTGTCCAGGCACTTCTCAGCTCTGCAGAGGATCCCAGGTGTCCGGGCACTTCTCAGCTCTGCAGAGGATCCCAGGTGTCCGGGCATTTCTCAGCTCTGCAGAGGATCCCAGGTGTCCAGGCGCTTCTCAGCCCTGCACAGGATCCCAGGTGTCTGGGCACTTCTCAGCTCTGCAGAGGATCCCAGGTGTCCCGGCATTTCTGAGCTCTACAGAAGATTCGTGCCCAGAAAACCATCTTTGTACTTTATTCACCCAGTTTCCAACTCCGTTTATGGATTGTGGGAAAGTGGTTACTTCCTTGAAGAAACACTTGCCAGAAATTTTTAAAATTTTAATGAAATTCACGTAGAGTAAGAGCAAGGATCTTAAGTGTGCATACAAGTCAGGCGGTTATGACAAACATGCATATCCGTGTAACCAACGCACCTGTCAAGAGGTGGGACACTTCTACCACCCCAGAAAGCTCTCTTGTATCTCCTTTCCCCTGAGAATACCACAGTCTCGTTTCTATCACTGTGGACTAGTTCTGCCTGTTGGAGAACTCTGTACAAGTGGAAGCCACAGTATGCATGCTTTTGTATCTGATTTCTTTTACTAACCATATATTTTTTTGACATTAATCCCCGTTCTTGCAGGTATCAGTCGTTTGTTTTCTTCTAGTGCTGAGGAGTGTTCCGTTACAGCAGTGTTTATCCACCACCTGCTGATGGGCATCTGGGTTGTTCCCATTCTTGGCTACTAATAGAGAAATGTTGAGCAATCTATTAATTTCTCTTGGAGAAACACCTGGACATGGAATTGCTGGGGCATAGGGCAGGTATCAATTAAATTAAGAAAATAAGGCCCAACAGTTTTCCAAAGAGGATGTACTGTGCTTACACTCCTGAGAACAACGTATACGTGTCCTCAGCATGATTGGGAATTGCAGACGTTAATTTTAACCCTTCTCGTGGGTGTGCAGAGTTTAATTTGCATTCTCTGATAATGATGAAACCTTTTTAATTGACCTTATATATTACTTCTTTGTGAAGTGTCATGTCCGTTCAACTATTTTGCCTACTTTTATTAGATTTTATTTTGGGGTGATAGGGGTTCTTAATATCTCCCCCATACTAACCCTCTGTGAGATATACAGATTATGAATATTTTCTCCCAGTCTGTGGTTTGTCTATTCATTTTCCTAATGGTGTCTTTTTTAAAAATTAATTAATTAATTAATTATTGGCTGTGTTGGGTCTTCGTTTCTGTGCGTGGGCTTTCTCTAGTTGCGGCAAGTGGGGGCCACTCTTCATCACAGTGCGAGGGCCTCTCACTGTTGTGGCCTCTCTTGTTGCGTAGCACAGGCTCCAGACGCGCAGGCTCAGTAGTTGTGGCTCACGGGCCCAGTTGCTCCGCAGCATGTGGGATCTTCCCAGACCAGGGCTCGAACCCGTGTCCCCTGCATTAGCAGGCAGATTCTCAACCACTGCGCCACCAGGGAAGCCCACTTCCACTTTCTAATACTTATATTTTTTATTTTTCCTGTCTCATTGCACTGACCTCCATTACAGTGTGGAATAGAAGTAGTGAGAGGAGTGATCAGATCACTTCCTCCTGATCTTAGAAGGGAAAGCTTTCAGTCTTTAATGATTAAGTATGAGGTTAGTTATAGGTTTGAGTAGATGCTATCAGACTGAGAAAGTTTCCCTCTATTTCTAGTTTGCTGAGTTTTTTAAAAAATCATGAATGGGTATTGAATTTTGCCCAATGCTTTTTCTGCATCTATTGCGTTGATTGTGTGATTTTTATCTTTTATTCTGTTACTGTATTAAACCATACTAATTGATTTCTGAATGTTAAACCAGACTTGTATTCATGATGTATTATCCTTTCATATATATTTCTGAATTTGACTTGGTAATATTTTGTGAATGATTTTTGCAACTATTTTCATAAGGGATATTTGTCTGTAATTTTATTTTCTTGTAATATTCTTGTAGCATTTTTTACTTCAGTCATGCTAGTCTCACGGAGTGTGAAGCTCCTCCCTCCCAACACCCAACAGACCTTTCTCCTCTTCTATTTCCTGAAAGAATTTATGTTAGATTGGTATTATTTCTTCCTTACATTTTTGATAGAATATATCAGTAAAGCCATCTGGCTTGGCTTTTCTTTATGAAAAGCTTTTAAATTACTAATTAATTTTTAATTATTATTTATACCTTTTTTTTTTTTTTTGGCCATGCGCAGGGCATGCAAGATATATTAGTTCCCCAGCCAGGGACTGAACCTAAACCCCCTGCAGTGGAAGCACGGAGTCCCAACCACTATATCGCCAAGGAATTCTCTATTATTTATACTTTAAATACCTACTGGATCTGTAATGATGTCCCCTCTTTAATTCCCAGTATATTGGTAACCTGTGTTTTCTTTTAAAAATCAATCTTGATAGAGGCTTGTCAATTGTACTGATTTTATTTCAAGCTAATTCTTGGTTTTACTGATGTTTTTTCTACTGACTGTCCATTTTCAATTTTACCTTTTTCATTCCTTTCCTTCTATTTACTTTGAGTTTACTTTGCTATTACTTTTGAAACCTTTAAAGGTGGAGACTTAGATAATTGCTTAGTTTCTTCTTTTATAATATAAACTTTTAAAGCTATAAAAACTTATTATAAACTCTGCTTTAGCTAAATTCCACAAATTTTGACATACTGTTTTGTCATCAAGTTAAATTTTTTCCCTAATATCCTTTGTGATTTTTTCCCTTGGTTGCTTAATTTCCAAATATTTTGTATATTCAAGATGTCTTAGGGCTTCCCTGGTGGTGCAGTGATTAAGAATCTGCCTGCCAAGGCAGGGGACACAGGTTTAAGCCCTGGTCTGGGAAGATCCCCCATGCCATGAAGCAACTAAGCCCATGTGCCACAACTACTGAGCCTGCACTCTAGAGCCTGCGAGCCACAACTACCAAAGCCCATGCACCTAGAGCCCGTGCTCCACAACAAGAGAAGCCACTGCAACGAGAAGCCTGTGCACCGCAACGAAGAGTAGCTCCCGCTTGCCACAAAACTAGAGAAAGCCCGCACACAGCCACAGGCCTAACGCAGCCAAAAAAAAGAAAAAAATGATTTCTAATTTATAAAACATAACTCGTATGCTTTCAATCATTTGAAATTTATTCAGATTTTTTTCTTGGTCCAAAGTAACGTCTATCTTGTACTTTAAAAGAATGCGTATTCTGCAGTTGACTATAGTGTTCCTTAACTGTCTACTGTCATGTCGGTTAATAGTGTTGTTCAAACCTTCTGATCCTCACAGACTTCCCCACCCCCCCAACTTCTATCAATTATTGAGATAGGTGTATTAAAATCTGCAACTCCAATCTCAGTTTTTGCCTCATATATTTTGAAACTCTGGGATTAGGGATATACACATTTAGGATTGTTATGTCCCCCTAGAAAATGACCTTTACCCCATGTGTGCAAATGACACTTGCATTGAGTCAAGTTCATGACAACAAACTCCCAATGATGCTCCACTAAATCTACTGTATGAAAATTCAGACTTAACAGAAAAGAAATCAAGCTCTTTTGCTTAAAGCTGGAAAACAAAGAAGCTAAGTTTTAGTGTTGAATAGCACATGTACAAAAGTTCAAGGATCTCCCAAGTCAATATGGATGCTGGGGGCTTCCCTGGTGGTGCAGTGGTGAGGAATCTGCCTGCCAATGCAGGGAACATGGGTTCGAGTCCTGGTCCGGGAAGATCCCACATGCTACGGAGCAACTAAGTCCGTGTGCCACAACTGCTGAGCCTGCGCTGTACAGCCTGCGAGCCACAACTACTGAGCCTGCGTGCCACAACTACTGAAGCCTGCACGCCTAGAGCCCCTGCTCTGCAACAAGAGAAGCCACCGCAATGAGAAGCCCGCACACCGCAACGAAGAGTAGCCCCTGCTCACCGCAACTAGAGAAAGCCCGCGCCCAGCAACGAAGACGCAAAGCAGCCAAAAATAAATAAATAAATTATATGGATGCTGCAATCTGGGACACCCCCCCACCGACGACACATGCCCAAATCAGCATCACACCCACTGTGACAGTGGACAGGAGACCTCCCAGGACAGAAACTGAGAAGCCACGCCTTCCAACGAGTCTCACACCCTCCAGGGGAAGAACAGAGTCTCTTCTACTTCCAGAAACACACATGCATGTCCCTGCATCATGCTCTTTACAATCAAAAGATCCCCTGATCGCAGACCTGTTTCAGGGCCCCATTCCTCCCTGTCCCCAAGAGAGCAGCATTACGGTAGCACCAAGGGGGATACATACTGGTAGTTGTTTGAAATGCAACACCCACACACATGCACAAACGTGCACAGACACACATGCGCGCACACACACACAGTTCAAACTAAAGAAAGAAAAGCACACCCCTCCCTTGCCTTCACCCTGCCTGTACTTTCGGCACCATCCCTGCCCTGTCCCTGGTAGTCGGCCTCTAGCCTTGGGGCCTGGGGGACGTGGGGGCCATGAGAGGGAGGGGGCTAGTGTCCTTGTGATGCCCCACAGAGGAAGCGGCCCAACCTCGGTCCCAGTAGCCCTCCCCTTGGTGGGCGGAGAAGGAAGAGGGTGCCCCCAGCCCGCCTGTAATCACGTTAGTGGGGGGCTGGGCTCACGCTGAGAATCCCGTCAACTCAAAGCAAGTGAGAACAAAACCCCAAGAGAACAACTACACGTGAATCCTACCTCACTTCAAAAAAGTGAGAACAGACATTTGGCCTTGATCCTGGGGAAATGCTGGTCCGTGGACCTAGGACAACGTCCCTCCCGGGAGGCCGCAGGCCCCGTGCCGGCCACGCTCCCAGGTTTCCTGCCTTGCGACCTGACTGGGTCACCTGTGTCTGCCCCACTGACCCCGCCCGGTCTGGCCCCCTGGACTTGCGTACTCGAGGATGGAGTGTGTGGCCGCGCCGGGGTGGTAGCGGTAGAGAAGCAGGCTCTGGTCCACGCGGACGAGCCCGCCGCCCTTCCTCAGGTGTTCGTGGAAGAACAGCAAGTCCTCGGGGACACCCTGCGGGATGAAAGAAACGTGTCTCCACTCACGACAGAGCCTCATTCTGGCGACGGGAGACGCGGATCCGTCCGGCACCCCATGCCATGCTTGAGCCTGGCATGACCCGTGAGGCCTCAGCGGGAAAACAACACGTCCAGCTCCCCCACCCTGTGGCCGGCACTGGGCAAGCGTGACCACAAGAGGCGTCTTCAGGACAAGAAGGTGCCCGAGGGGTGGACCCAAGCCCCAGTGTCACCCTCACTCACAGCCTCAAACTTGACCCCTGGCCCGCGCTGCTGGCCCGCTGACCTGCCCCCTCCCTGTTGACGAGCTTGCTGCTCCGAGGGTCTGCAGCGTCCCGCTGGGTGTTCCCGTCCTGTGAGAACGCAGGCCTCCCGCCCCCTCCTGGAGAAGCGCAGACCAGGGCTGGCCGTTGGGGTCACAGCCACCCTGCTGGTCAGTCTGGGGGATCTCAGTCCTGGTGGGGACACCAAGTTGGCTCCCCTCACTTTTTTAAATTCAAGGTGAAAACCAAGTGAGCAGGGGTTCTGGACAGGAGGTCACCCAGGGTGTGTCTGGTGAGCAGAGCCCAGCAATGGCTGGGGACACTGCCAGGACCCCTGCTCCGGGCAGAGGCTGGTTTCCTGACAGCCCAGAGGCTGCTGCTCTCCGGCCCCAGCCTGTCCTCCTCTGCCGGTTCCCCAGCCCAAGCTCGGTTTCACTGAGCCAATGCCAGCACCACAGCCGGGCCCACTGCTTCCAGTAAAGCCACGGCTGCCCCCCAGCTCATCCACCCCGAGAGGAAGGCGGCACAGCTGGCCTCTGAGGTCTCGATGTCCTGATGGAGCCTGGTGGCCGTCATCCTCGGGGGGAGATGGGACCCCTGGCCCCTCTTGGCCAGCTTCTTGGCCCGAGCGTATCCCCTGACTGGGCCCTGTGCACCTGGCCTCTGGGGTCTGTGATGAACTGATGCTCTTTGTCTGTGGCCGCCCAGGCGCGAGGTCCGCTGCCTCCTGGCTCGGGCCTGAGCGCCATCCCTGGAAGCAGCCCACTCAGCTCTCACTCCTGAGCTGCCACACTGGGCACCAGCCTGCCCGCCTCTGTCCCTGAACAAAGCCACCGCTGCCCAGGGAATCGCCGCCCGGGGTCCCTGACACACCGCAAGGCCGTCAGGGCAACGCGATGGAAGCCAGCCGAGTAGGAAATCGGCGCAGTCTCGTTAGCGACGCAGAAACACGCGAACCACTTCACTTGCAGCGTCGGGCGGTTCAATCAATCAGTGACTCGATGGACTACTGTGTGGTGACTGAAGTGTTTTCACAAAGACCACAACGACATGAAAAGATTTATAACAAAATGTTAAGTTAAAAATCAAGTTTCAAAATTGTGTTTGCAGCTTGGCTAAAAGTGGTCCACAGTAAAAAGAAGACAGAAGGACCCCACACAAAAGTTCACAGCAGATGTGTGGTGATGGGTTCACGGGTCATTTGCATAGTTTTTCCTTTTTCTAATTTTCTGCATTTTCAGAGTCATCTTTCAAGAGCACATTGTGAACTCATATCAGGAAGATGGCGGAAGAGTAAGACGCGGAGATCACCTTCCTCCCCACAGATACACCAGAAATACATCTACACGTGGAACAACTCCTACAGAACACCTACTGAAGGCTGGCAGAAGACCTCAGACCTCCCAAAAGGCAAGAAACTCCCCAAGTACCTGGGTAGGGCAAAAGAAAAAAAAAGAAAAAACAGAGACAAAAGAATAGGGACGGACCTGCACCAGTGGGAGGGAGCTGTGAAGGAGGGAAAGTTTCCACACACTAGGAAGCCCCTTCGCGGGCGGAGACTGCAGGAGGCGGAGGGGGGAGCTTCGAACCCGCGGAGGAGAGCACAGCAACGGGTGCGGAGGGCAAAGCGGGGAGATTCCCGCACAGAGGATCGGTGCCGACCAGCACTCACCAGCCCGAGAGGCTTGTCTGCTCACCCACCGGGGCGGGCGGGGCTGGGAGCTGAGGCTCTGAGGCTCGGGTTTCGGTTTCGGACGGAGCGCAGGGAGAGGACTGGGGTTGGCAGACGGAGCGCAGGGAGAGGACTGGGGTTGGCGGCTTGAACATAGCCTGAAGGGGTTAGTGCACCACAGCTAGCCGGGAGGGAGTCTGGGGAAAAGTCTGCACCTGCCGAAGAGGCAAGAGACTTTTTCTTCCCTCTTTGTTTCCTGGTGCGTGAGGAGAGGGGTTTAAGAACGCTGCTTAAAGGAACTCCAGAGACGGGCGCGAGCCGCGGCTAAAAGCGCGGACCCCAGAGACGGGCGCGAGCCGCGGCTAAAAGCGCCGACCCCAGAGACAGGCGGGAGACGCTAAGGCCGCTGCTGCCGCCACCAGGAAGCCTGTGTGCGAGCACAGGTCACTCTCCACACCCCTCTTCCGCGGAGCCTGTGCAGCCCGCCACTGCCAGGTTCCCGGGATCCAGGGACAACTTCCCCGGGAGAACGCACGGCGGGCCTCAGGCTGGTGCAAAGTCACGCTGGCCTCTGCCGCCGCAGGCCCGCCCCGCACTCCGTGCCCCTCCCTCCCCGCCGGCCTGAGTGCGCCAGAGCCCCCGAATCAGCGGCTCCTTTAACCCCGTCCTGTCTGAGCAAAAAACAGACGCCCTCTAGCGACCTACACGCAGAGGCAGGGCCAAATCCAAAGCTGAGCCCCTGTGAGCTGTGAGAACAAAGAAGAGAAAGGGAAATCTCTCCCAGCAGCCTCAGAAGCAGCGGATTAAAGCTCCACAATCAACTTGATATACCCTGCATCTGTGGAATACCTGAATAGACAACCAATCATCCCAAATTAAGGAAGTGGACTTTAGGAGCAAGATCTATGATTTTTTCCCCTTTTCCTCTTTTTGTGAATGTGTATGCTTCTGTGTGAAATCTTGTCTGTATAGTCTGCTTCAACCATTTGTCCTAGGGTTCTATCCGTCCATGTTTTTTTTAAAAAATTTTTTCTTAATAATTAATTTTAATAACATTATTATACTTTACCTTCATTCTTTCTTTCTTTCTTTCCTTCCTTCCTTCCTTCCCTCCTTTAGACAACGAATCATCCCAAATTGAGGAGGTGGTCTCTGACAGCAAGATTTATGATTTTTCCCCCTTTACCTCTTTTAGTGAGGGTGTATGTGTATGCTTCTGTGTAAGATTTTGTCTGTATAGCTTTGCTTCCAACATTTGTCCTAAGGTTCTATCCGTCCCTTTTTTTTTTCTAAATAAGAATTTTTTAATTCAATAACTTTATTATACTTTATTTTATTTTTACTGTATCTTCTTTCTTTCTGTCTTTTTTCCTTCTTTCCCTTCCTTCCTCCCTCCCTCCCTCCTTTCTTTCCTTCTTGCCTTCTTTCCTTCTTTGCTTCTTTCTTTCTCTTTCTTTCTTTCTTTCTTCCTTCCTTCCTTCCTTCCTTCCCTCCATTCCTTCTTTCTTTCCTCATACTTCTACTAATTCCCTCTACTTTTTCTCCCTTTTATTCTGAGCCGTGTCGATGAAAGGCTCTTGGTGCTCCAGCCAGGAGTCAGGGCTCTGTCTCTGAGGTAGGAGAGCCAACTTCAGGACACTGGTCAACAAGAGACCTCCCAGCTCCACATAATATCAAACGGCGAAAATCTCCCAGAGACCTCCATCTTAACACCAGCACCCAGCTTCACTCAACGACCAGCAAGCCACAGTGCTGGACAACCTATGCCAAACAACTAGCAAAACAGGAACACAACCCCACCCATTAGCAGAGAGGCTGCCTAAAATCATAATAAGGCCACAGACACCCCAAAACACACCACCAGACGTGAACCTGCCCACTAGAGAGACAAGATCCAGCCTCATCCACCACAACACAGGCACTAGTCCCCTCCACCAGGAAGCCTACACAACCCACTGAACCAACCTTAGCCACTGGAGACAGACATCAAAAACAGCGGGAACTATGAACCTGCAGTCTGCAAAAAGGAGACTCCAAACACAGTAAGATAAGCAAAATGAGAAGACAGAAAAACACACAGCAGATAAAGGAGCAAGATAAAAATGCACCAGACCTAACAAATGAAGAGGAAATAGGCAGTCTACCTGAAAAAGAATTCAGAATAATGATAGTAAGGATGATCCGAAATCTTGGAAATAGAATGGACAAAATGCAAGAAACAGTTAACAAGGACCTAGAAGAAATAAAGATGAAACAAGCAACGATGAACAACACAATAAATGAAATGAAAAGTACTCTAGATGGGATCAACAGCAGAATAACTGAGGCAGAAGAACGGATAAGTGACCTGGAAGATAAAATAGTGGAAATAACTACTGCAGAGCAGAATAAAGAAAAAAGAATGAAAAGAACTGAGGACAGTCTCAGAGACCTCTGGGACAACATTAAACGCACCAACATTCGAATTATAGGGGTTCCAGAAGAAGAAGAGAAAAAGAAAGGGACTGAGAAAATATTTGAAGAGATTATAGTTGAAAACTTCCCTAATATGGGAAAGGAAATAGTTAATCAAGTCCAGGAAGCACAGAGAGTCCCATACAGGATAAATCCAAGGAGAAATACGCCAAGACACATATTAATCAAACTGTCAAAAATTAAATACAAAGAAAGCATATTAAAAGCAGCAAGGAAAAAACAACAAATAACACATAAGGGAATCCCCATAAGGTTAACAGCTGATCTCTCAGCAGAAACCCTACAAGCCAGAAGGGAGTGGCAGGACATACTGAAAGTGATGAAGGAGAAAAACCTGCAGCCAAAACTACTCTACCCAGCAAGGATCTCATTCAGATTTGATGGAGAAATTAAAACCTTTACAGACAAGCAAAAGCTGAGAGAGTTCAGCACCACCAAACCAGCTTTACAACAAATGCTAAAGGATCTTCTCTAGGCAAGAAACACAAGAGAAGGAAAAGACCTATAATAACGAACCCAAAACAATTTAGAAAATGGGAATAGGAACATACATATCGATAATTACCTTAAATGTAAATGGACTAA